CACCGCTCTCAATTGACCTTGTATGCCCTGCCAAAACTTATTCGGTGATAAATATGCATATATTTATTTAGTCTGATCGTTATCTCATTCTTGATCGAGACTTTATTATTTTAACGATTGGCAGCGTATTACTGCGCAAAAAAGTTTAGAGTTTCTGTATTTTAATGGTTTTTGAATTGAATTTTAGATAATAAATTATTTTTTGTCTAGCTTACCTTCCTCTATTATAGTCTGGCTATACTTTAGCCCCACGGTAGTGTAGCTCAACCGTTGCTCTAATTTAATCGAACCCTAGTCTAGCAATATCCTAGTCTAGTTCTACCTTTGCTTTACTTCTTAGTCTAGCTCTAATTTAGCTTTACCATGGTGTAGCCCCTTCCTCTACCCTAATCGGCCCTAGCCTAGTTCTACTCTAGTCTAGCTTTACCCTCGCTCTACCTTAGTCTAGCCCTACCCTACTTTAGCTTTACTCTTACTCTAAACTATTCCAGCTCTACCCCTGTTCTACCTTAGTCCACCTTTAACTTTGCTCTTCTGGTTCAGCTCTACCTTTGATCTACCTTAGTTTGGCCTTACCCTAATCCAGCTTTTTTGCTATTCTTGTCTTACCGTGCCGCTATCGTATTTTCAACCTAATATTAACTTTATAAATTTCAGACTTAACCTTCCCACTCATCTTTCCAACATATTCACCATCATTCACCTGTGTAAATTAGCCTTCCGTAAAACGACAATTGTGTCATTAAAGCTGGAGGTGTTACCTGAAAGGGAAGGAAAAGATTCCAAAAAGGTCTTATTCTTCTTGGATTAATGACTTTGCGCGAAAATGGGGAAATTAAAGCGAAAGTAAGGGCATGGGAAATAGTATAGGGATTGGAGAGAGTTTTAAGGATCTAGATTTACATAAAACATGGCAGATCGTTAGGAAATTGAATGCGAAAGATTAAGTCGATTTTAAAGTGGGGCATGGGTTTTATAGTTATTTTGGTTTTTTTTGTGAAAGGAGTTGCTTAGCTCTATCTAAAGCCTTAGCCTTGCCCTAGCCTTGCTCTAGCCTTGCCCTAGCCTTGCCCTAGCCTTGCCCTAGCCTTGCCCTAGCCTTGCCCTAGCCTTGCCCTAGCCTTGCCTTCGCCTTGCCCTAGCTTTGCTTATTTTTGCTTTAGCCTTGCCTTTGACTAGCCTTACTGTAATTTTACTTTGCTTTTGTTTTCATGGCGTTTGAGACGCTACGGCATTTTTTAGCTGCTTTTATTGTAAGTAGCTGTTCTATATTCTTACCTCTCTTACTCTGAAGTATTGGCTCAATATTATTGTTTTTTATTTTATGGTAATTTGTTCAATTGTCGCATTTTACCTTACCTAACTCAATTTTTTACCTTATATTCCTCAATTCTTTTGTCATCTACATATAAGCTTCCCAAACCGACTCAATTACTATTTTTATTGTAAGCAGAAGAGTGTACGCATGAAATAAAGGTTAACTTCCATTGTTTTACCGTGAGACACGTTTTCAAGGACGTTAAGCGAAACGGATTACATAACCACCTTAAGTGGAAGAAGATCGTTTAACGCGACAAGGCTTCGAAATCGCTTTAAAATCCACAAAATCGTCTACTTTTTAAGCTGTTTTTATATGGGTAGAAGAAGAAGAAGATAATGGTTTTAAAGTTTCGGGGATGTATTTTGTACTGGGCAAGGCATTTTTACGTAAAAATCTTCCAAATTCGCTAAAAAAAAATTTTTTTATTTTTTTTAAAATTTTTTAAAATTTTGAATTTTTTTTTAGTTTTTATTCTTTACCATGTTGATTTCTATGCCCGACTCAATAACTTTCGAACATAGTAAGTCTGGACAGAAATTGGTTTTCGATTATAAAACCCGAACGGAATGTGAGTCCGGGGCTTTTCAAGGTCGGCGAAACCGACAAGTCTTATACGGCGAGAAAATTTGCATTCTCGGCTTTTAATTCGTGTACTAACACGGATTTGTATTGTTTTCATTAAGTCAGTTTAATTAGGTTTGTCATAATTTTAGCCCTTGCAAGAGAAGCACCAGCTAGCCCAGAGCCCTAGCCCAGAGCTTTAACTTAGAGACTAGCCTAGAGCTTTAGCTTAGAGCCCTAGTCTTAGCCGTAGCTTAACTGAGGCTCTAACCCTAAGCTTAGCTTTACTCTAGCTTTTTAGCCTTGTTTTAGCTTTGATCTAGCTCTAACTCTAGTATTAGCTTTAGTTATAACCCTAGCTCTAGCCCTAGGTTTAGCCTAGACTTTTCATAGCTTTATAGCCTTGCCTGAGTCTTGGCCATAGTCTTGAACTTAGTCTTGGATTTTCTTAGCCCTAGTCTTAATCTTTAGCTCAAGCCTCAGGGTTAGTGTTAGCTTCAGATTCAGTCCCAGATTTAGCCCACGCCTTCTACTAACCTTAACTTCTTTTCCCCACCTACACCTATTCTTCCGCCCTACCTTATAAAACCTTTATCCTATGTTATCTTCTATTATTGTATTCTCTTTCCAATTCAAATCCAAAAATCCGACGCATTCATAAAATTTGATGTACATATCCATATAAACGTCAAAAGCGAGCCTGTTTGTCTATCATAATACACTGGTCATTCAATATGTTGTTCAGAATGAGGGCAAAAAGGTATTCCTTCCCATTACTTTATATAAAGCGCGCTAAAATCGAGACTCGCTTTTTGAAATTTGTTTGGAAAAGTAAATATTATGGGAGATTAGAGAAGAGATGGTACATGGGGGTTATTAAATAATGTCAGGAGCTGAGGTTTTAAAGCTAACTTTTTATTTTTTTTTAAATTTTTTTGTTAAAAATGAAAAATATTTTTAATTACAAAATGCGCAAAAAATTCTGTTACAAAACTTTACCGGTTGTTTTCTCTATTTTGCCTTTATTAGATGCCGACATAAAGAACCCGCCATTTTTTACAAGAAATTACAGGCATCTAATATAATTTTTAAAAATTTTTATATGAAAAAGTGGCACAAGTAAAACTGTAAAGGATTCCCGCCCAAATACGTTTTATATGTTTTGTAAGGCACATTTTTTGTTTTGGGACCTAAGGTAGGCCTTCGGGGCTCTGTTCTTGGTCTAGTACTCAAGACCTTTTGTGCTGGCCCAGCTTCTTTCAACGTTGCTTTAGACTGAGGCTGGGTTAAGCCTAGTGGGCCTTTTTTCTGGACTAAGCATGCTACAAAATATGTTTTTGTAGGGTAGGGTAGGGTATTACAAATTATTCCAAAATTATACTTCGATAAAAACAAAAGTTTTAGCGGTTTCCCTCTCATCATTTTTACTTATATTTCGTTCGAGACCGCAGCGAACAAATCGGAGGTTCAAATAAATAAAAATATTATACAATCGGGGCACTTGAAAAGTCGAGGAAAATGCTTCGAGGTTATAAAAAAAGGTTTTTGCGGATGTGTTACAAGCGAAAAATTATTTTTTGGGTTTGAGTAGTTATTGAATACGGAAATTATTTTAATTTTGGTTTTTTATTAGAAAAATTTTAACTTTTTTAGCCTTAGCCTTAGCTGCTTTGATCTTAGCCTTAACTATAGCCTTAGTTTTAACCGTGATGCAGTCTTATTGTAACTTTTTTCGGTTTTATTTTGTGTTTGTTCTTAATTATCTTGGCCATACCATATAATCACTGTATTCACCGTTTCTTGCACTTACTTTCCTTTATACAACTCAATATTTATCATAATCTTTATATGTATTTGCCTTCCATCTTTATTTTTTCACATTTCTACCACGTTTTAACATATAAATCTCCGAACATTTGTGTAAACGTCACATCATTTTGTGTCAATAGTGGTATGTTGAACATAGTAACGGCGATTATCGTGTTATCAATCTGCGAAAAAACAAAAGCCTGCATATGTCAAAAAATGACAAAAAATAAGGCGTTTAACTTTGTTGGACACCTCGTTTCTAGCAATCTGTCACTCTTTATGTCCTCGTTTCTACGAATTTTTTTTTTAATTTCGGACAAAATTTTGAAGAATGACTTTACGAAAAGAAAGTAAGTAATCAAGTTGTGGGAAGGGGGTGGTGATTTTTGTGTTTTTTATGGTTTATGGTATTGCCTTGCCTTGCCTTGCCTTGCCTTGCCTTGGCTTGCCTTGGCTTAGCTTAGTTTAACTTGATTTGGTTTAGCTTGGTTTGGCTTAACTTGATTTGGCTTGGCTTGATTTGACTTGGCTTGGTTTGGCTTAATTTGGCTTAGCTTCGCTTGGCCAGGCTGGGCCGAGCTAAAGCATGTTTAAAAAGCGCCGGGCCAGTACATGTGAGCCAAAAGGCGAGGGCCTTAACCGAGTCCCAACCTATAAACTCGGCTGAAAAATCGGGCCAACTTTTTTACAGATCCATTTATATATACAGTCTTTTTGCGATAAAGAATATCATAACGATAAGTTACAGTATTCCAACTATTTGCGTTATTTTAAGACGAATATCTTAATCATGCCGAAAAAACATCTGGAAGTCGTTAAAAAGTAATATTATTATTTTCTAGAAATGCGGATGAGGAATTCGAAAAACTGCTGCAAATTATTAAACTAGAGTCTTCATGGCTTGACTTGGCTCTTATTAATAGTAGTAGTTTATTCGTATTTTAGGTAACATGTTACGAGTTATATTCTATATGGCTAGGACTGAGGCTAAAGCTATTAATGTACTGTTAGACCCGACCGCGTGTTTCAATTGTCTGTTTTCATAATTGCGTGATGTAATTACAATTGAAAATCATTTTTACTTTTACTAACCTTTTCACTTTCAGACATTTGGCAATAACTTTGACCAGTACGTTGCTAACATAAACTACTTCTGTGTACTGCCGCTACAAACTATAAATTGTGTACTACTGTGTATAACTTAATTACTCCCAAAACAACACGTCGTATTTTACATTCCAACCTCAATCGTTGTCTATATCGCGTACTGACTTTATAGAACATACCCAACACACAACATCACCAAGAAATGATAGAAGAAGCACAGTACGATGTGCCATGGGAGTTTAAACTTCGAAACTCGCTAAACGCGTTAAAAGCTCGGCCTCAATCAGCCGGACCTGAGCCCGGTCCATCAACTAACTTCAACGACCTCATCGCTTCGCATCATCGTGACACTTCAACGAGTTCTTTCTCTTCGGCCAAGGCTGTACCAAATGGTTCGCCAGTCCATGTCAAGTTTATGAATGAGCCCTCACCACCGGTGTTACGCGGACAACGACAAGTTAGTGTACAAAGAAAGCAGAATGAGTACTATCCGAGAGTTCAGTGTGGAAGTGAGTTGAAATATACTATTTTAATTTAACCTACCTAATGATACCCTGCGTTAACTTACGCTACCCTTAAAACTTTTACTTTTTTTAATTAAAAAATTTACTTTGAATAATAAAACAATGTTTCAGTAGATCAATCAACGGATCCACACCCGCATTTACATAAACCTCATAAAAGTACACCGATCTTGTTCACCGAGACTCCTCACAGTGAACGGCGACATCGCTCACGGTTTGATGAAAAGGCAATGATTCATGAAAATATGGATCGGATTGAAGCTGAGAAAATACTTTCAAATGGTAAGGCAATATCTTAAGTTATTAAGCTGTAGAGCACAATAAAAAATATTAAAGCACAGTACTCTCTCTATATAAGCAACCCGAAGAGATACTTGTTTATGTTGTTTACTATAAGAAGAGTTGCTTATACAGACGGTTCACTATATAGAGAGACCACTGTATTAGGTTGTTCAACTAATTCTGCGCCTCTTCCCAAAGTAATTTTGGAAGGTTATGGGCCCAGAATTATTTGAACAACTTAATATTGTTTTTTTATTGTGTGCTACTTGAGTTTTGCTCTAGCTTACCTTACCCTACTCTCTTCTACCTTACTATTACCTTATCCTAACCTAATTTATCCTATCCTATTCTACTCTACCATAACTTACCTAACTATCACCCTACTGTATTGTGCCTTACTATTATCGTTTTTACAATTTTCAAAAACCAGTTTACAAATAACGTATTTTACCCAGAATCCTCTTTTAGGTCAAGTAGGTGACTACCTGCTTCGTCATCGTCCCGAAGGCAACTTGGCCATGTCGTTACGGGGTCAAAAAGCTGTTTTACACATAAAACTCGAGCAAAGAAACGGAAAATGGGTATTGGGAGAAGGACCAGAATTCAAGTCTTTAGGGCAGGTACTACGATGCTACCGTAGTAACGAGTTGCCAATCAAAAACGCTGAAAATGTTAGGCTACGAGAGCCGGTTAAAACCGATGACATTCACATTATTACACAGAAATTGTGACGTAAAGATGTATATTATAGGTGACAGTTGAAATGTATATTATAGACGATAGATGTTATACTATATTACGCAGTAGACTGTTGTGATTGTCATTATTTATGTAAATTGTAAAAAAACCATTGTCTACTGTAATGTTATAGAATTTCGGTCAAAAACAAGTGTAGTTGTTGACCTTTCAAAGCCGGTCTAGCACAATTTACTTTTTGGTACAGTATTTTGTCCTATTTTTTTATACCAACTTTGTTTTACTATGTTAATGCATGTATTGGGTTGTTTAAAAAATTCTGTGCTTCTAACACTAAAATTTGTTTTAAGAGAGGGCACAAAATTATGTGAACAACCTAATACTTTTAGCAACTTTTTGAATATTTGTAACAACTAAAAAATGTCTATATTTTACTATGGTAAAGTTTTATATATGCATATTTTCTCAAAAATCAAAGAAGCTTATGCTTTCATGGTAAATTGTCGCTTGTAATCAACTAAATTTTCATTTTTTGTACATTATCTTACTCAGCATCGTATGTATTTCAAGCATAAAGCCTATGTCACTTCCAAACCAAAAATATATTAGCAATGATAGAAGATTACACTCGAGTTTTTTATTACAGTACTCTCTCTATATAAGCAATCCAAAGGAACAGACATTTTGAGTTTACTATAAAGGGTGTTGTCTTTACAGAGAGACTTTTTAGTGCCATTTGACTTGGCGGGGCCACTTTTTTTGTTTACCATAATGAGAGTTGCTTATACAGATGGTTCACTATATAGAGAGAGCACTGTATTAAATTTTATTTGTTACTTTTGTATTATTTTTATAATATTATTCAATACAGTTAACTGTAATAAAGAAGCTTACATTAAATATTACAATTAATTTCGAGTTTACAAATTTTTTACCTTGATTGATATACCTGGTAGTAGTATTGTAGTTAGCGCGTTTAGAACGACAGTTGCTCGATTTGTTCAAATTGTTAGCAAATAACAAGTTATTGTTTTTTTATGCAAACTTTGTCAAACTAAACCCAACTCCAATGTTAACTATAGCTTGGTAACAAAATACGACTCAAACAGTTTTATTGTAAAAATGAGAAGTAAAACTATAATACAGATGGGTTTGGAGCTGCTGGTTGAATACTCGAAGGTGGTGTTACAGGTGGTTGAGCTGGATCTGGTGGCGCTGCTGGATTAAAATTGGCATCTGGAGGTTGAGTACTAACATTTGATACGTTTGGATCTGAAAAAATGGTCACTTTTAAAAAAAACTTAAGCTTAAATGAATGACAAGCGAGAACTTTCTTTACAAACCTCAAAATGGCAACAACTTTTTTCACAAATCATAAAGTGACAATAACTTTCTTTACAAAACATAAAATGGCGAGAACTTTCTTTACAAACCTCAAAATGCCAAAATTTTTTTTCACAAAACATAAAATGGCAATAACTTTCTTTACAGAAAAAAATAGTTAGAACTTTCTTTATAAACCTCAAAATGGCAAGAACTTTCTTTACAAAACATAAATTAGCAAAATCTTACTATACAAAAAATAAAATGGCAATAACTTTCTTTCCAGACTACAATTATGTTAACTTACCTTGAATAACACTGTCATTTACATTACTTGCCACATCTTTCTTAACTTCCTTTGTAGGCGATGTTGCTTTAGGTGTTTCTTCAACTTGTGAACTGATTTCTGACTCTTCTTTTTGCACATCTGAATCTTTCTTTTTGAAAAATCTCTTGAGCAATAAGAGTACAAACAACGTCACTAAAATGGCATTTCCAATGTAAAGCATATTGTCGCGATTCGTCTCAAATTCTGATTTTCTTTTTTCTTTATTCTCAATGTCTGGCTGAAAGGTAATGTAATGTTACTGACATTCTTTTATGGCTGAACCACCAGGACATATTTTGAGCTGGGGATAAGGCTAGGGCTCTGGGCTAGGGCTCTGGGTTACGGCTCTAGGCTAGGGCTCTGGGCTAGGGCTCTGGGCTAGGGCTCTGGGCTAGGGCTCTAGGCTAGGGCTCTGGGCTAGGGCTCTGGGCTAGGGCTCTGGGCTAGGGCTCTGGGCTAGGGCTCTGGGCTAGGGCTAGGGCTCTGGACTAGGGCTCTGGGCTAGGGCTCTGGGCTAGGGCTCTGGGCTACGGCTCTGGGCTAGGGCTCTGGACTAGGGCCCTGGGTTAAGGCTTTGAGTTAGGGCTAGAGCTGTGGCTAAGCCTAGTAATAACAACTTACATTAAGATACTTTTCCACATCGCCAAAGTCATAGCTGTCGAAGATGATATCAGTCAAGTTTTCGATCAAATCCAAGTTGTAGTGATAAAATTTGTGCGGCTTATCAGTCGCAACTTCCACAATTTGCTTCACTTCTGTTGCATTTACTGGTTGTCCTTTGCAATATTGAAAACAAGCTTTTGGTTCGACCAGAAACTCAAATTGTCCAATCCAGGCTGGTCGTTTGTACTTTTTGTACTGAAAAATTAATTTAAAAATTTGTAAAATACGGCGTTAAGCAGTTTGAACAGGAAAAGCGCTACTCTACCTTACCCTACCCTACCCTACCCTACCCTACCCTACCCTACCCTACCTTACCCTATCCTACCCTACCCTACCCTACCCTACCCTACCCTACCCTACCCTACCCTACCCTACCCTACCCTACCCTACCCTACCCTACCCTACCCTACCCTACCCTACCCTACCCTACCCTACCCTACTCTACTCTGTCCTAATTTACTTTACCTTATCTTATCTTATATAATCCTACTGTACTTTATCACATTTCTTATCCTTAACGTCTTTACTTTAACTCTTCTATGCCCTGTCTTAGCTCTAAAAACCCGTACTATTACCTAGATTTTTTATAACTCTCTCCGCAACCTACTATAACATTATCTGAACCTAGTCTAGTCTTAAAAAGCAAAAACTTTCTTTACAAATCATAAAATCGCAAGAAATAAAATCTTACAAAAATTTTAAAAAAATAAAAAAACCATACCTTAACATAGCACCAAGGACCCATTTTAGCGTCAGGATAGTCCATGAAAACATGTCCCGGGGCGTTATTTATACCTTCTGTTGGACTATAAGCGTTCAAGTTCAACGAGCGACAGAAGTTGTGGTCCTCATTCTCTTGAGCAAAGAAACTGAAAAAAAAATTAAATTTTAAATTTTAAAAAAAAATTTAAAAATTTTGTAAAATAACTTCAATTTTTTAAAATAAAGTTACAGTAAACTCACTACTGCTCAACATCGCCAGTTATACCAAGTATATGTTGACGAGCTTCAGACCATTGAGCACACGGTATTCCTTGAGCTGACTTGTTATGTAGACCATAGTAAACGTAATGTTCTTGGTCTTCTTTCAATATACAGTCGGCGTCTGAAAAGTTAAACCAAGTTTTCCTTACAAAACATAGAATAGCAAGAACTTTCTTTACAATTTGCCAAAAAACAAATTCAGGCTTTTTTTAAATAAAAATGGCAAAAACTTTCTTTACAAAACATAAAATGGCAAGAACTTTCTTTACAAATTATAAAATGACAAGAACTTTCTTTATAGAGCATAATATGGCAAGAACTTCGTTTACAATATATAAAATGACGAGAACTTTCTTTACAGATCATAAAATAGCAAGAACTTTCTTTACAGATCATAAAATGGCAATAACTTTCTTTACAAAAGATAAAATAACAAGAACTTTCTTTATAGAGCATAATATGGCAAGAACTTTCTTTACAAACATTTAAATGGCATGAAATTTAAAATACTTACGTGTAAAGTTATTGAATTCATAATAAAGTAGCCGTTTTCCATCTTTATAATACTCACAACATATATTATTAAATATAAGTATTAGAAACAGAACAACCAATCTCATAATTCATATAAAATATTGTTATCAATTTTAAAAAACTTTACTTTTTCAATTTCGATGTTTTGATTTCAATTTTATTTAACAAAATTTTAAAATTTAGGTAGTTATAAGCAGTGTGAATAAGACAATTCTGGTAGGAGTAGAGAAGATAAAAGAAACTTTTTAAAATGACATTTTTAAAATAACATGAGATCAAAAGTATTACACTGTAATTAGCTATTTCGAACCTAATATAAGAAAGAAATGCATAAAAAACCCTAAGATTAGGTAGAAAATACTGTAAAATACGTATGTATAATGATAACACAGTAAAGTACAGTAAGATAATGATCAATGTCGGGCCCATATTATGGCCATGGAGGCAGATGAAGATACCCCATCCTCTCTTGTTGTAGATTCATAATTGATGGTTCGAAGAAGAAGTTGAGCTTGATATGACAAGTAACGTCAAAGATCTTCACTTCCATATCCACAATCTCCATGTCAATTTCACGTTGTGACACAACGTGCCCGAACAGTTGTTGTACTAGCTTAGGGTAAGCGGCTGATACTACAAACTGAAATGAAATTAGGTTAAGGTTACTGTAAACAGATTTTAAGGTACAATGATGAACATAGTATGCTAAGGTAAGATAAGGCAAGACAAAAGGTGGGGCAAGGATAAGCCAAGGGTAGAACGAAGGCAGGACAAAAAGAAACAAGTCATGGAGAAGGGTAGAGCAAGAGTAAAGAAAGGGTAGGGCAAGGGTATGGCAAATCTAAGGCAAAGGCGAGGCAAAGGCAGGATAGCGGTAAGGAAAGGATAAGGCAAAAATTATACAACGGTATGGTAAGCATACGGCAAGGGTAGAACAAAAGCAGGGTATGGTACTCAGTAAAATTACCTCTTCTTCAAAGTTCATGTAAGCTTCATAATCCAGCTTTTTGATTCTGATCCCAACGTTCTTGAAAGCTCTTAACATGGATTCAAGGTTTTGTTTCAAGTTACGTAGCTCCATATCAAGCTCGAGTTGTTTCTGTAAACATAATACATAATATAATGTATGTTGTTGTAAGTTAAAAATAGCATATCAGATTAAAAACAAAAACTTATTAGTAAGTCAACAATATTAAAGTTACCAAATACAAAAAAGAAAGCCGGCCGTAGCAGCGTGGGGCAGTGGAAGCGTGCTGGGCCCATAACCCAGAGGTCGGTGGATCGAAACCACTCGCTGCCAGTGTTTTGCCGGACCGGTCCGGATGAGAATTTTTTCGGTCCGGTGCGGTCCGAAAAATTTTCGCTCCGGTCCGGTCCGGCTTTATTTTTTTTCGCTCAGATCCGGTCCGGTCCGGAAAATTTTTTTTTTAAAAAGAGCCAGGAGCGCTAAAACTGCTTTCTTTACGTTTAAAAACTCTTAAAAATATGTTTTATTTGCAATTTTTAAAACAGTTTTACTAAAATAAAAAAAAATTTTTTTTCCGGAGGGGTCCGGCAAAACACTGCTCGCTGCTAATCTGCTTTTTGGTTTTTTTACAATTTTTTATAACTTTTTAATACATAAATAGTTGTAGAACAGTATTATAAACGTAAAAAAGCTATTTTTGACTTAAGATCTATTCAAAAATGGCATAAAACACTATTTGTTTTTTTTGAAAACATACGGGTGTTTATGGTTTATTTTTGAAGTTTTAGTACAAAAATAGTTTGATATCCCATTTTAGATAACATATTATCCTTTTTGAGTCAGTGGATTTTAAAAATTAATCCAAAAATAGCCATTTTTCTTAAAAATTTAAAGATTCTTAACAAAAAAAACTAATTTTCCATAACCTTGTAGGTACTTTTTTTGTTTTATCTTTACGTTTTTGCTTATTCTCTTAAATGGTTTTACATTTTATGGCTTGGAGCTCTTTTTCCATTTAAAAAAGTACCAAATTTTGACAAAAAAACACTGAAAATTAACTGAAAAATCGGCCGAAAATTTCATTTTTTATAAATTCTAAAACCTTTTTTCAAATAATTTTGCTTTATCAGCTTTACACAAACCGAGACCGTACCTTCTAACCCAACAAAAACATTTAAAATGTAGCAAAAAGAAGAAACCTACCCCATGCTTCAAATGAACAGCAGCGCCACCCCACAACTCCAACGTCTTCAACATTGGTGCAGCTTCCTTTAGATGTTGTACTGCATGTCGATAAAAGTAGTCGGGCTTAATAGCTTGGTCATGGATCAAAGTCACCAATAAGTAGTAAATGTCATCAATGTTCTCGTTCAAAGCGTACATTGCCTTCAGTTTGTCGTTGAAGAACTTTTCCAGTGTGAAGAAGTAGCGTGAACGGACTTCTGAAGCCGGATTGAAGGCTTTTTCTCTGGACTGACGGTTTCTGACCAGTGGGTGACGTCCTTTGTTGACTTTGTCAAAGACACGGTCGTTGTAAAAGGTGAATTCAGCGTCGATTGGGACACCGTCGACTGTGAAAAGGCATTCTACAACGTTCCGTTCTAGATCATAGTCGGTCACGGTCTTGTTGTAGATCTTTTTGAAAAGTGATGGGTAGTTGGAATCTTGGACTAGCTGGAATTTATTGAAATTTAATTTAAAAAAGCAAAAAAAAACTTCCTAGCCCAGAGCCCTAGCCCAGAGCCCTAGCCTAGAGCCCTAGCCCAGAGCCCTAGCCTAGAGCCCTAGCCCAGAGCCCTAGCCCAGAGCCCTAGCCCAGCGCCCTAGCCCAGAGCCCTAGCCTAGAGCCCTAGCCCAGAGCCCTAGCCCAGAGCCCTAGCCCAGCGCCCTAGCCCAGAGCCCTAGCCCAGAGTCTTAGCCCAGAGCCCTAGCCCAGAATCTTAGCCCAACGTCATAGTCCAGAGCTCTAGCCCAGAGCCCTAGCCCAGAGTCTTAGCCCAGAGCCCTAGCCCAGAATCTTAGCCCAACGTCATAGTCCAGAGCTCTAGCCCAAAGTCCTAGCTCTGGCCTTGCCGCTAGTTTATGTCATTTAACCATACCCTACTCTGTTTTACTTTCCTCTGCTTTTTCCTACTTTATACTACCATTCTCTACCCTGTCCCAATTAACATTATTCCCTTGAATCAACCTTACCGGAAAAGGTACAAACAACGAAACAGCCAACACAACACTTGTTATCTCAATCCCAGCACTCCTCGCAGCTCGAATAACAAGTTGAACACCAGCTTTGACATCTTCCAGTTCAATAGGAATCGTTTCATGATCAGGCTCTTCTGGATAATATTGATAACCACCTTCCAAAGCGACCATTTTCAAATTTGGTGCAGTTCTCTTCAGGTTTTGAGCACACACTTCGTAGAAATGCTCAACATCATCAGTATCCCATTGAACCATGGATACGTCAATGATAAGGCGTTGTAAAGTGGTCTGAGGAATGGTCTTGGTTTTGTTGTAGAAATCTTCAAGACGCAAGAACTTTTGTTCATTTAGTTCGACTGCGCCTGAGGGAAAAACTGAAAAAAAAAATTTTTAATTTGAAAAAATTTAATTTTTGAAATAGCTATTATATAATTTTAAGACCACAAAATTCTTGTTGTCCTAAAGTCAGGACCTGAACTAAAGCCAGTGCCAGGGTTAAAGGTAGAGCCAAAACTAACTAAATTTTTTAAAATTTAAACTCAAAAACAAAATTAAAAACAATTTTAAAATTTTTTCTATATTTTCTAAATTTCAAAAGACACCTTTTTAAGTCTATGTTAGTAAATAATGTCAAAAAACAAAAAGAAAGCCGGTTGTAGCAGCGTGGCGCAGTGGAAGCGTGCTGGGCCCATAACCCAGAGGTCGGTGGATCGAAACCACTCGCTGCTAATCTGCTTTTTGACTTTTTATGGTTCGTTTTGAATTTTTTAGTATAAGAATAGTTGTAAAATAGTATTAACATTAACTTATCTTTACTTTGCAGCCAATTTGGTTATAAAGTTTATAATAAACTTCGATTTTCTCACAAATTTTAAAACTTTTTTGAGCAAAATAATGGTTAAACTCATGTTTAAATAGCTTATCAAAAACTTAAAATTACTATTAGTTTGATTAAATAATTCTGTGCCCCTATTTCTAAAAAATAACTTTGAAAAGGAGCACATAATTATTTGAACAGCCTAATATAAATTTTTTTGAGTTGTGAATATAGAACAATATGTTGTTGTACTTACTTTGTTCACCAGTAGCTTCATCCCAATCACGGTCTTCTAGACCTACTACACGTTCTACGGTAATCAGCACGATAGATATCAATAATGCTTTCATAATACCCATTTTTAGCTTTCTATCTATGCCACAGCTTTTTGTAGTTTCAATATGATAAAGCTTAATGTAGTCTCTATATAACACTACCGTGTGCTGTAGCAATGATGTAGGTATCTTCTAGCAGTTTGTCCTTTATCTTCTTACTGAGCTTATTTATATACAGGGTCAGTAAGGTTAACTGGAACCTAAAACAATATAAATTGCTTTGTTGTTACCTACCAACTCATTCTCGAGACCTTTTTTGGCTGATTCTTTGTCAAACCGTCTTTATCTCTATAGCTATACTATTGCCTATCATCGAGTCTACCTTTTCTGTTTATGACCATAACAATCTCCTTGATCATTATAGTATCCACGCCTTCGACCAACCCATACCTCTTTCTTTGGTAGTTACTATAGTCATTTCTTTGTTAATATCCGTAAACGCTTTCTTCAAGTGTTAGTCCTTAATAAAGGTCATAACTTTACTTTCTTTTGTTAAGAATAAACAAAGTTGTTAGTAACAACACTGCTCTTTAGCCCATTGTTAACTTTTTACTACGTTCTTTGTTATCTTTTGAAATCAAAAAGCTTTTACGGACTTTTTAAGCTTATTAGTAGGAAAAGAGGTAGGTGGTAATGAGTTAAAGGTTTGTTTATCTATAAGATAATGAAAAAAACATTTCTGATGACATATTGGGATAGATCTAATCTTAAAGGCTATAAGCTAAGAGGATTATAAAGGATAGGAGACCAGAGGGCGAGAAAAGCCGGGACGACTAAAAGGTATATAGGTACTAAGAGGAGTAGGAAGACTAGGAAGACTAGATTTACTACGATGACTAGAGGAGCTAGAAGGTGTAGGAAGGCTGGGTAGGCTAGGATGGATAAGAAGACTAAGAGTTTTAGGAAAAGTAAAGGGACGAGGAAGGTTAGAAGGGCTGGGGCTCTGAGCTAGGGCTCCGGGCTAAGACCCTGGGCTAGGGCTCTGGGCTAGGGCTCTGGGCTAGGGCTCTGGGCTAGGGCTCTGGGCTAGGGCTCTGGGCTAGGGCTCTGGGCTAGGGCTCTGGGCTAGGGCTCTGGGCTAGGGCTCTGGGCTAGGGCTCTGGGCTAGGGCTCTGGGCTAGGGCTCTGGGCTAGGGCTTCGATCCACCGAGCTCTGGGTTATGGGCCCGGCACGCTTCCGCTGCGCCACGCTGCTACAGTCGGGTGTCTTTTTGGTTTTTGATATCATTTCTTAACACAAACTTAATAATATGCGTTTTAAAATTTAGAAAATATAAAAAAGTATAATACAATACCATTTTTTTAAATAAGCCACATGATTAAACAAGTTTATTAAACTAACAAAGCGTTTATCACAATATCAATAATAATATAAAGACAAAAAGTAGATGTTTAAAAGTAAGATGATCCAAAATTATCAATTTATCACCAACTACAATATTGCACTTATCCTTCTTTCATATTTTTTAAAAAATTTTTATAGTACCATGTCGTATAGTACAGTACTAAAGATTATATTACACTAGGTCCCTCAACCTAAGCCCAAAAATCACAGCAAAGATAATGATTTCCCTCAGCCTGACTTTGTACATCAACTCGACGATCAGTATTCGGAACACACAACGATGACGAGTTACCACGAGATGCCTTGATACATCGTTGAGGTAGGTTGGCGTCGAATCGACGATGACCAAAGTTCCATCGAGTTGAAGTTGGAGCTCCAAGTGATGGCATGAGTTTCTGAACATTCTCATTCAATCGGAATAGCTCCATCGTGTTAAAGTCAAACGTTACGACGCATTTGACACCATGAACATAGATGGCTACATCAACATCAGCCTTGATCAGGTCTTTTTCGAAAACTTTGGTGGCTAAGAGCTCGCTCAGAACTTCGGACATATAGATCTGAAAAGCGGGCGTATTATTACTTGTTTTAATTATATTTTAAATAAAAAATGCATGATATAAAGTTTTAGAGATCAAAAACGTTATGTTATCTATGAAAAACTGTTCGAAATAGCTTTGAAGCCTTCAAAAACGTGTCTAAAGGTCTAAAAATAAGCTAAGAATAATATGATACTAAACTCCAAAGGCATAAAATAATATTTTTCTGAAAATTTTATTTAAAAAACCTTTTTTAACATTTTAAAACTATTTTTAAGCTCAACCGTCCCCATTTATACAGCAAAAACCCATGAGAACAGAAAAGAAACGAGAAAACGGCTGTAGCAGCGTGGCGCAGTGGAAGCGTGCTGGGCCCATAACCCAGAGGTCGGTGGATCGAAACCACTCGCTGCTAATCCCTTTTTTTGGCTTTTTAACAATTTCTTTTTTGACTTTTCAATAAATAAATGTTTGAAAAACAATATTATAGACATAAAAAGCTATTTTTAGTTTAATCTCTATTTAAAAATGGCATAAAACACTCTTTTCCATCATATTTTTGCCTTTTTTTCAAGAAACCACGGCTAAAATGAAGTTGTTCAAAGCTTTTTGCTCGAAAAAAAAGTAAGAATAGTAAAATACGTATTTAAAAGTAAACAAAAAGAATTTGGTCTGAATTTTAAAATTAGTACTTACATCCTTTTCGAAGATCAAATGGTCGAGGAAATCGCATTGACCGACACGAATCGACGACTTCTTCAAAGGTGAGATAATGGCGGCAAATAGACGTTTCAAATGCTTGGCTTCTGGCACTAGCACGTCTGGTGAGTCCTTAAAAATATGTAAATATATAAATACATTTTTATGACTTGTTTACAATATATATACTGTTTAATCCCAAAGCCGAAATATTGCATCTTTAAAATTTTTAAATTTATCCACCCCCAAAAGTTTTTTACACCGCCCAAAAATTTTTACCTAACCCAAGTTTTTTTAAGAAAATTTAGTTTATTCACAAGAAAAACTTTCTTTTTTATGTTTACGCCCCCCCCCCTTAAACAAATTTTTTACCCCGCCCAAAGAATTTTTACCCTGCCCAAAATTTTTTGTATTAAAATTTGTTTTGTTCACAAGAAAAAAAAATTTCTGAATATTTACCATATTTACCCTGACCCCGCCCCCCCCCCCTTCCCAAAAAAAACTTTCTTTACCCCGCCTAAAAACAAATATCCCGTCCAAAAAATTATGACCTTTTTTAAGCTAAAAATACCTGCTAACCCTAATTATCATTGACATAATACATACCGAGTTATCCGGATAGTAGATATATTCACCACCTTGAAGATGGATCAGCTTGACGTGAGGCCACGCCTTTCTTACGTTTTCCAAACATCTAGCGTAGAAGGCTTCTGGAGGCAGATTGATATCGTAAATTCCATGAACTGGAATGACCAATGTCTCAACATCGACTTGAGGTGATGGGTAATGTTTGTCAAAGAACTCTTCCAGGGTTAGTTCGGTCACTAGGGCGTTGCCAATCTTTTCGATACGTCTGATGGCTGGAATTTTAAAATTTTGAATTTTGAGGCTTTACTCTATTCTTTTCTGCTCTGCTCTACACTACCCTACCCTAATATACTCTAATCCGCCCTACTCAACACTACCGTACTCTATCTTACCCTGCCCTACCGTACTCTTCCCTTCATAACTTACATCTTTCAGTATGTAGACTAGCCAAAGGCTCTTTCTCTTCAACATTATGCCTTCCAGAGTACACAACAGATATAATAACAGCTACAGTACCTACTAGTAACCTTAGTTTTAACGTCATAATTAAGTTTTAGTAGCCCAAACTGACTTCGCAGTGGTCAAACTTTGGAATGAAGACTCAGCTCACCTCCGACTGGACTTTCGTTTTTCTTCGCGATTTATGGGCGGATATCACTAATTAGTGAGGGAAAACGTTATAGTTAGGTTTTGGTCATTATTTTTATAAAGTTTTTACTTTACCATGTTTTGGCTATATTATACATGGTACCTTGTATATCAAGTTACAGTTTAAAAAATCCAAATTTTCAAAAACTAAAAAATGAAAATTGAATTACGTTATAATACCTATTAACAAATGACGTATTTTAAACAAATTTGACTAAATATTTTGTTTTTTTTTATAATTTATTACCTAAAAAGCTCGAAATAAGGTATTTTAGGTGTTTTTTCAAGAAAAAATGGCCCAAATTTGGTTAAAAACGTGTTTTCATGCCAAATTTAAAAAGGAGTTAAATTGGAAATCATAATACCTTATCTACAATACCTTCTTCAACTATTTCTGTCTTAAAATCTTTAAAAAACAACCGTTAAAAACAAAAAAAACCGGCTAAAAGTGCATATAAAGCCTTATTGTCCTCAAAAAAGCTAGCCTAGGACTAGACAATAATAAAAATATTATTTTTTGTTGAACAAATAATATTTGTGGAACTTCCTTGTAATTTCAAAAATGTTTTTACGTAAAATTTAAAATAAAAAGTTTCGCAATTCAGTGCAAAACCAGCTTTTCAAATTTTCGAAAGGTGATCGACGCCTGAGGCAGTTAGTGAACGTCCATTTTCACTTTTCGTCCGAGCGTCTGTTCTTCAGCGTGATAACGTTGATTAACGTTTTAACTTGGAAAAGGAAGATTAATAACAAAAATTTTTTAAAGTTTTAAAAATTTTGAAAAAAATTTTAAAAACCAAAAAAAATTTTGATAACCATAAGGAAAGTCGGCCGTAGCAAGCTACCCTACCCGACCCTACCCTACCCTACCCTACCCTACCCTACCCTACCCTACCCTACCCTACCCTACCCTACCCTACCCTACCCTACCCTACCCGACCCGACCCTACCCTACCCTACCCTACCCTACCCTACCCTACCCTACCCTACCCTACCCCTATCCTACCCTACCCTACCCTACCCGACCCTACCCTACCCTACCGTACGCTTCCCCTACCTCTTCTCTTTTTTCTCTACCGTTGAACCACTCTTACCCAAACTCTTAATCTACCCTTGCCCTCCTATTTCCTTAACTTACTCTACCCTTGCCTTACCGTAGTCCTGGTTTGAAGGGAATAAACTTACAGATTTCTGACAACCACATCTTTTGTTTATTTTCAATTTTTTAAAAAAAATTCAAAAATATATAAGGATTATTCTATTCAGAATCGGAGTCTTCTCTCAACTGTTCTATTAGTAACGTCGCACTGACAGAACTTGGCAAGAACTTAATGTACTCATTGTTGCTGATCAAATTACCATCTAATAACTCTCGTTTAACTGTGCCATCGAATGTCCAAACAGCCGTTTGCTTTGTTTTCTTATCAAACTTTATGTAGATTACTGCTGGTCCTTCGTAGCCATCACCAGATCGTATGTCAGTTGGTATACGAACATCTTTACCTTCCAAACTCAAATCACCACGCCGAACATAGACAGCATTAGGACGGACGTATAGAGAGTATTGGTCGATATTTCGCCCAATTTCAAAGTTTTCAAATGGAATTCTGTTGATATTCAATGAGACGGCGTGGTATGTGGTACATGATAGAATTAGAATGATGGATATTAACATAGCCAAAGTAAATAAGCTAAAAAAATTTTTTAATTTAAAAACTATTTTTTAACAGAAGGTATAGTGACTTCACGTTCTGTAAAGAAAGTTTTTGCTAGTTATAGCTTACAAGTTAGAGAAAACAAAAGTTATGTTTTGCGACCTGCGGATGACAAGTTATACGACAAATGCGAATTTTGCAGTTTTTAAAGGAAGTTGTTGCCAGTTGTGGTCTGTAAAGAAAGTCCTTGCCGTTTTATGTTTTGTAAAGAAAGTTCTTGCCATTTTATGTTTTGTAAGGAAAATTCTTTTCATTTTATATTCTGTAAAAAAAGTTATTGCCATTTTACATCTATTTTACTAAATGCAGCCTGCAGGTGACAACTTATACGATAAATATTGTTTGTCCAATTAAAAGCTCTTTGTTTCCATTTTTCCTTCTTTTGTAAAGAAAGTTATTGACATTTTTGACTAAAAATCAAATTTTGTCTTCATTCTATCACGTCTTACAATACAATTCATAAAATGTATAAATTAAACTCACACCGCAACAATTTTTCCAAAAACGCCTCGAGGAACTGGGTCAAAAACCGTCAAAATACACGTTTTTGTCTCGTCATAACGCCTTAAATACGAACCAGATGTAATGTCCGTTCATAAAAACAACATTACTGTTTAAAACCACGGAATTCGGAAGCTACACGCGCCGACAGTAGTCGTAAATTCAGAAGGTGGTTCTTGGGGAAATAGACTTTTTATAACACAAAATTAAAAAATAGTATAAATTATGACTTTTCAAAAGTGAATTTTAATTTTAATTGCAAAAAGTTGTTTTAAAAATCTTATAATGATGATAACTTACTTTACAAAACTGAGGCTATCAAGATCTTAGATCATAATTACAAAATTGTTTCATCGTATAATATGTCACCCGCAGGCTGCAAAACCAATTTTTTTGCTTTTTCCAGTAACTTTTCTTTACACACCTTAAAATAGCAAAAACTTTCTTTACAAAACATAAAATGGCAAGAACTTTCTTTACAAAGCATAAAATGACAAGAACTTTTTCTACAAAACATAAAATGGCAAGAACTTTCTTTACGAAACATAAAATGGCAAGAACTTTCTTTACAAAACATAAAATAGCAAAAACTTTCTTTACAAGTCATAAAACGGCAAGAACTTCCTGTAAAAACGTAAATAAAAGACAAAGACTTTCTTTATAATATTTAAATTGTCAACAAATGCATTCGTCGTATAAATTGTCGCCTGCAAGCTGCAAAACCTTAAACCAGTCTTAGTTTGAAAAGAAATGACAAGAACTTTCTTTACAAACCATAAAACGGCAAGCACTTTCTTTACAAGCCACAAAATAGTGCAAAACTTTCTTTGCAAACCCCAAGACTTCATTTTCTCATCGATACATTTATCGTATAACATGTCATCCGCAGGCTGCATAACCAAAGAAGTGCTTATTTTGAATAAAACGGCAATAACTTTCTTTACGGATTTCAAAATGACAACAACTTAATTTACAAAACAAAAAATGGCAAGAACTTTCTTTACAAACTTTAAAATGCCAAGGACTTTCTTTACAAGTCACAAAACGGCAAAAACTTTGCATAAAATCGAAAAAATTCTAATACTTTAAAAATCGCAATGTTTTTTCAAAAAAAAATATTTTATAAATATCGTTTGGAAACACGTCATTTTAATATTTTTGTTCACCAAAATGAAGTGGCCGCTAGTTTTAGTTGTAGTCGCCTATTGTTATATTCAAGCAAATCAAACTGATGATAACGATACGGTCGACCATGTTCTTGCAATTGGTCTTGGAGATGCGGTAAGTTATTTTATATATGATTTGTAAAGAAAGTTATTGCAATTTTATGTTATGTAAAGAAAGTTCTTGTTACTTTTACTTTTGTAAAAAAATTTCTTGCCATTTCATGAACTTTAAAGAAAGTTTTTGCCGTTTTATGTTTTGTAAAGAAAGTTCTTGCTAATTTATCGTTTGTAAGTAAAGTTCTTGCCATTTCAGAACCAAAAATTATCTTTTACAGAACACTACCCTTCCCCCAATAACCGACCCACCTATAACTGATCCGCCAGTAACAGTACCTCCAAAGCCAAAGCCCACGGCACCACCAAATGAAACAAAACCAGGCAAAGAAGAAGTCTTTGTAGAGCAGGGTTTGCTGTGAGTTTTAAATAATTTTTGGTTTGGGGGTGGTGATTTTGATTTGGGGGTGGTGATTTTATCTTGGGGATGGTGATTTTGATTTGAAGGTGAATAATTTGAAAAATAGGTCAAGAAAAGGCGTGTCAAAAAAACTTTTTAATTAAAAAAAAATTTTTAAATTTTAAAAAAAATTCCATTTACAGCCAATTCTACACCCGCTACACCCATACCTACACGTCCATCTCGATGGAAGACGAATATATTCGTATCAGGTACAAGATGCATATATTGGGCAAGCTAGTCATAACAATCGGATCCTGCAAAGCCATATTGGCAATTAGACCAAATGATAATGGAGCAGCTGCGACAACTTTTAATCAGAAGATCTATAATTTTTATATCACCAAAGCATCGGCCAGGTTCAAATCGGACTTTGCAGAGCTTTTTCTGGATGACAAGTAGGTTCACATTGGTTTTGAAGTGGCTTTAGGCTTGAAAAGGGAAAGAACTTTGTTTACAGTTTATGAAAGCGCAAGAACTTTCTTTACAGATTATAAAATGGCAAGAACTTTCTTTACAAAACGTAAAATGGCAATAACTTTCTTTACAAAACATAAAATGGCAAGAACTTTCTTTACAAAACGTAAAATGGCAATAACTTTCTTTACAAATCAAAAAATGGCAAGAACTTTCTTTACAAGTTTTAAAATTATAAAAAATTCAAACTGAATTTTTCAGTGTCGAAAAATACGGCAATGTTTTGAGCGGCGCCGCAAAGTGCCCAGAAGTCATCAGAGGCAATACTGTAATGTTAGACATTGAGACCAGTGTTCCAGTACACATTTCGATTCACCAAAGACTAAGAAGCAAGACTCTGGATGCCAGAGGCAGCGCCGAAATCTACATGTATTGGCTGTTCATCGGCATTTTGTGAGTTAACCTTGAGAATATTTGCTTTTCGTTTTAAAATGATTTTTTGAGCACTTGAGCACCTATTATAACATGTAATGTTAGAAAATATCAGAAAATTATTGTATTTTCAGACTCCTGATCGACCTCTTTATCCTAGCTGTATTCATGTACAATTTGATCAAAATATGCATCATCTCAGGCCCAGGAGTATATCATCGAATGAAGAACTCACCACTTTCGGATGAAGACGATTATACCCATGTATCAAGAAAAGATCAAGCCTTGGCGGCCGCTCAGAAGAAATCACAAGAAACGGACTCAACTCAAAGCGGAGAAACCACTTGTGTATCAAATAGTAAATCTAGAAGCCAGAGATTCAGAAGACGAACTATTGAAGGGTCCAAAAAAGGTAGTAAAGAATCAAAAGATAGCGTCAAGAAGTCAGGGAGATCGGATAAAAAACAAAGTGGTACGTTGAAACAGACTGCTAGAAGCGATGCGACTCAAAACGATGGTACTTGTGTTACTCAAGCTCCCAGTGAGAATAGCAAGGATAAGTAAATCTATGAAGTTGTTGATGTTGTTTTACATATGTATTAAATATTACGTATTATTATTAATTCTAATTTTGGCTGTATATCAAGAAATATCCATTTCAGATTACATTAATTTTAAAAAGTATACTTAAAGTCAGTTTTAAGTCAAGTTTAAAAAACGAAAATATAAGCACTTCAACATAATAACAAAAACTAGTTTAAAATATAATAATGGAGACTTTATTCAACAAAACAAAAACAAGATCCAAACAAGGAATCACACCGCTTAGTCTTCTTGGTCCACGTTGACGGTGGTAAGCTTCTTGAAGTCGGTGACTGGGACGTAGGTGACAAGGGTGTACAGTTTGTTCTGGCTGTCCTCGTCTTCGTTGCGGCGACGGGAAAGGCGGACTCTGATTCTGTATGGGACGTTCCTGAAAAGTAGGAGTTAAGATAAGAGTAATATTAGCTTTAATTTAAAAGTTCGTTTATTCCTTATCTGACAACTAATAGCTTTAGCAAAAATATGTTTCACTGCTCTCAATAAACGACTTTTACTAAAAATTCACTCATGACACATTCAAAAATGAGCAAAAACATAATATAAAGCTTTATAGTCTTTCACTGTATTTTCTGTTTACTTATTGACCATATTTACACATTAATTTTAAAATGAGACCAAAAGAAAAAAAGCACAAAGAACCTAACATAATATAACGACAACTTACTTGATTCCCTGGCTCCAGATGAACTTGTTGACGCGGGTATCAACACGGACATCGCTCGTTCCCATTTGCTTGGTGGCAAAGTCACGGATGGCTTGGATGGCGCGGGGAGCTCTTCTCTTGAATCCACTAAAAAATATAAGCATTAAAACGGTAAAATTAAACTTTTACGACTTATATCAAACATATTTTATAAGTTTACGCTATAAAAAGCAATTTTACAGAGTAAATCAAAATTTGTTGCTTTATTGACAGATTCTCAACCTAGTTGATCTAAAGTAAAGCTAAAACGGCTCAAAGAAATTCAAAAGAATTTGTTTTACCTATAACAATATACAAGATCATTGTAGAACCTATAAAATTACTGCTTTCCAAACGAAAAAAGTAAACAATGAAGGCTATTACGTTCAAGACTTCCCTAATCACAAAATAACCTTGCTTTAAATTAAAACACTAAGCCTATATTGGTGTAGGTCTCCCCTATCTTCGCCTAAACACAAAAGGTAATAATAAAAGAATAAACTTACATTCCGTGGATGTACTTGTGCAAGTGGACTGTGTATTCACGAGTCACCAACTTGTTCAAAGCGTTTTTCGATTTACGTTCGGTCTTCTTGGCCACCATTTTATAAACCTGAAAGAAATTTACCTTCAAAACTTTAAAATCAAATATTAAACGCGTTCTAAATATAAAAGTCGGCAATATTCAGCATAATATAGGTAAAAAACACAATATAAACTATCTTTAAATATTAAATTACGCCTTTTTAGCCCAAAAATCCACTAAAAATCAAGTGAAACAAAATCTAAAAAACCTAAAAATTAAAACCACAGAAAAGTCTAATACAAAGGATAATATCAAAATTTTAAAAACTGTCAAAACCCCAAAAACAACGACAAATTCAACGAAATTTGTAAAAAATTTATTTTTGAGGAAAAATTTTCGTCGGAAAAAGAAAATAAGGCCGTTTCACCGTAGTCTGGTTTTCGTTGCGGGACCAAGTCGTGCCTCGTGTGTAATAAAAAATTTTTTGACTTCGCTGTAAATTATTACTGTAAACAAGGTAAATAGTATAGTATGTATTAAAAAATAATTTTGCAACTATATTATGATATACATTTTCTAATTTTTTATGTACATATAGTTTATCTAGAAAAGTAACAATATATTAACAATTATTAACCCGTATAATGTTGGTAAGTGATATGAAGATGGCAGTTACAAACATGAGATGCTGTGAATGTCCAGATTGTAATTCCGTTCAAAATTCTTAACTGAATTGCCAAAAACTAGCTTATATTACAGGGATTTCCAGGTTGTAGTAGTCACCAGCTCGAATCACCTAAAACAACACATAAATTTTAAAAAATCGGCAAAATTAAGCATTCAAACATTCGAGAAGTCCCTGTAGACTATAAAAAACCTTTTTAAATTACACATGACCTGTAAAATCAACTAACCTTATTCAAGCACGAGCTGTAATGTTGAGGATTAACAAAAGTAGGTAAGGACGAGTTTCCAATGTTGATTGGTGGTGCTATAACGAAGTCACTGATCATTATATTAAACAAAACTGTTTGACATTGTCCACTCTGTCCTATATTTTTCAGTTTTTGAGTAAAATAACCGAATTCGTTGATAAAAGAGCTTGGAAAAGCCGCCAAATTCAAAAGCCCAATTTTGGAGCTGGCTGGTTCTTTTGATACTGCGACTGTTTTGTTGGGTAGAGCCTGAAAAATTTGTTAATAAAAGATAGTGTTCAGCATAAAATTAATTTCTAAACCTTTTTGACTTATAAAATCCCTTTCTAAACCTTATTTTGGCCCGGAACCTTACCGAAGCATATACAGCATGATAAGTGACCAGTCGATTCTGGGCCGCTATGGCATTTTTCATCAAGTTCCGGATCTCTTCTTCTGTCACCTTGATTCTCTCGTCTATGGTAACAATGTATGCTCCTAATATTGTTTTACGGTCCAGATCCAAAAAATTTCTTTGATCGAAGTCATCAACTTCTCGTATTACAACTGGCCGATTAAGATGGTCAAAAGCTGATGAATCTGGGGATTGGCCACGGATTTTTGGCCATAAAATGACTATCTGAAAACCATTTTCTTTATTTTTAACCTAAGGATTTATTAAGCGATTTTAAAGCGACTGCTGCCAAAACTTACTTGCTGAGCCTTGTCCAATCCCTTGACAATGTCGACAATCTTGTTTAATCTATTCGAGTACTTTCTGTGACATTGTATGACAAAGGTGAATATTTCCTCGTATTTTACATCAATATCAAAGAATTCAAAAGGCTTTGGCTGATATAATCTGTTAAACACTATCTGAAAATCAATTTTTATATTATACTGGCCATTAACTGATGTTCAAAACATTTTTTTTAAATCAAGCCTAAAAGAAGGTGGAAACACCTTATTTAAAAAAAAGATAAGAAAAGTAAAAGAAGTTACCTTCAAAGTAGAAACAACCATCTTTTCGATGCTTCCAAAGAACTTATGGTTCAAAAGCTGACCAAATGTGCTCATTCCCACTATCTGGGACGTTGAAATTTGAGAAAGATCATCGGTAATCTAAACAGAAACATAAAGTCTTATAACAATCTTACATTTAAGAAATCTTAAACTTCTTGAAGAAGAAATATAAATTATTAAAAATCTTTGACATACAAAGAAAACCTGATCTTCAGGAGAGTGTATAGCTGCCTTCTTCCAATCAATGGCTTCCGAGAATGGCAACACCCATCCATCTGATAGTACCACCGGAATACAGCCAGTAGAGAGAGCTTCCAAAAACCTATATGAACCCAGCCTTCGCCCTCGAGGAGTTAAGCAAAATGAGGAGTTGTAAAGAAGGTGTTGATAGTCATACCTATAAAATTATATTTTTAGACATTAAAACAAAATGCTTTCATTTTAAATATTGAAGATACAAACCTTCATAAAATCAACAATAACCACTCAACTTACTTATCATACTCTTTGTTGTCCCTTTCACATCGAGAATCCTTGAACTTTTCCCAATCAGTGTTATGTTTACAAGTGGTGGCAATAACACTTGAATTTCCATTATGAAGATGATACAGATTGTCTCTAGTTGTTGATCCAATACCATAGACATACCTTTTACCTTTAAAACTCACAAGGTGTTCATCTACATTTGGATTCTTAACTCGAAACAGAGATGGCCTTCTCCTTAACGGATGAGTAGTGTGGAACAAAGGAAAAGAGATGTCAAAGCCGTGCCGAAAAGTCTAAAAAGTTAAAAATCTTGATTTGTAAAGCATAAAGATTAGTTTTACCTTTTAATAACAACATTAACTTTATAATATTTATTAAAAAGTGTAAAAAGACCATTTAAACATGCTAAAGGTAATCTATACTGCCGTTGATCACAAAACCATCCAAAAACAATATCAAACCTTCTCGAATAAGCCTAAAATTTAAACAAACAATAAAAAAAACTTACAACTTCATTAGCAGAAGCCCATGCCATCATAGCATAGCCTGGATCAAACCCAATATCCTTCTGAGAGTATTCAGGGTACGTCCCATAGTACAAGTTGTATATCAAGTGATTCCGGCCTTCGTTCCACAGTTCTAATGAACTTATTTGTACCGGTAGATCCTTGACATAATTCTCACTAAAATTAAACTAACGTTTACAAAATTTCAGCTACCTAAACATTTAAAACAAGGAAAAGTAAAGCACCATACCTCAATCTATCCCGATCTGTCGTGTCCAAGCTTAAAACAAATATACAAGCTTCTTCTGGCTTGTCTGTGTAGTAAAAACTTTCCCTTAACACTCGAAGAATCTTCGAGTATGCCGGAGAAATAATAGTAGATGGATTTGTTGGATAGACATACACTTTCATGTTGTTGTTTTGACACTTACTCCAATCAAAGCATTTTTCCATCGTGCATTCGTGTAGCTTGTCAAAACTTAAAAAAAGTCTCATTAAAAGAGTTCAAAAAGCATATACAAATTGTAAAAAAAAGATGCTAAACTGACATTGTTTCATGAACATGTTCCTTTTCTTCTGCGTTTTCTCCTCTGGGTTCTGTAAAACACAGTGAAAAAATAATTGTGGGCAATATCCATTTCATTTGAATGTTTTTATTGCAAAATCTCAGCGTATGTCATGTGGAATTCCGAGTGTTATACACAATAGCTTTCAGGAAAGATCTACAAAGTGCCAGAAAAATAAAAAATAATATATATTTAGCGCGATGCGCGCCCAGAGATTGTGCAGTTAGAAGTTAGCTTATTATACGTATCTTCGTATTTTACTGTTTACAAGTTTATGAATAAGATTGCAATTGTAAATATGTAATAAATAATTTAATTAACTATATTTTTAGTAACATTATTACTTTACCTTTAATTAGAGCTTTAAAAACTACACTAAGTTTACAGAGAAAAACGTGGCGCCATTTCGAAAAAGTGCGTGAAACACTTGACCGAGACGTAAAATTCGTGAAAATTCTGGACGAATCTCGCGTATTTCGTGCTTCACAACTGCGACGCAGGCGGAGCTAGGTGCTCTGGTGTGTTTTAACGTTTACGCCTGTTTTTTCTACATTTTTGGTTGTTTTAGCGACGGTTTTAGCGGATTTCCGGGCCAAGGTTAGCCGGCTTTTACAGTTTTAGGCTAATTTCTTGGGTAAGTCGCTTTTGTAATTACGGTTTTTGGTTTTTAGGCTAACATGAATAAGCGGATGAGTGCATATAAGGCATGGCGTTTAACAAAGACGTTTTTAAGTTTATTTTGTAATTTTTACAAAATTTCAACTTTTTTGTTGCATGTTGACATTGGCACGTGTAATGTCCTCATCCTTTTGATAAGAATTGGGAAGCCTGATATGTTAGAAATTTTAGGCAGATCTTCAGCATGGTTTTTACTTACTTTTAAGTTTAGATTTGCTAGGTTTTGATTAAAAACAAAAGGGATAAAAGGGAAAAGTGCTGGACGGTTTGAACTTTTAATATAATGTCTGTATTGTTTTTGATTTCAACTGTTTGCTTTGCTTTTTTTTGCGTTTTTAGACAATTTAAAACTAAAAATGTTTAAACCTTTTTTTATTTAGTTTTTATTGTGCTTTTCTAATTTTAATTATATTATATCTTCTGTAATATACTTTAATATTTGCGCAGCTTTAGTGTTTTGCTTCTTTAATACTTCATATGTTTAAATATGTTTAATGGTTTTAGATTTTTTTAATGAATTACAAAAAATCTATTAATTAATGTGCTTTTTTGGGTAATATTTTTAATTTTATTACGTTTTTCCGTTATCCGATGTTGTAGTAGGTATTATCGCGATTTTCGAATATATTAACGTGAATTTGTAAGTTCTAACTTAATGTTTTACATTTTCAGCGATTGATAATTATAAGTTTGTATAATGTCAGTTGTCGGATTTGATTTTGGAAACCAGAACGCATTTATTGCGGTTGCGCGAGCTGGTGGCATTGATGTCCTTATCAACGACTATTCTCTTCACGCAACACCGTAAGTTTTTTTAGTTAATGAATTGAAAACAAAGTGAATGTCCTTGAAAATGCGATGAGTCATTTTATTAATTAACTGTGTAAAAAAAGGTTATCATCAAAGTTTTTGGTATAGTTAAGCTAATATGATATTAAGTTGAAAAAAGAGGAAGATGATTAGAAGGTTGATTTAGTAGGATGAAATAAAGCAAAGTTGAGTGAAAGACGTTTGTAAAATTCAAAAAAAACGAAAAATCTATTTGAAAAAATTTAAAAATGGCAATTTTTAGAGCTGCCGTGTCTTTTGGCTCAAAGAATCGCCAGATGGGCGTAGCTGCTCGTCAAGGAGTGTCAACCAACTACAAAAACACTGTCCTTAACTTTAAGCATCTAGTCGGCCGCAAATTTGACGATCCAGTGGTCCAAAAGTACGCCGAATTTATTCCAGCCCAACTAGCCAAAGGTCCAGATGGTGATGTCGTGTTCGACGTCAGTTACATGGGCGAGAGACATCAAGTTACCCCACAGCAAGTCACTGCCGCTCATCTGACAAAGCTAAAGCAGATAACCGAGGCTCAGATCGGGGGCACGGTTAGTGATGTTGTCATCTCCGTTCCACCGTTCTGGACCAACGACCAACGTCTGGCCTTGTTGGAAGCGGGTCAAATTGCCGGTTTGAATGTGTTGAAGGTAGTAAATGAGAACACTGCAGTTGGTATTGCATATGGCATTTATAAGAAGGGATTCTTGCCTGGTCTAGAAGAGAAACCGAAGCTGGTGGCTTTCGTTGATGTCGGTAACTCGACTGTCACTGCCTCTTTGATGGAATTCAATGAACGACAATGTAAAGTGAAAGCTTCTGCTGCTGATGATCAAGTTGGAGGATTGTTCTTTGACAATATTATCAGAGAACACTTCAGAAGAGAGTTCCAGGAGAAGGTAAGGCTTGATATAGATTTTTTTCATAATATTTTAGAATTTTTTATCATGTTTTTTGATATTTAAACTTATCTTTTATAAGTTGAAAAATCTTTTTTTCATATAAATAGGTATTAAGTTTGAGAATAGGTTGAAATTAAAGCTAATTTTGGCTTTTTTAGTACAAGATTGATGCCAAAACTAACCCTAAATCATGGCAACGACTTCTGGATGAATCGGAGAAGATCAAAAAGCAGATGTCAGCCAACAGCACTGCCATTCCATTGAACATTGAATGCTTCATGAATGATATTGACGTTAGCGCGAAATTGGCTAGGTAAGAAGGATAACAATATAAGTCATCAAATAGTTAAAAAGTTTTAATAGCTCTTTGTCAAATTTTATTGCTTTTGGCATTTTAGGTATAAAAAGTTTAAAATTTTGACGGTAGACTTGAAATTTGTGTCACTTGATAACTAATTTACCATATTTTCAGAGCTGAGTTTGAGGAAATGGCCGAACCTTTGTTCCAACGCATCCGAAACGTCCTGAGCTCTTTAATCCAACAGTCCGGGATTCAAAATCTTCAAGATATTTCAGAAGTTGAAATCATCGGAGGTTCTTCCAGAATCCCATTCGTGAAACAGATCATCACCCACGCCTTCAACCGCGAACCAAAAACTACTTTGAATGCCGATGATGTTGTAGCCAGAGGAGCCGCCATGCAATGTGCCATCCTTTCTCCATCAGTCAAGGTCCTGGAGTTCAATGTAATTGACAATGTCAACTACGACATCACTATCGACTATCTGAACAAGGAAAATCAGCCGGTAACACAACAGGTCTACAAAGTTAACGACGAATTCCCGGGCTACAAGAACCTGCCACTTCACAAGGTGGAGCCCTTCACGATCTCGGCCCAATACGAACACCCAAATCAAGTACCATACACTGACTGGAAGCTGGGCACGTGGAGAGTGAACGGAGTCACAAAGCCAGCCGACGCCGACTACAGAGTGGTCAAAGTTCGATTGGGGTTGAACCATAATGGCATCTTTGCCGTTTCAAAAGCAATGTTCGAGGAGAAGGTGGAAGAAGAGGTTGAAGAACCAATGGAAACTCAAACTCAACCACCAAAGGAAGGAGAGAAGCAAGAAGGCGATAAAGGCGAGGAAATGGAAGAAGCACCACAAGAACAGCGGACAAAGAAGGTGAAGAAGGTGCGCAAGGTGGTCCACGAGCTCCCAATCGAACAGCTGGAAGGACGTCTTGTCAATCTGGCACCGTACGTTGAATTCGAAAGACGAATGCAACAGAATGATCTCAACGAGAAACTGAAGGCCGACGCCAAGAACGCCGTGGAGGAATATGTCTACTCGATGCGTGACAAGCTGTGTGAACAGTTCGCTGAGTTCGTCACGGAAGAGGTGAGTTTTTGAAGGTTTCTTGGGATTAAAATGGCATTTGAGTTAATTTAGGTATAAAAAATTTAAAATTTTTTAAAACTTTTTATTTGTGTTCGAAATGACATTCTACTTGGAATCCAAATAATCTTTCATTTTTAAAAGCCCACCTAATCATGCTTAAAATTTCAGGAATCCGAGAAGTTCCGCGCCCTCCTCACCGACACCGAAGACTGGCTGTACGGCGATGGCGAAGAAGCCGAACGCGACGTTTACGAGGCTAAATTGGCCCAAATCCGCGACGTCATCGAGCCACCGATCTCGAAACGTCAACGCGAAAAGCTCGACCAGGAAGAGGTGGAACGAAACCTACGCGAAGCCGAAAAGGAGTTCCAGGCCGAACAGATCAACGAACCTCGCGTCGAAGAGCCGATGGACACGAAATAGATGATTTTAACTTTTAAAATTATCGTTTTGAGTAATTATGTTAATTAGAAGAGATTTTTTGACTATATTGTAATCAATAAGAAGGGTTTGTTTGATTGTCTTGGTCGATAATATTGTCTTTGGCTGATCTTTTTTATTGAAAAGCAGTTTTTGAGCAACTTTATTCCAAAAGTTCCTCTTTTGATCGATATTTTAGTCTAAAAAGCCTTCTTGGTTACTATAATTAGTCAAAAAATTTATATTGATTGATATCTTATTGATCAATTCGGTTGTTCTATTAATTATGTTATGGATCTGCACTTTGAAGGACATCCACAAACGTTCCTGGTTGTCTGTTGGATACTCTTCGATCTTAAAATATTGCCTCCGTCTCTTATATTGTACTTGTTTTAAATATTAATCGATAAACATTATAGTGAAGACGAGCTAATCAATCCGGTATAAACATAAAATTACAGTAAAATTGCGAACTTTAAGCATTTGTATCCTTTGACTCTGAAAAAATATTGAAAAATTATTTTTTCGAAATAAAAAAATTTTCAAATTTCGTTCATTTTGTATTTTTACTCTTGTATGTTGCAGTCTGGTTTTTGTGACATACAGGCGTTTAAATTCTTTCAACTTGTAGCATAAGGTTATAGCTAGAGGGTTTCTTCATTCAGCCCCATCGGCAGTCTGACAGTGCCATTATTGGATCATGGTGAGTTATTTATGAAAAACATAGAAAAGGACGTTTTACTTAGCTAAACTCCTTAGATATCTTACTTTATATAAAAGCTTTATCCACTAAAAACCTCAAACTTTCAGTCCGACGAAGAGAAAGGTGACCCATCAAAGCGGAAGACGGAAAACGCGAACGACAAAGATGAAAGCAGCGAGAAGAGTCCAGCCACCAAATCCCCAAAGAACACGGATCGTCCGCTAGGCCAGCCCTTGACTAAGAGCCCGCAAAGCCAAGCCTTGGGTCAAAGTCCACTAGGCCAGCCGTTGGATAGCAGTCCAAAGGACGAGCCGCTCGAAGAGAAAACCTTTATGGACACTGATGACGATGAGGTTAAGGATGAAACAGACAAGACCAAAGACGAAGGTGAGAAGCCGAAAGAAGGAGAGGCTGAGGCTAAAGCACCATCAGGCGATGTTAAGGATTTTTTGTCGCTGGCTAAAACTCAACGTGACGTTCCGGAGCCAAAAGGCGGGAGAGGGAAGCGAAGTCCGAAAGGAAGGTAAGAGTAGTCAGCAAAATTTTTTACTTTTTTTAAACTTTTTATGTACCTATTCCAATATTTTCGCTATTGTTATCTACTCTAATATTATTTGCTTTCTTTTTTTTATAAAATTTCTGTTCCAGACCCCTATCACCAGCCGAGAAAACCGTAATATTGGAAGGGAAACGAAGTCGCTACGTTGACAAAAATCTCACATCGAAAGAAGAAGAGCCGGACGATGGACGGAAAAGCAAGTACTCGCCAGTTGTCGACACAAAACCAGCTAAACCAAAGAAGGATGACTCGAAACGTGAGGCACGAAAGAAGAAGAAAACGGACGAAAAAAAGCCCAAGAAGAAGCCGAGAGAGAAGAACAAAGAAACAAAAGAGATTAAGGAAGCCAAGAAAGAGTCGAAAGGAGTCGAGGAACCCAAGCAGAAACCCAAGACTGAAGTGAATGAAGCACAACTAGCCAAAATGACACTGGAACCGACTCAAAAAGAGAAGCCTCCGAGGGACAGAAATTCTGATTCTATGGTAAGTGGTCTTAGTGTAGTAGAGCAGAGTGGCGTATGGTAGAGTAGAGTAGAGTAGAGTAGAGTAGACATTCATCAATGTAGGGTAAGAATAGTGCTTGGGTAATGCATAGGTTGATCTACAGTAAGGCATGACTACTATATGACTGCGGTAGGACTATTTTAAGTTAATGAGCAGAACATAAGGTATGGGTATGTAAGGTATGTTTTGGTACGATCACGGTGGTAAGGTAGAACATGTAAGCAATGGAACTACAGTAGTAGGTAGGGTAAAGTAGAGTAAGGGTAGGGTAGGGTACGGTAAGGTAGGTTTAATAGTAGAATACGAGTAGTTAACGATACTAAAACAATATTAATCCACAAAAACTTATTACAGTACTCCCCAGTGTCCAAAAGAGAGAAGAAACCCGAAGACACGACCACAATTCAGTCGAAGAAGTCCCAAAAGAAGAAGAAAAAGCCTCGCAAAAAGAATTCCAATGAAAACAAGCAAAAGGACCAGGCCAAAGTGACCACAACCAAAAACTACCTCAACGCACTGTGGACGAAGCTCACGAGCGTCGGTGAAGTGTGGCGTCTTACAGAGAAGGAGAAGAAGAAGGAAGAGAACATTGTACCAGCCACACCGTACCAACTGTACGATCGTGATCCGAACGTGCAAATCATGCTGGACGCGGTCAAACTGGCTCGATGTCCAATGGAAATTGCGAGGAAACTGGAGGTTACCGTGGTTTTTCCACCTGGATCGCCGGTAGGGCTTTAAAATTTGAAATTTCAATTTTTTTTTAATTTTAAAAAATTTTAAATTTTTAAAAAAGTCGAAATTTTTAAGTAAAAAAAATATTAGGTGTTTCAAATAATTCTGTGCCCCTTATAAAAGTAAATTGCCGTAGTTAATGGCTCAGAATTGTTGAACAACTTAATAGATAAGCTGCTATTGTTAACATGACCATACCTTTTAGAAAGACGTCCGCCTGTACAAAACGATGCAAGTAATCAACATGCCAGCCGGTTTCGTAGGTGATTGTGAGCTGGAAGAAACCGATCCGAAACATCTCGATCTAGGCGACTGGGTCTGCTATGTTAACGGTACAGTGGTGCGCGATAGAACCGAGTACACAGCTGTGGTCACGAAACTACAAAGCGATTTCGAGGCAAATGAGAATAAGGTTGGTTGTTTCACATTTTTTAACATTTGTTAAACTTTTTTTTACTCTTTATATCACCCCTTCGTTGCCTTTATTATTTGTTTGGCCGTTAATGGCTTGATCTACTGAAACATTTTGGGCCATATCTTTTTGGATATCGTAGTTGGAAACTTGAAAATTTGTGTGATTGTAGATGACTTTTATTGTCAAAGTACCCTGCAAACTAAATTTCAAAAGTTTGCCATTTCAAAAAGTTACAGTAATTTTACCACACCTCTATCTTTTTTTCAAAATTTTCAATTTTTTTTAAAAACACGAAAACAAAAAAATATTTTTCAGCTAGAAGTCAAATACACAATAGTCCGAACCCTGAGGAAGCTAAAAATACCCAGCAAGTCCCAATTAGGCCCTTTGGTACCGTTAGGCTACGAATTCAGTATAGGCTTCACATATCTAGCCGGCTTCCTAACTTTATATCCGCTGAGCTGTCTTGGAATCAATGTCAAAGCTTACGATGGGAAGGTGTTAATCTCCAGTATTGATAATGGCTTCAAATCTCTGGGCAAACGAACCTTTGTCATTGGCGACACCATCATGAGTATCGATGGACAAGGGGTTGGCTCGGTCGCAACTGCCAAAACGGCCATTTCCAAAGCGCTGCAGGAAGGAAAACGATTCGTAAGTGAAGGTTTTATGTAGAAGAAGGTTTTTCAAGTTTATATTCATCATAGCTTTATGTTTTATTATCAAAACTCCAAGTGTTTTAACTAAAATATCGTCGAAAGTTTAGTGCGTCGTTGGAATCGAACGCCCCCAAAGCTCCCAAGCCCTACTCTGCATCAAAAACGCACTGCTACAAGACAAAACAATCCCAATCAACCCTCGAATGATGGACGATGTTGTAGCGATTTGTGACGCCGAGAAGGAGGTGATCAAACGAGGTGGTATCCAGCCAGGTAAATCCATCTACACAGGACCACCCGCCAAACGAGACCCAGATCGTTGTGTGAGAATCAACGATGAATCACAGGAAATCCCAATCCAATGCGATCCCTACAATGCCAAACTCCTGGTCAACGCACCGCCAAGACCCGCCGGCGGCTCCAAAAAGAAGTCCAAACATTAACCTCGGCTTATCATGGACAAGACAAAAACGAATGAATAAACCTTTGAAAGCTTGAGGAAATGTGTATTTTAAATTTGAATAAAATTCAATTGTAAAGATAAATAGAATAAGGTTGCGCTCATATTTTCCATGTTGTACTAAGTTAGCTCACCTATGATAATATAACATCAGTTTTTAAAGCTAAACCTAAGTCTAACGTCTTGAACTTTTTATTTTATGTCTAAAAAGTCCTCAAAAACACTCACCTCAAAATTTTTTCCTAAACTAATCAAAAATGATAGAGTCACGATGACACATTTTATAGACATTCAACCGAAAATCTAAAAAATATGCCTTATAGCATCCTTTTTCGAAATCGACGGCAAAAGTCGTTTATTCGACTGAATTTCAACATTATCGTCAAGTTCAAGCGACAACATGTCGTTGCACAAAGTTCGCGAAGCTACTGTCGAAGAGCTGATGGCCGAAAGAGAGTCTGAGGAGTTCAAAGCTGCTGAGAAAGCCGTCATCGACCTTATTGGTGAAGGTCGCGTCAAGTTGCTGCGCAAGCTCTGCGAAGAAGCAGTTGAGCTGAGCCAGCACACAGATCGCAATGGTATTCTTAAGGATGGAGTTTTGGAGGAATTCAACAAGAAGGTTGGTTTATTTTGATTCGTTTTCTTGGCTTATAGGATGGATAATATCGAAGAGAAGTTAATAAGTTTAGATGTTTCTGTGGACTAGTTTGCTTATAAAATAAGATTAGGTGTAGATCTACGATTTCAGATGGTTTTCATTATTATTTGCACGTTTTCGAGGCATGAATTAGCTCATTTGCAACGTTAACATCTGAAATAGTTATGAGTTGGGTGATATCGATGAAAAATGGGATAATATTGCATTCTTTAATCTTAATCTTTTAAAGTTAAGTCAATGTCGAAACTACAATTTTCAAACCGTTTTTTTTAAATTTTATTTGATATCGTTTAAATTTCGAGATTGCAGATGGATGAACACAAACTGACTGAGTGCGAGGTCGCTTGCGTCACTTACTACATCAACGATGGTATTCAACGGACTTTGGCCGAGCTCAAGAAGATGGACGGTCACAGCCAACGTGCCAAAGACTCCACGAATCCGCCCGGAGAAGCTCGTATGGAGGCACTGATTGAAAATGAGGAGCACGTGGGCGAACGTGAAAGTGACGACTCAGGTTGCTGCGATAGCGAGCCATCCACTTCTGGCGAAGTATTATACAATTAATTATAATAAGTGTTATAGCGTTTGATGGAGTTTGTATTATTTTTTGCTGAAGTTTTAGCTAATAAACCAAGTTTGTTTCGTTTTGTTTTTGATATTTTAGGTACTTTTGCCTCATTTTTGTTTAAAGACTTTATTTTTCAGGAAGTTTTATGCATAATTTTTATGAATAATGAAAATGAAAGTTCTTTCAACCTTTTTCAATTTTGAATTTTATTTTTTTTGTAAATTTTATAACTCGCCGAACGGTTTGATTGTTGTTTCTATTTCCTTTCGTGATAAATGTGGATTCAACCGGTTTTGTGGTATTGTAGCTTCATGGTGTGGTACCAAATCTTCACCACGGCGTTCTTGACTTTCGTTGCTATCGAGAATTGGACGTATCTTTGCATTATTTACCTAATTTACGTTGTGGTAAGTGTTTTGATTGATAATCTTGATGTTTTGGTTTTAATGTTAAATTCTTTTCCTATTTTATGATTTGTAAAGAAAGTTCTTGCCATTTTGGGGATTTCAGATAAAGTTCTTGCAATTCTATGATTTGTAAAGAAAGTTCTTGCCATTTCCCTTACTGTAAAGCAATTTCTTGCCATTCTACGTTTTGTAAAGAAATTTCTTGCCATTTTTAACCTCTCATCTTTTCAGCTCTTCTCATTCACATTAGGATGTCTCTTTCAAGCCTTCTACGCACCTTTTCCCACGTTACCTCCTGAATATCATTTGCCAGCGAATTGGCTTGAATTGGCTGAAACTGAACACAAGAATGAGCCAGAATATGCTAGAATGTACTACAAAGCTCGAAGTTTTGCTCGCGGCCTTACAAACATACGAAGAGAGTAAGTTATGGTATTTTTAGTCTTTGCACGGTGCAATTTCATAACAGGTTAGGCACTGCACTGTGCAATTTTAAACATTTTAGAGATTGCACGGTGCAGTGCCTTGTAAGTTTTGAATTTGAATTTGAAAAGAAAAATTATGAAATAAAATTTTAGGACAATAAGATTGAACGGCAAAACGATGAAATTTCCGAGCTTTTGCCTCAAGTGTAATATCATCAAGCCAAAGGACACTCGGCATTGTAATCGATGTAAAGCTTGTCTACCTAGAATGGATCATCATTGTCCGGCGTTAGGTAAGACTTGTAAAGAAAGTTTTTGCTATCTTTTGCTTTGTAAAGAAAGTTTTTGCTATTTTATGCTTTTTAAGGAAAGTTCTTGGCAGTTCATGTCTTGTAAAGAAAGTTCTTGCTATTTTTAGCTCTGTAAAGAAAGTTACTGCGTTTTAATTAAAAAATTTTAGTGTAAAAGCTGAAAGCAATAGTATTATAGGTAAATGTGTCCACTTTGGGAATCACAAGCATTTTCTGGTGTTTCTCATCTACTCCGTGCTGATCTGTACCTACACGGACGTTGTCGCCGGCTACTACACGTGGGCCGCTTTCGTGTATTGTCGAGAGAACATGGTATCAGAGCTGCTGGTACCGATTTCTGCCGCTGCTACTGGACTGATTCAGACGATTGTGAGGTTTCTACCGTACCCTACCCTACTCTTCCCTACCATACCCTACCTTACTCTACTCTGCTTTGCTCTATCTTACTCTACCCTACCTTAACGTTAACCATACTTACCCTATTTACCCCGCCCTATCCTATCCTGCCTTGATCTGCTCTGCTTTCTACCCCAAACTTATTCTACCGTACTCCATATTCTCTTCTTTTGATTACAGTACGTTTCAGAGTTTTCCAATAATTCTCGCCTGGTTCCAGTACGGACTATGGGAAAGCGTACTACAAGGAATACTGACAGTCGAAGCCTGCTACGAAGATGAAAAGGCAAAGAAGGTTCCAAGAAGCGCCTGGCTCGGCAATGTAAAGAAGATATTTGGCGAGCATTACTGGGTCTGGCCTCTGCCCATTCAAGATCTGCCTGAAGAGAACGCTTACCTACTGTAATGTAATAATTACGAACAGTCCAAGGTCTACTTGATGATAATACTTATCTACTGTAATATAATGAATAGGTTGATAAATAAATGAATTTGAAGTTGATATTAGGTAATGTCGACAATATTTGTAGATAATTGATTTTTTCACAATTTATTAAGTATTATGGACTAGAATCAGCTTTCCTTTTTATTTTTGCTTTGTACTGACTTTCAATGTCATACAGTTGAACTAGGTTCTCCTTGAATTCCTTGTAGACGTGTTGTTCAATGTCTTTAAACGCCATTCTTTCCGAATCAGAAGAAAGCGAAGAAACCTTGCCAATGGAGTATATGTCAGACATGGGATCAGTCTTCTCAAATTTTCCAAAGAGTTTTGTGAAATTTCCTGAAAAAGGTCCAGAGCATCAATAGAGATAGGTTTTTTGGTCAAAAAGATGTCATTTCACAGAGAGAATGGGCTAGGATGAAAAGTAGGGCAGGGGTTAAAACTAGGGCTTGCGCTAGGACTTGCGCGGCGCTAGGCCTAGAGTCAGAGCTAAAACTAGGGGCAGAGCTAGGGCTAGAATTAAGGCTCTGGACTAGGACTCTGGACTAGGTCTCTGGACTAGGGCTATGAACTAGGGCTCTGGACTAAGTCTTTGAACTGAACCCAACGTTAGACACCAAGATAAAGCTATTATAATAATAAGCCTAGGGTAAGATAGAGCGAATTAAAACCCAACTAAGAAAAGCAAAACGAGATAGTTAACTTCAGTGTTTTGCCGGACCGGTCCGGTCCGGATTTTCAAAAATTGCAAAATTGAAAATAACTTTTTAGTTTATGGTTTGAAGTTTTAAAAAATAAATAACTTTTGTGAAGGTCCGTCTTTGGCTATCAAGTTATTACCGAAATGGACCACCCGGGCCGGCAAGACCAATTCGGTCCGGCCGGTCCAAATGTTTAGCGAGGAACTTGTATGAGACGGACCTTTACAAAAATTATTTATTTTTTAAAAGTTCAAATGATGAGTTCAAAAGTTGTTTTCAATTTTGCAATTTTTGAAAATCCGGACCGGACCCGGTCCGGCAAAACACTGGTTAACCCCTTATTATAATATAAATTACAAAAAGACTACAGAAAAGGTGCTTTTTAAAATATAAAGTTTTAAGTTGAACTTACTTTTGGTATTCCAATCAAAATACGCCAATCGAATTTCACGTTCTGTGTAGCGAACGTAATTCAAATCTAAAAAATATTGTGTGTGAGATGTAGCTTTTACCATCCCTAAAAACTGGCCATTTTTCTAAGCACCATACTTCTAAACATCACCCAGCTGAATAGGTCACCCAACCAAATAGGTCATCTCACTGAATAGGTCACCCAACTGAATAGGTCACCCAACTGAATAGGTCACCTCACTGAATAGCTCACCTCACTGAATAGGTCACTTTACTGAATAGGTCACCCCACTGAATAGATCACCTCACTGAATAGGTCATCTCACTGAATAGGTCACCTCACTGAATAGGTCACCTCACTGACCAGGTCACCTCACTGAATAGGTCACCTCACTGAATAGGTCACCTTACTGAATAAGTCACTTTAAATTAGTTTTTCTTACTTTGTGAATGCGGTGGAGGACGTTTTTGATAACTTAGTTGATAATTCTCATATGCAGGGAACTTATAAGGGCATTTTCCAACATTTTTCCAGTTGCTTGACTTTTTATTGTATCTTAAAATCTGAAAGTATAAAAAAAGTTACAATAACTACAAATAATTTCCCTCGAAATAGGGCTGGAGCTAAAGCTAGGGCTTGACAGTGTTTTGCTTGTTGGGTCCTGTCCGGACGGTCCAAATTTTTGAATTAATTTTTTCCGCCAAACTCATATCTCGAAAAGAGATATCAAAAAATTAACAGCATCTAGAATAGTCAGCCAGTGCCGGGTGGGGACTTTTAGTCCGTGGGCGGGGGTCGAATTTTTTTTTCAAAAATCCACAGGGGAGACCACGTTCAACTTTTTTCGAAATTTTTTTTTCTAGGGAGGGGGGGAGGGGGGGGGGGGTAGAAAAAAGTTTCAGATCGATCCGACCGGTAGAAAAAAAAACGCGGGGAAACGAAATTCCGGATTTTCGCAGTTGGTCCGACCCGGGGAGAAATCTGGGGCTAGATAAACTTGTGTTAGTAGAGGAAGGGCAACTTATAGACAACAAAAAATAAATAAAAATTTTTTGATGTTTGTGATAATGGAATGCCTAAATCCTTTCTTTTTCTCTTCTCTCCCTCTTGCCAAATATAAATTTAACTTTTTCACTTACCTCCCCAGTACTTTCATTATAAATATTTTCAAACAATGTGAATATAGACCACTTCTCTTTGCTATCTTTTTCTAGCACTGTCTTTTCCTTCTTGGTATCATAAATTAAAATTCCTGAATCTTCACCTATAAATGTATTATTAATTTTGATGTAAAGGCCTTCTAAGAGTCCAAAGACGATATGTTTAGCTATATATTGTACAGTTTTTATTATGTTTACTATTAGAGTGGCTTACCTTGTAATATGACAAACTCATCCTTGAGCAACATGTAAACATATTTGTAGGCTTTTCCTTTCATCAAACACTTATATCGAGTTTTGTCATCATACAATATTACCTCATTGTAATCGTTCATAAATACGATATGTCTCCTGTAGTCATATGATTGTATATGTCTAGGGTTGTAGGTCAAAACCCCTTCATAGTGAAAGTAGTTTAATTGCGTGTAAAGATCAGTGAATTGAGCACAGTCGTAGATACGATAATCATTCAACTTACTACCACTGTATTCTCTTATCACTTGATCAAGCTTGAAGTCGTATATCAAGACCTTGTGGTCGTATTTGCCTAAGATCTGTTTTACTACAATCAACTGTGTGCCACGATTAATCAACTGCACTTTGTTGATTATCTTATCATCTACATTAAAGTTGTGTGGATTACTAGTAGCACACTTGGTGCATATTTGGTAGAAACCTTCTCTAAAGTCTACCAGTTTGAACTCGTTGAGACCAAGGTCAATATTGGTGATAAGTACTAGTCTGTCGAGTACGACGAAAGCCATCTTGCCAGAGTAAGGACATGAAACGGAATGCTTTTCGTTTATGAATGATAACTCTGTATATCTTCCGCCATATTCATCACAATAAGGTTCAAAGTCGGGAATAGTGAAGAGGCGGCGTGGAGCGCTAAAATACAGTACATTACTTACAATAAGAAACCTAGTAAAGATAACAAAAGAAGCATTGGGTAAGGGAAAAAGTGGTAGGGCAGTCTGGTTAACGCTATGCTTGAAGCGGCTAAAGCTAGAAGGCAAAGGCTAAATCTAGAACTAATGTTAAGACTACGGCTAAAGCTAGGTATAAGGCTAGAGATAAGGCTAGAGATAAGGCGAAGAGCATAATTCGAGCTAAGACTTGGGATAAGCCTTGAAAAAGATATAGTAAATTAGAGTTAACTTACAGGAAAAAAGCTTCTGCCCAACATTCATTTTCCAGCCGGAATACTGTATTTTCAATGCAAACTTTGCGAAAATCAATGTTAATCAACTTATAAAAGCTTTTGTTGACCAAAGCCAAGGAACAGAGTGCTTCCATTGATTCCACATACTCTAACACAAGTCTCCATACCTAAAAGTATGTTTCTTAAAATACACGAGACAAAATGATGATAATACCAAGACATTGATTAGAAAAGTTTAAAATAATATCACTATGACAAATTTAAAAACCTACGTCAATAGAAAGTCGACTCATTGGTAACAACTAAAAAAGACAAAGCGTATATAACGAACACTTTTATTATTTTTTGCGAGCGCTATAGCTCAGCTTTGGCCCGTTTTAAGTCAACGACAATCGTAGATCTAATGCATCTTTTACGTCTTTTATTTGCATCTTTTCCAAGAGCGAACATGACTTTTATAATGTAAACTACAGCTTTCAAAAAGTGTACCAACTTTAACTTATAACAGTGACATTTCCTGCCAATGTATTCTGATATCCTTATTTCATGACGTTACAAATTTGGCGAGCATTACTAGATCTAGCCCCTGCACATTCGAGACCTGCTTGAAGAGAACGCTAACATACTGTAACGACAGTCCAAGATCTACTTGAAGATATTATTTATTTACTGTAATATAACAAGTAGGTTGAGATTGACAAATAAATAAGTTTTGAAGTCGGCAGTAGTCAACAAAATTTTGATTAGTTTTTCACAATTCATTATGAACTAGAACCAGCATTCATTTTTATTTTTGCTTTGTACTCCCTTTCAATGTTGTAGAGTTGGAATAGGTTCTCCTTGAATTCCTTGTGGACGTGTTTTTCAATGTCTTTAAACGCCATTCTTTTCGAATCAGAAGAAAGCGAAGAAACCTTGCCAATCGAATATATGTCAGGCATCGGATCAGTCTTTACAAATTTTCCAAAAAGTTTCGTGAAATTTTCTGAAAAAGAGCCAGAGCATCAGTAGAGATAGGGTTTTTAGCCAAAAAGACGAGGGAATTAAAGGAGGAGTGATAATTTTATTGAGAGTATGCCGCAAAGTAAGACGAAGGCTGAACCTAAAAGGATATGAAAAAAAGATTTTAAAATTTGAAATTTTATTTTTAACTTACTTCGATTCCAATCGAAATACGCCAATCGAATGTCATGGTGTCTGTAACGAACGTAATTCAAGTCTGAAAATTTTCAGTGAAATATAGGTTTTATCACTTCTAGGGACAAGGAAACATCTTATAGGTCACCCTACAGAATAGGTCAAATCATTAAAAAGGTTACTTTAAATTAGCTTTTCTTACTTTTTGAATGTGAGGGAAGGCATTTGTAGGGCTTCAATAAATTCTGCTTTTCATATCCAGGAAACTTATAAGGACATTTTCCAACCTTTGTTCAGTTGCCTGACTTTTTATTGTATCTTATAACCTGAAAGTAACGTGAATTACTATTAGGTCGAACCAAAAGTAGCGGGACTCTAGTAATTCATTACAGTTTTTAGTTAAAAATTGTCCCGCTACTTTTGGTCGAACCTAATATTTTGTTTATAAATAAGTGATTTAAAACAAAGTTAATTTTTAGTACAATTAGGGCACTTCAATATAGGGTGTAAAGTTATGGTTAAGGCTAGATAACCTTGTGCTAGTAGAGAAAGGGCGTCTTATAAACTATTATAAAAAACATTTAATATTTTTGATAATGTTTATTGGCCTAAATCTTTTATTTTCTTTATCTTGTACCCTCTCTTCATAAAAACTTTTTTTTTACTTACCTCTCGAGTATCTTCATTGTAAACTGTTTCAAACAGTGGAAGTATAGACCAGTTGCCCTGTTTTTCTAGTACTGTCTTTCTCTTCTTTGTGTCATAAATTAAAACTCCTGTATTCTCTTCTACAAATGCATTATTACTTTTAATTTGAATACTTTTTAAGAACCAAAAACAGTGTTTAACTATATGTTACACTAGACTTTTGAGTGTTTGTTATGTTCTGTGACTAGTTTTTCAGAGAACATGACAAACCCTGTCCGAGCCAGGAATTTTATAAAAAGGCGGAGTTTTTTTATTTGTAAACTTTGTTTACTGTACCTTATTGTAGAACTGTAATTTTCTATTTATTCTAAAGACAGTGACTGACCTTGTAAAATGACAAACTCGTCTTTGAGCAATATGTAAACATATTTGCACGATTTTCCTTTCATCAAACACTTATATCGAGTTATGCCTTCAAACAGTATTACCTCATTGAAATCGTTCATAAATACGATATGCTTTCTGTAGTCGTATGATTGTATATGTTTAGGTTTATAGGTCAAAACCCCTTCATAGTGAAAGTACTTTAATTGCGTGTAAAGATCAGCGAATTGAGCAGAGTCGTATCTACGATAATCATTCAACTGACTACCAATGTATTCTCTTATTACTTGATCAAGTTTGAAGTCGTATATCAAGACCTTGTGATCGTATTTGCCTAACAAGGGAATGTTACAAACTACTCCACGCAAATTATAAAACGAGTTATACCGTTGGAAAGAGCGTTAGAAAGTAATTTAAAATCAGCTTTTTTTAGCTGCCAAAACCATGTGGCACGGCAGCTACAGTTCGTTATATATCCTTATATGTTTAAAGAGTATACCTTTAAAGTTCAGAAAATGCTATTTTTTGATAATTATTTTTTTCTAAAATGAAAGAAAGGTAAAAAATAGGACTTTAAAAAATATTTTTTTTAATCAAAATATTGTTTGGCTAGCCAAAACTTCTGGTCATGATAGCTGGGCGCCAAAAGGAAATCGACGGGATTCGAACTCTCCGCCTTCTGCACTCCAGACTAACTTGTTAACCACTCGACCACACTGCAAAGGTTCAATCCATTCGTTTGCTTAAAACGAATAAGAAGAGTCAAATAGCAAACCCTATGTAAATCCTTTGCTCGCTAATACATGCCGTGCCATATGGTTTCGGCAGCTAAAAAAAGTTGATTCTAGGCAACTTTTTAACGCTTTTTCTAACGGTATAACTCGTTTTATAATTGGCGTGGAGTAGTTTGTAACATTGCCTTGTAAGATTTTTTTACTACAATCAACTGTGTGCCACGGTTAATCAACTGCACTTTGTTGATTATCTTGTCATCGACATTAAAGTTGTGTAGATTACTAGTAGCACACTTAGTGCCTATTTGGTAGAAACCTTCTTTAAAGTCTAACAGTTTGAACTCGTTGAGGCCAAGATCAATATTGGTGATAAGTACTAGTCTGTTGAGTACGACGAAAGCCATTTTGCCAGAGTAGGGACATGAAACGGAATGCTTTTCGTTTATGAATGATAACTCTGTATATCTTCCGCCATATTCATCACAATAAGGTTCAAAGTCGGGAATAGTGAAGAGGCGACGTGGAGCGCTGAAATACAGTATATTACCTACAATAACACAGCTATTAGAGTTAGTAAGGCAAGCATTGGGAAAAGAAAGAAAGTGATAAAGTTAAAATAATTAGCGCTTAAGGCAGCGCTTGAGTAAGAGCTTAAGTCTAAAGCTAAGGTTAAGGCTGAGCCTCTGGATTAAAGGTCTGGGCTAAGACTCTGAGCCAAGGTTAGGACAGGGCTAAAGCTAGAGTTAGGGTACGAATAAGGCTAAGGCTATGAGGATGATTTGTGCTTAGACATGGGATAAGCCTTGAAGAAGATATAATAAAGTAGAGTTGACTTACAATAAAAAAGCTTCAGCCCAGCATTCGTTTTCAAGCCGGAATACTGTATTTTCAATGCAAACTTTGCGAAAATCAATGTTAATTAACTTGTAAAAGCTTTTATTTACCAAAGCCAAGGAACAGAAGGCTTCCATTGATTCCACATGCTCTAACACAAGTCTCCAAACCTAAAAGTTAAGAAAATTTTTTTTTATTTTAAGAAAACTGTTTTAAAAATTGCAAATAAAACATATTTTTAGGAGTTTTTAAGCAAAAAGAAAGCAGTTTTAGCGCTCCTTGCTTTTTTTAAAAATTAAAAAAATTTCTTTTGCGGACCGGACCCAAAAAATCGCCGGACCGGACCGGTGAAAAACGCTCCGGACCGGTCCGGGCAAAACACTGGTTCCAGAGATCAAGCCAGAGCTAAAACGTTTAAAAAAACGCAGTTGGAGCTGGAGCCGAAGCTACAAAATGTAAGATTTAGTACGAAAATCTATCTAAAAATCTCCGGTACGGCTCCGGTTCTAAGTGGCTTTAACCCGCGTCTTGCTCTGGCTCCAATGCTTGAATTAGAACTACTACTTAAAAAAGCGGTGATAAGGTTAAAGCCAATGCTAGAACCGGAAATTTTCTATTTATGAACTTTGTCACTTATTATTATGTTAGGTGCCGACATAAAGAACCCGCCATACTTTTCCTGTATTTTCCTCTAAAAAATGGCGGGTTCTTTATGTCGGCACTTGATATTATTGTAGAACTAAAAGAAGGGACTCACCGTGTAAAATGACAAACTCGTCCTTGCTCAACAGGTAAACATATTTACTTGCTTTTTGAATAACACACTTATCATACAGCACCACATCTCCGTCGTCGCTTATATATACGATATGTCTTTTGTAGTCATATAATTAGATATGTATAGGGTTGTAGGTCTGAACTGTTTCATCAGAAAAGTAATTTAATTGCGTGTAAAGATCTGTAAATTGATCGGAATCGTAGATACGATAATTATTCATCTCACTACTACTGTATTTTCTGATAACTTGCTTGAGTTTGAAGTCGTATACCAACACCTTGTGATCGTTTCTGCCAAAATTTAGTTTTACTACAATTAACTGCGTGCCACGGTTAATCAACTGCACGTTATTGATCATCGTGTTATCTACAAAAAATTTGGGACGATAACTTGTAGTAGGCTTACTAGGGTTTTGGTAGAACCCTTCTCTGAAGTCTAAAAGCTGGAATTCGTTGCGACCAAAATCAATATTAGTGATAAGTACTAGTACGTGGAGTACGACGAAAGCCAGCTTGCCAGAATAGGAACATGAAACGGAATGCTTTTCATTTAAAAATTTTAACTCTCCAAATCTTAAGGTATATTCATCAGAGTAAGGTTCAAAGCTAGGAATACTGTAGAGGCGGCGTGGAGCGCTGAAATACATTATTCACAATAAGACGGCTAGCGGAGTTAGTAAGACAATTCTTGGATAAAGATAGAAGGTCATAGAGCAGTTTATCAACTTCTATTGGAAATTAGCTAAGTAAATAAGTAAGATCGGGGCTAAGGCTAGGGTTAGGACTCGGGCTATAGGCATGGTTCGGGATAAGACTTGGAATACGCCTTAAGAAAGATATATTAACGTAGACTTGACTTACAACAAAAAAGCTTCTGCCCAACATTCATTTTCAAGCCGGAATACTGTATTTTCAATGCAAGCTTTACGAAAATCAATGTTAATCAACTTGTAAAGGCTTTTATTCACCAAAGCCAAGGAACAGAGAGCTTCCATTGATTCCACATGCTCTAACACAAGTCTCCATACCTAAAATTATTATAGTTGTAAATAGATTAGAACCATATTAGTATGATTAGAAAAATACAAAAACTACGTCATTAGGAAGATTTTTCATGGGTAACAATTAATAAAAAATAAAGTTAATTAAAACGAACACTTTTATTATTCTTGCAAGCGCTATACCCAAACCTTGGGTCACTTTAAACCAAAGAAAATCGTATACCCTATGCTTTTACGTCTTTTCTTATTCGTATCTTTTAAGCGCCAACACAATTATTAACTTCCACTTTTTAAAGGTCTTTCATCTTAAAATTAAGAAAATACTATTATACCATACAACTTTACAAACCCAAAAATATTTTTCATAAGTTCACAAAAATCGGCAATTTTAGCTAATAAATACTTTTATTACTCATAAAATCTAAAATAAATAACAATAAAAAGGCTGATCTCCCGTACAAAGATTGTTTACATGATACAGTAGTATTTACTTGGCCTTCTGTACGCGACGGTTTCGTGGAGATCCAATCTTGGGGGATTTGTCGGTCAGGTGGGATCGTGGAATCCATTCGTAGTCAACCTCGTCGCTGCTGGTTCCGGTTTCGTATTTGGCTGGACGAGAGATGGCGGTGGCCTTGCGGGTGAACTAAAACGACAATATTAAAATTACAATTGATATAGAAACAAAGATATATTGTTTATGTTCATTTTAATACCTTTTCTTTAAAGATTTTATAATTTTAAAACAAAATTGTAAGTTATTATCTACTACAATATAGATAAACCTGTTTTTTTATCCTAAAACTCGGTGAAGTCTGCAAAACTTACCTTAGAGAACAATTGTGAAACCAAGAAGAGAATTGCACCACTAATGGCGATCAGCACAAGGAACAAGAATCCGGTTTCAGTGTTGAAGTTGCTCTCGTCTTCTTGAACCAGGATGGTTTCATTGAACACGGTGTTGACATAGTAACCTCCAGCAGAGTCAGTGTAGTGAAGGTTGACAGTCAAACCAAGTGGTCGGCCAATGAAGGCTTCGTTGGGGATGAATCGGTAGTCGAATGAAGCCTCTTGCTTTGGAGCGACTGTTCTTTCAACACGGCCGGCAGTCAACTGTAAGAGTAGTGTTATAAGCTTGATATTACTTTAGTAAAGCCAGTTTTTATTAATTAATCCAAAATTGTATTTAAAACTACATTTAAAACTCTTTTTGCCTTAAAAAACTTAAAACTTATGCAAACAAGGCGTAGGATGCAGAATAACAAGATTTTTAATAGCCAAACATGAGAATCAAATTCGTCTTGAACTCATAGTCAAATAATATTAACCCTGAACACAAAAACGAACTAATAAAAAGACAAAACTTACGTTGAGCATGATCATGTTGAAGTCGAATGGATACCTGAATGATGGCTCGATGGCGTGAACAGTGAAGTCCTTTTCTCCCTTGTTAACAAATCCAACCAAGAATGTAGATACTTTTCCAGCTAAGAAGTCTAAAAACTGAATGTTATTTCGAGTATCAACGATTAATTAAAGGATATAGCTCCACATTTAGAGTCCACAATGTAAATCGACCTTTTTCAACACAAAAAACAAAAATTTAAACTAATAAACTTATAAAAAATACTCTCAAGACAATTTCTTAGCCAAGCAGTAGTAACTTTCGTCCTGAAATAAATGAGCTAGCCAGAAATTCAAGTTTTGGTACCTAAACCTCATATAGATAATATAAATCAACTTACTTTGAGTGTCTGATGGCTCTTGGAAGTAGAATGATACTTGAGCATCTTTGGATGGGCCAACAGTTTTTACTTCTTCCTCCTGGACGGTTCCTTCACCATCAACTTCATCTTCTGGACGAACTGAAAGCAAAAATATTATAGTAAACATCAAAAGCCAACGTTATTCATAACTTTTACTGTTTTTACTAAATATACTTCAAGATTTCAAAATACTTTACAAGGTAAACATAGATAACCATCCATTTTCGTTGTTTTAGATATAAATTTCCAAAAAATCCTCTATTTACTTACCTGTTGAGATTAATAACACACTGCAAAGGCAAAACAAAAACTGCCTTGAAGACAACATCTTGTAATATAATCAACTGAAACTTGAATGTATCAGTTTTATAAGTGAGATGACAGACGTCCTTCTCGTTGCGCCAACTAGAACAACTAGAGAAGCTCCAACGAAAAATATTAGCGAGAAAACTGCAAATATTTTCGCGGTGGGACCGAAACACGCGGCCCGTGTTGAGATAATTTACTCGAGTTTAAAGGCGTTTTTGAAGGAAAATCAAGGTGATTGATGGTACAAGGAGAACGAAACAATAAGGAAATGTTAATCACTGTAATCTTACAGGTTTGGTTTCCTTTTCCAGCTATATTTGGACTTGTAAAAAGGAAAAAGAGCGAAGCTATGGCGAGAACAAGCAAGGTGCTTTAACGTCAAATTGTTTTATTTAAAACTACGCAAGACTCACTTTAAAAAATGTATAAAATATACGTTTCTAATAGAGTAAGGTACTAGTAAAAACATATTTCTTGCTTTTTAAAGTGCATTTTTTTACAGAAATTATGCTTTTTGCTTTGAAAAACGTCAAAATATTTAAAAAATCAAAAATTTTCAACAACGTATTTATGCAAATTTACCGAATAATCAAACACCTCACAAGAACTGTTATTTGCTGTCATTTTCATTTTGTAAAAGTGTTGTGATCCCATCTAGTCGACATGGCCGAGGAGCCCAAACCAGATGGAACCTCGAAGAAGTCGGTCAAGAAGTCGAAAAGGTCGGTCAGGAAGTCGATGCGGTCCAAGCGGAAGAAGGTGGCGAAGAAGGACGAGGAACCAGGCACGCCGGATACTACTGGGTCCACGCCCGAGAGTAATGATGGTGAAACTGGCACTACAGCAACATCGATAAGTCAAATGAAGACGGTCATGGAGGACTTGCGTCCGGACAAAGCTGGAGAGTACACTGATGAGGTGGGTTTTATTTTTTGTTCTTTTAGGCTTGGTAAGGAAAATTTTTGCCATTTTATACTTTGTAAAGAAAATTTTTGCATTTTTACGTTTTTTAAACAAATTTCTTGTCGTTTTATGCTTTGTAAAGAAAGTTCTTGTCGTTTCATGCTTTGTAAAGAAAGTTAACGCATCTACTTTCAGTTGTCCGACCTCACGGATGATGAAAACGCTGATGGAAATCGTATCACCCATGGCCGTGGATTGATGGGCAGAATCCAGCCAATGATGTACAACAAGAGGATCCGCCACTTTGTCATTACCAACATCACTTTGATCATCTTGAACATCTTCTTGATGTTCACCTTCTTCGCTGGGGTCGTTTATGCCATTTATCTTCATGGAAACGTAGGTTTATATTTTTTTTTGGGTCAAATTTTGATTTTAAAATTTAAATTTGAAAACAATTTTTAAAGTTTAAACTTTTCATTTTCAATCTAAAATGATCTTTTTTGTATTGTCATTTCAGGTAGTTCATCGAAGTCAATTCAACAAACCATGTGTCTACGAATGGGGTGAATGGAGTAAGTGTTCAGCTTCTTGTCGTCCACAAGGCCAAGATTACCCGGTCAAAACTCGACGGATCAACCCGAATAAGATTGTTAGAGCACGAGGCATCTTCGCCGACATTGCACCATGTCCACTCAATTTGGATAACAAAGTGGTGGGCTTTGATAGTTGATATTATAGTAGGGCAGAATAAAGTATCGTAGGGTGTGTAGGGGAGAAGTTTTAAGAGTAAGAAATAATTTTTTATTTTTTAGAAATGAATTTAAAATAATATTTTTAGGACTTTGCTCCATGCAACACCCACTATTGTCCACTCCCACTCTCCTCGTATAAGTTCCAAAAGAGATGTAACAGAAGAAATGTCAACCAACCGGACGCTGGATGCTACAGAATTCGGGACATTCCGTTGAGTGATTCTTTGGTATGCTAATTTGATATTTCGATAAAAAAACAAGATTTTGAATTTTTTGAGCTTTGCACGGTGCAATTTAGTATTTGAAAGTTTGCACCGTGCAGTGCCATTTTGATGTTTTCAAGTATTTATACCTAAATTCATGGCTACATATTGTTTGTATGAGTAGTAATAGACAGTAAATTTGGTTTTTAAATATTTTTAGATTTTAATCGACACCCCGGAGCTAGTAAAAGAAGAAAATTGCACTTGTCAGAACTCAACTGTAATGGAGAGAAGTTTAACAAGGTAAGTTCACTTTTTGTTTTATTCTTAGCGACTTTCGGAACAATATTTTTCATTTTTTTATTTCAGGATTTAATCACCATCATTGAATTGAACGTGCCAACTCAGGAACACACTCGGCCTATATTATACTTGATGTTGTACCATAATGTTATTGTCGAATAAATTTTTGTTATTTTTCATTGATTTTTTGGGGAAAAGGTGAGTTTATAATGGCATTCTTTTACCTTTTTGACTACTTTTGAGTATTTTCTTGCTTGTAGAACTCATTTGCGCAGCCTGCAAACCCTCGGGCGCTTGTTGCGTAAAATAAAATAGATTTTTTATTTTGTTTTGGTCTCTATAACAATACAGTGTCCTAGAAAACGTGATGATTGTCTGCTGGGCGTTAGCATAATTTTAAAAATATTTCATTTACGAATATGCTTTTGGTTATTAACCTTGTTTCCATTTAATCGTTAATATTGATGTTGGTTTTTGGGTTTTTTATGTAAAAATGAAGTTGTGATATTATTTTTGAGGAAAGCTGAGGTTTATTGGTATCTAAGGAAGATATTCTTGTTGTTTAGAAGGTTCTTGAGGCGTTAAGCTAGCTGTGAGGATGAATATTAAAATATTTTCGTTAATAAACTATTTCGAGGATGAATAATACATTTTACTCAATTTTAAAGCAGTTTTAAACCTCCACACTCTTTCAGATGGTCTAAAACATGGCGGAAGAGATATCGTTGAGTGGTGTGGCATTTAAGTATACCAACTTTTTGTTTGGCTATCAAAAACGCTTCTTCAAGCTTCACAAAGGCACGATCTACTACTACTTATCGAAGGAAAACGAACGAGATGGTTGTCGAAAGTTCCGAGTTTTGCAGAACTTCAAGTTAGAGGTAAGAATGTTTGTTTTTGTTGTTATGAATTTAGTTTGACGATGATCCGAATCGATTGGACATTTGTTTTCCTGACGAACGTTGGTCGCTGAGATTCAGTTCTGTTGATGAACAAAACTTGTGGAGAGATGCGTTGGATGCGTTCTTGCAGCCACAGAGCTCTAGTAAGATATTGTCGACGGAAAAATGGAATCGTCATGTAAAGGAAGGTAAGAATGAGACGAAGTCAAGGTTATTTGATTGAAAAGGACTATAACAAAGTAAATTATTGATAATAATATCAGGGTTTAGGGGAATGCCGAAGTATATTTAGTGTTAGAAGCTAAGAAGAGGCTTGCGGATTTTGTTTTAAATTTAAACAAGATTTTAATTAAGAAAAGATCAGATAAGGTTTACAAAAAATGGACGTCATTTTCGATAGGTATTACAACAAAGAAAAAGAAAACGTACATGATAAACTAATAAAAGCCTGTATTTCTCATTTTCAGAGCCAGAAAAACCTCAATCTAGTTTAATCTCACGGACCGAATACCTCTCCGAACCCACCTATACCTTCAACCCGCAACGGCCGGTTGATTTGGACCTTCATCGCCTCGAACACATGAAAGAAAACCTTCCTCAGCAGTTTCAGCTAGTCCACGAAGTTTTGTCAAAAATCGTCGAAACCCGCGCCGCTCCATTGGATTTGGCCCTTGTTGAGCAGAGTGTGGACAGATGCAAACAAATCGCCGAAGCCATGAGATATTTGCAGTCCGTCCTACCCACAATCCAGGTATCCCCGGCTGAGGACGCGCTCGAGGTGTTGGCCCCATCAGAACAGGTCATTAAAAGCGTTCGCGCCACGAATTTTAGGGTGTTTTTCATTAGTTTGGGACTTGGGAAATGAAAATTTGAAAAAAGGATTTTAAAGTTAAATTTTTATTTAAATTTCTAATTTTGATATTTAAAAAGCTTCATTTTCGTCTAGTCCTGGCAATTTTCTTAAGCAAAACAGGTCATACCGAAAGGTTAAATTCGTTTCCAGTGCAAAACCTTATTTTAAAATATTGTTTCAGTTTGACCTGCTTAAAAACCCAAATTTTGTTGTTACAAAAAACAAAAATGATGTTATTGAACTTGGAAAACATTAACAAGACGAATACTAATTTTTACTTCAAAACAATTTGTTTCTTTACTGCTTGGGAGTTTCGTTTTGGGCTGATTAGATCTGTCAAAGCGCTGTTTCAGCCAGGTGAATGAGGGAAAGTAAAAAGGGAGGAGGAGTGGAGGGGGAAGGGTATTATTACCTATATTTTTAGCATGATTTTTGTATTGTAGATGGTACTGCTTAAGCTTAAAATTAATATAGTTGAGTTTCTGCACCGTGCAAAAAATGAATTTTTGGTTTTTTTCAAAATGAGGGTTTTTCAAAAATTTTTTTGATTTTTAAAGATAAAATATGAATTTCTATTTATTTTTTGACCTACATATTATTGTAAATGGCATCATTTTACTGAAGACCTTAAGAAATGAAATTGGTTTTTTTTATTTGAAAAGAACAGGTTTTGAAAATTTTTTGATTTGTAAAAGTAAAATTTGTATTTCTACTAACTTCTTGACCTATATATTCTTAAAAAAGGCATCATTTTAACTTAAAAACCCTAAAAAATTAACAACTTTACCAAGTGGCCATGCCAAGCTCAGATGCGCCTTCATTGAACTGTCTAACATTCAAAAGAACCTAACCACAATAGACAGAAAAACCTGTCACAATAATAAGAAAGTAACGCGCTAATGAGGGAAAACAATGTCGGGCCACTAACACGCTTATTTGGTGCAAAATAACCTAAAATATCCGTGTTAACGCGAAATAAACTGCCATTTTCAGTTGAACGAAAGCATGCTCAGTGACGACGAATGGCACGACGCAACTAGTGACAACATTTTTGAGGATGCTTCGAACGAAATCTACGAATCTTTGAGGAATCGGGTAAGGAGAAGGGTTTTGGTGGGGGTTTGATGGTATTTGGGTTGCTATGAGGATGAGAGAAAAGTCTTGTTGTTTTTCAACATTGCTTTAAATTGTAAAAAACGACAAGACTTTTTTTTGAATTATTAATACTGGTACTTTGAGTAAGATATGGTTTTGCGAGTTTAAAAAGTTTTGTCGTTTTTTAACATTGTTTTGTATGGTAAAAAACGACAAAACTTTTATAGTTTAGTAACAGTGTTGTACTATTAAATAAAGGTTTAAAAGTGAATGAAAAAAACATAAAGTAGCTTATTCTTTTAAAAAGCTTGAAAAATTCTATTTACTTTTGACCCTTTTCATAAAATTTTGATAAAATATTCAAAATTTTTACGAAAAATTAAACTAAAACGTTAATCATGACAGTTCAAAGAAACCTGAACACAAAGCACGTTCAGACAACAAAATATAAAACCAACATCCAGATAAGAAAAGATAAAACAAGCCAAAGACAACATGATATTATCATAGGCACGTAACTTTACACTAAAATCCAGCAAACCGTATTTCCACGAAACGGAATGGAATTAAGAGATCAAAAGAAGCAGAATGATTCATTTAATGGCCAAAAGAGTTTCGTTTACATCGCAAAAATAAATATTTTTGCGGTTTTGACAAGCCGAAGTGATAATGTCTCGTTCGTTTTTGCTAAAAAGTCTGCTTTAATTTGGCTAGAACTGAATGATTAATGAAAAGTTGGCTTTACTTTGGGTAGAAATGGAAAATTAATGGGGTTGGGGTAATATTTTTTCTTAAAGATTAATTGTGTGTGATGGGGTTATATTTTTTTCTGATACATCAATGGAGTTGGGGTAGTATTTTCTAAGGGAAAATAAATTTTAAGGGAACGTGGCAGTATTAGAACTGGTTGTTATGCTAGACTTGAAAATCTTCTTTGCCTCGGCAATTTGAAGTGGATGTTGAGCGGCTAGTTTGAAGTTTTAGGAAGCGCTCTAAAATTTAAAAATTTAGGCTTTGACTCCAGCTCCGGCTCTGAATTTTTTAAAAGTTTTAGCATTTGTTCCAGTGGGTATTTAGTAATGAAATTCGACATTTTCTGCCTCGAGTTTGGGTTTCGCTTTTTTACGAATTCTGGGTCCAGCTTCAAAGCCGGAGCTGCTTCGGAGCCACCTTCTGAGCACTTGAAAACTCTGGTTGTTGGCCATACTGGCTTGAAAGCCAAGTACAGGGTGGAGAGGGTTGTGGAAAATTTTTTTTGGAAAAAAGTGTAACGTTGCTTCTCTTCATTTCCATATGGATTTTTCAAGTTTTTTTTTTAAATTTTAACAAATTGGTGGTCAAAAAACTTCAAAATTTGTTCACCATGCTTAGATCGGAAAGGGACCGAGCTGGGCTCATTTTTTTTCAGGCCTTGGTTTGGGCTTCGGCCAGGGACGTCGCTACGGTTTTTCTCTGGGGGGGGGGGAGGTCGAAAAAATTTTTTTTGGTCCACAGGTAGCTGCTACCTGTGGACCGATTTTTCAAAAAACTTTTTTTTTTGTTTTTCCGCGTACAGGTACCTACCTGTGGAATTTTTTTCGGATCGGCTCTAGGGCTCAAATTTACCGGCTCGGCCTCTTTCAAACTTGCTTTGGTGTGGCTCTTATGTAAATTTAATAAAATGATAACATGTATCGTACCACTTTTTAACTGGGAACAATAATAGCATGTATCATACCGCTTCTGTGCTCTAACCAACCAATAATTTAACAATTTTAATTTTTAACTAGAAAAAGGTTATTTGGTTGTCGACAGACACTTCTTACCTTTTTCATTTCGTATTTTCGAGATATTTTTTGCGTAAAATTTTTGAGAATTTCGAAAAAATTCGCAAATGTTTTTGCTCATTAGCGCTTTTCTTGTTTGAGCAGCCGTTGATCTTTGGCTAGTTAATATCGAAATTCGAACTTTATGATTTGTTTTTGAAAATTGAATGTGACATTTAAGTTAGTGGCAGCTTTTTATTGTTGTTTTTAAATTTTTAAATATAGCTTGGAAAATAAAAAGAGGCAAAAAATGGGTACAAATGTTAAAAAAAAGCGGGAAAAAATGGCTAAAAAGAGATTAAAACTTCAAAAAATGGCAATAAATTGATTAAAAAAAGGGGAAAATGTAATTAAAACAGCTTTAAAATAGCTGAAAATGATTTTATAAGGCATATATATACCTTGCTTTGGCGTAGAATAATGTAAATTTATTTAAAAATTATCTAAAAATTAAAATTTGGGATTGTTTATGCTTAAAAATCATTAAAAACTCTTAAAATGTACCTCAAAAAGACTAAAATTGTGATTTTTATGCGATTTTTAATAGCTTTTTAAAATCTTCTTATTAACTTTTTGAATTTTTAATCTAAAATTTGTACATTTTCAGAATCTCACACCTCAGCCAACTCGTCTAGACATGAATATTGAGGATGAAGCTCCGATCTTTGCTGAAATCCGACGAGTTGTTGATGAACAGTTGAATCATGCTTTAGCATCGGTCGATGAAGATGGCCAATGGGAGTTGTTTGTTAAGGATGGAGAGATGAGAATGTACAAAATGGAAAACGAAGTTGATGGCGTCGTATCGGATCCACTTAAGGCTATTCACTTTGTTGATGTAGGTCGGGATCATTAGGTTTTTCGTATGGGGTTGTAAGGTACTGTAGGCAAAATAAAAAAAGACTTTTGATTTTACTATAGCTGAAGGTTACTTTATTAAACTTGTTTTACATGGCATGTGCCCATTCTCCCTACCTTAATCTGCTCTACCGTGCTTTAGTCTATTTTACCTTGTCTTACTTTACTCTATTCTACCTTACCTTATCCTGTCAATTCGCAGCCAACTTGTCATGGGGTAGAACCCAAAAATTTTTATTTAGTTGTAGTATGACTAGTCAAAATATTATACTTTCAGGGAGTAACAGCTCGAGAGTTTATCGAACATTTCTATGATCCAGATTTGAAAAAGGAATGGGACGGTAAGTTAGTTTATAACAGTTTGTACTCTAATTTTAAAATTTTAAGTTGATTTTGAAGTCGTTTTTAAAATTCTAAACCATTTCTTTACTGCATTTGAATTGTGGAAGTCAAATTTTGGTCAATATTTTGGTTTTTTGAAGGTTTTTTAAAAAATTTTTATATTGTGGGTGGCATAGTGGTCAGGTTTTGATAAAATTCGATGCTTGGTAGATTGTTTTTTATAAACTGCGTTAAAGGAAGGCAATTTGAGTACAATAAAAGTAAATGTTTATCATAGTTTGGACCCGAGTAGGGCAGGGACGTCTTTTGGGGGAGGGGGTAAGGAGGGGTACCCCCTCCCCCAGAGCCGATCCGAAAAAAATTTAACAGGTACCTACCAGTACGCGAAAAAGCAAAAAAAAATTTTTTTGAAAAATCGGTCCACGGGTACCACCTACCTGTGGACGAAAAAAATTTTTTCAACTTCTCCCTCTCCCAGAGAAAATCCGTAGCGACGTCCCTGGAGTAGGGTATGGATGGGATAAAGTAAGGTAGGATAGATAAAGTTAGGGTAATATAAGTTGAGATAGAACAAGTTAAAGTAGAGGAGAGTAGTGTAAAGTAGGGTAGAGTAGGGTAGGGTAGAGTAAAATAGAGTAGGATAAAACAGTGCAATATGACTAGGGGTTTCTTTTAACCTTTCTCTTTACATTTACTATAACATCAAGAATTCAAAAACTACTACTCCTTTATCCCCAATGTAACCCAACACCATTTTTGTTTTCGTATCTGTTCGCAATGAATCGTATTTCGGTTATAAATAACCGAGCCGAAAAAATAGTCATCCTCGAGGGAGAACGGTCAGCAACGGCTCCGAATGTTTGTGTTTGGGTTTAGTGTTCCCGGGAAATAAAGCCGGATTTGGGGACGGCGTTTAAGTACGGTTTGTCTCAAGTTGGCTTTGAGTTTGGGATTCTGAATGAGTGGACATTAGTCATAGTTCGAGGAAAGTAAAGTTTTTGTTTTGGAGAGGTTTTGTGGAAAAGGACGTTACTGGTTGAGGTGTTAGGTTGAACCAAAGGTAGCGGGACACTTTTTATTTATTTTTTTAATTAAAATGTGTCCCTCTACTTTTGGTTCAACCTAATATTTTTAACTTTGGAGGGGTGGGGTAAAAAGAAATTTTTTAAAGTGGGGGTGGAATAAAAAAATTGTTTTTGCAAAACATTATGAGTAGACGTGATAGAGGAATTACTAGGCTTGGTTTCATCGCGAGCCGGGCCGAAACAAAATTTGAAAGAGGCCGGGTCAAAATAAAGCTTCAAGGAGCCGGGTTAGGTCCCGCAACGAAAGATTTGCATTGCAAAAGACCGAATTTCTATGAAAGAGGCCGGGCCGAAAACTTGGGACCGGCTTTTTTTAAAGTCTTCGCAGAAGGCAACACTAGGTGGGCTACATTTTTACCTTGGGAGGGGTAGGGTAAAAATTTTATTTAAAAATAGGGATGGATTAAGAAAAATTTTTTGCGGGTTTTAACAAGAGAGGCCAAGTTTAATTTTAAAAAAATTTTTAGTGTATAGGAAGGTCGATATTTTAAAGTTTATTTTTTCAAAATTGGAAGTTTATTTGCCTGATTTTTAAAGTTTGTTTGTGGGCCTTAACCAGTGTTTCTATTTGTTTACATTCGTCTTTCTCGTTCCTTACATTCTTTAGAACCTAAAAAAGATGATTTAGTAAGTTGTGTTTGATCACTTGGGCTGGTTTTAATTCTGTTTAATCGTTTTTTTTTGTAAAATACGGAAAAAATCGGTTTTTTTGGTTTAAAAAGTCATTTGAAGACCAAAATTTTGCGAAAAAAATTATTTTACATTTTTATAGAGCTAATATTCCTTATCTTATCCTTACCTTCACATTTATTTTTACTTTGAACTTCTTTTTCAGACACTCTAGTATCATGTAAGCTAGTTGACAAACTGAACGAAGAAACCGTTGTTCTGCACCAACTACATAAAAGGGTATGGCCAGCCGCTCAAAGAGAATCTTTATTTTGGTCTCATTATCGGGAAGTTCATGAGCAGCGACAAGATGGACATAACGACGCTTTCTTTGTTTGTAATCACGATTGCGAACGAGAGGATGTGCCGGTGGGTTTTTATGGGTAATATAGGATTTTGGTGTTACTGAACATTGAAGTTGGGTCAAAATTTCGTTTTTTTGGGGCAGGGCAGGGTATTTAAAACATTTTTACAAAAGATGGTGTAACTTAGGCTTGAAAGAGAGTTATCAGACTCTGGTACTGGGCCAGGACATGGAAAATTTGAAAGGACTTGGCCGAAATATTGGGCAAGGCCTAAACTAAGGCCCCCAAGTTGAAGCGTAGGTCTTGCAACGAAAGAAAAACGGCTCTTTTACAAGTTTAGTGTAACTTCAGCAACTTTTTTGGGTGCTTCACAGACAATATGAATTTTTTTATAGTGTACTAGCTTAACTAGTTATTGGTTTACTATAATTTAACTTTACAAGATTATATAGTTTCGAGTTAGACCCAAAAAGCTATAAAAATTGAAATAGAACCGGTTGGACGTTTTAAATTAGAGACATTTGGATAAAACGATGAACATTTAAAAAAACTATGGGATTTGCGATAGAAAAAGTTAACCTAGAGGTCGGTATTTAAATTTTAATGCTGAACATCTTGCTTGAGCTAAGAAAGTTTTAGAAAAATGAGCAATCTCTTTCGTCTCTTTACTTCTCTATGTATATCTTCCATTCTCTTAGTATATCGTCGTATCTTACAATCCAAACTTAAATTTCATGAACTAATATGATTACAGCTGACCGACTCGTCATGCGTTCGTGTTGGTTTAACAATAGCGATGTTATGCCAAACCGAAGTGAAGGGTGACCCGGAAAATCCGTCGCGCGCCAATGTTCGCTGTAAAATCGTCTACGTCGCTCAAGGTCGGTTATTTTTTAAAGGATGTGTCAAGAGTTGAGTAAGAGTCTCGGAAAAAGTTTATTCGAACTTTTGAGGTCATTCCTGTTGGGTGGGCTTATTAATACAGCTGATTTGTTGGGGGAGATTAGATAAGATACAGGGACATCGTTGGAGGTGGGGGAGGGGAGGCAATTAGGGTTGGGGCGGGCGCAAGGTTAGGGTTAGGAGTTAGGTTAGTGATAGTGGTAGGGGTACGGGTAGGACTAAGGCGAGAAGAAGAAGAAAAAAAAGCTAGCGACTTCATTAATTTAGGTATACGTTGCAGTATTTTCGAGTAGCTTTTTTTTAATAGAAAACCTTATTTTTTGATTTAAACCTACATTTGAATCTTTTCATGTTTAACATTGGTATAACATTGGTATTAAAAACAGAGGGGGGGGGAGTGTAGCCTTCGGTAGACCTTGTCCTGAAAGGGGACTTACCAGGTCCAGCTTTGGTCCCGGGCCCGGCCGAAGCAAATTTGAAAGATAACGAATTGAAAAATTGGACCAGATGCTGTTCTTTTACATGTTAGCTATGTTAGCTGGTCACTAGACTTAAACATTGAGTTTATTTGGCTTTGTAGCTAGTCTTTTCGTTTCTTGGCTATAGTACCGGGAGTTCGGTTTGAACTGTTTGCTGGGAGGGCAGGTGTAAGTCAATTTCTAAGAGTTTGATTTTTTTAAAATTATGGACATTTTACAATGTGAAAAAATTGCTTTCATTTTGTACAAAGGTTAGAAGAATGGACAATATGTTATTCTTGGTATGATAACATAAACTAATATATTATTAGTCTTCAAAGGTGATTGTTTATAGATAAGAGAATTATTTATTTTGAATCGTATTTCGGTTATAAATGACGGTGTCGGAAAAATATTTTTTTTAAATGTTTTAATTTTTTTTAATTTGAGCATTTGGGCTTTTGAACAGTTTTTTGACTTGTTTAAGCCTTAATCTTAACCTTTTTCCTGAAAACTTAAAAGTTCAACGAAAACATTCAAAGAAAGTATGAGAACTAAAAACAATAAGGTTGTCTAAATAAGAAATCAAAATAAAATTGAATGTCAATGCAATAATATTAATTAAAACGACATCAATATGACATTTAACAGCAATCTAGTAATATTGCACAATACGAAACTAATATCACAATATACGTTAATACAATATGTATATAAAAGCAGATCAAAACAAAAAATTAATATAAATGGTTGTGTTGATATTACAATATGAAAAACAAAACCAATATGACATTAGGACTTTTACAGGGTATTGTCTAAACTATTGTAAGCCTTGTTTTCCTTAAACGTAAGCCTTTTCTTCAAAAATATAGTAAAACTTTCGTGGAACAAGTTCTCGACGTGAAAATACGAGCTGATTCTCGTTGTGAGATAATGTCTCATGTTTACAAAACAAGTTTACAAAAACGAAACATGCGTTTGTGAGTTTGAGGGGAGTAAAGCCGTTGTGATAAGGAGAAGATTTAGTTTTTAAGGGTAAAATACGTCTTTTAAATTGTCACAAATTTTTTCGTGGAAGTGTGAAAAAAGACATTTCTGGTTTACAGCTAGCTATTTGTGCCATACGTCTATTTTTTTTATTTTTTTTGCAATTTTTCACGTACAGATCTTACCCACCTCTGATATTTTTTCCGTTTTGGCTTTGGGTTGATGAGAGAGGTGAACGGGGTTGAACCGCTTTTTCTCTCCTCCCCCCCCTCTCCCCCCTCCCCCCCCTCTCCCCCAGTGAGGCTAAAAAAAAATTCTACAGGTGGTAGACATGTGAAAAATTAGAAAAAAAATATTTTGTTTTTATCTTTCTTCTGAAAAAAACTGCAGCGACATCCATTAACATAAGGGTATCACGACAATACTTTTTCACTTTAATTTATAATATGCCTTTTCTCTAAGGACATTTTTATAGTAAATGCAATAAGTAAATCCGTATAGTAAATGCATAAACAAAACAGAGAAAGAAAAGTCAATATACGTTTTTATTATAAGGCTTCTGCTCTATATATTATAGTAGATATACGCATGATTTACTCTTCATTCAACTATATGATCTTTTAAGCTCAAAAGTAAATAGCCTGGCGGCTGGAGCGAGATCTAAGTTTGATGTGGGTAAGGGTATAATATGTTGTTGTTTATGCTTACGATGATTTTGAAGAGTATGAGAGGTTTTTACTGATAGTGTTATCAATATAGGGTTAGTAGTGTTGGGAGTTAGAGAATATTTTTGGTTTGATGAAAGGGAGGGGTAACTTCCCCCTTTTCAACCCGAACAACCATATTAGAAAAGTATCATTTTGGGTTTCAAAATTTTCATCATTGTCAATATTATTTTATGTCATAGCTAATAACTACCAAGTAAGCTAAACCACTTGACGTAAATATTGCCGAAAGCTTCCGTATGCAATTAATATCTTAAATTTGAGGAAGCACTTCCTTTTATTAATAGGCATTGACCCGGATTTTCGTTGACTGAAGGGCATCGCGTGGTTTACACTTGGAGTTTACTGGATATTACTCTCTTGTTCTACTGAACATGTGACGTTTTTAAAATCTTAATTTGAAGGATAGGGTTTAGGTTATAAAGTAGGGCAGAGTAGGGGAAGGTAAGGGAGGCAATGGCCAATTAGGATATGGTAGGGTTGAGGAAGGTAGGATATGGTGGGGGTGAGAGAGGTAAGGTATACTAGGGAAGCACAAGATAGAGTATGATAGGGAAAAACAAGGTAGGGTAAGGTAAGACAGAGAACGGCAAGCTAGGGCATTGTAGGACAGAGCAGTAGGGTATGGAAAGACGGAGTAAGGTAGGGTATGTTATGGAAAATCACAACAGGGTATTCTCAACAACTCTGTCTTACTCTGCTTTACCTTTCTCTACTCTACTTTACTATAACTTTCTCTTCTCTACATTTTACTACCCTACCTTGTCTTACCTCATCCTACGCTACTTTACCTTACTCTACCCTATCCATCATACTGTAAGTCTTAAGCTCATAACTAAAGTTTAAACCAAGTTTGACAAATTTAAAAGTAAACACTGGTTCTAAGAAGGTTTGAAAGGCAGTTCGAAGTAAACCCTCCGGTTTTTATGACGTGATATGCGTGGAAAAAAGGGTTAAAGCGGAAATTTATGGTTTTTTTGATAGTTTTGCTCTGTCTAAACGTTCCTTTTCTAAAAAAATTTTGTTTTTTTTTTTGCTTTTTGTGGACTTGGGGTCAAGGTTGATAAGGAAAGGTTGTGAGTCTTCTACGTTTAACCCCTACGGTTACTTCTACTTATTGTTATCTCTACCGATATTCTTATCTCTACCTCTATCTTTACTCCTACTATTACTCCTACCCCTTACCTCCAACTATATTTTCTACCCTTATTCATACTGGTACTTCTAGCCTTACTCATACCCTACCCGCTATTTGGCTTTGTTTGTATTACTAAAACATGGCAATAACACTTGAGTATATAATAATATTGTACTAGATAAAACAACTACATGTTGACAAAATAAAACCAAACCTCAAACGGCTTATCACGTGTGTTTTGATATTATTTTTGAAAGTTGATAACATTCGAACAACTTTTTTTTGTTTTAAAATTGAAAGCATTAATCATTTGCAAAACTTTCGAACGCTTTGAAATTCAATCTTTTTTATAATTTTTAAACGTTTTGATTAAATTTTTGTTTTTTTGAGGTTGTAAATTTAATTTTATGATAAATATTTGTCTTTTTTGTTTAATTATTGACATTAATTTTCATTTTTTGGTCGAAAAATAGGTAGAAAAATAAATAAGGAATGAGTGGTCGGCGAGGGTGGGTTAAAGGGAAAATTTTAATTTTAAGACAAACCTTGAGTAGAGCTGGGTAAGTAACTTTTATTGGTTTGGGTAGGGTAAGGGGATTCTTTTGGGTTGGTGAATAACTTTTTGGTTTGGATGGGGTAAGAGGGTTTGTCGGGAGGGGTAGGGGGAGTATCACATAAAATTAAAAAAAATTTTTGGGTTGGTTATTTTTTGACCTATTCATTTCCTCTATATAAGTTTCTTCCTACACCTCTCTCTATTCCTTCCCCTACACTCTACACCACCTCTCCCATATTTTATTTTCACACTATCTCCTAATTTTTTTTGTTGGTTATAAGCGGGAGTCAGTAAGACATTATTTACTACAGCATAAGTCAGTAAGACCATTCTTTACCAAAAAACCTAAAATCTTACTTTCAGTACATCCGGGAGGCTGGGTGCCGGCCAGTGCCCTTCGCCAGGTCTACAAACGCGAATACCCTAAGTTCCTGCGGCAATTCAGTTCGTACGTGCTGAAGAAGGTGAACAACAAACCGCTGAAGCTCTGAAAACGGTTGACTAATTTATTTTTTCTTTCTATCGGGTACTTGTTTAAGCTGTGATTTTAAGGGCAAAGTTGTGTTTTATGTAATTAACGAATATTTTAACAGATATTTTTGAAAAAAGATAAATTTGTGTGTCATTTTTTGTGATTTTCACTTAGAAAAGGGGTTTTTTTGAAGTTTTTTATTGACTATCACTTGGAAAAAGGATTTTTTTTTTAAGTTTATTTTTATGAAAAATGGCTTTTTTGATCACAACATTGGCTTTTTTGTAATGCTTTTTAATTTAAAAAAAAGTAAATTTTTGATATTTTTTAATTTAAAATGCTTGAAAATTAAGATTTTGAGATAAGATAGTGGAGTAATGGAGAATTTTCTGTCCAAATAAGGCTAAAATAACAAAAACTTTGAAAAACAAAATTTTGAAAAAGTGGGAAAAATGAGGGTAAAATGGTAGATTTAGGCCTAAAACCAAGCCATGTTTAACCTAAATATCTTTTCTTAATTTTCCTCATGAGCAAGCTTAAATGATGAAGTTACAAGTTGATTATGTGTGAAGACCTAAAACGCTTTGTAAGAAGGTCTAAAACAATATTTTTTTGAGGTTTTAAGGCCTTAAACTTTTAGATTAAGCTTTTTTAAAATTGTAGAGCTTATGAAAAACGTTTGAAACACGTTTTTTGTAAGGCTCGATGCCTGGTCGACATAAAAAAAATCGATGTCCCCAAATTACTTGAAATTTTCAAAATTTACCCTTCGTAGCAAGACAAACAAAGTTGCTTAAACAAGTTTTTCCAAAATTACCGTATTCGGGGTTACGGTAATGTCGGTCAAATTTTTGTATCTCGAGAACTAGGCATTGTAAAATTACGCGGTTTTCACTATATTAATCAGCATGAAAAAATACGTATTTTATCTTACAACAACATTTTTGTAGCACTTGCGCATCAGTGCGAAAAAATTAAAAAAGTGTGCACAGCTACCGTAATCGTACTGTAACTCAAAAACTACGTTTTATTTTCTTAAATTTTTATTTCATACCATTAATCTACTGTTTATTGCGGTTAAAATGAGCCTAGGCACATGTGCTAACCCCGAATTATTTGGGGTCAAATGTGCATTCAAAGTTTGCACACCTACTTTTTTTAGTATAAATATCAATATATATATATTAAATTTTTATTAAATTTGTGTCATATCAATAAAAATGACGTTTTAATTTACATAATTGATCTTACTGAACTTACAAAAAATATTAAAAGTATTAAAAGTTTGCATATTTAAAAAAATATGTGTTTTTATTATTTAAGCCTAATAAGTAAGTATGTTTGGAAAGCATGCGAAAACGAAATTACATATTTTTTTGTCTAAAACTAAAAAATTCAGTCTCCGCCGACCTCTGCCGAGCCTCCGCCGAATACTCAAAACTAATATACCTATACCAAATCCGCAAGCAATTTCTAGTCTAGTGCAAAAAAATTGTCCAAATCGGACCAGTACTTTTTGAGAACGGTGCTTTTACTTCCCTTCAAAAAAGTTCGGACGTCCTACACTACATAAAAAAAGTAGGTGTGCAAACTTTGAATGCACTTTTGACCCCAAATAATTCGGGGTTAGCAAATGTGCATAGGCTCATTTTAACCGCAATAAACAATAGATTAATAATACGAAATAAATAATTAGGAAAATAATTATAAAAAAATGAGTAAATCATCAAAGTATCCTTACTTACTTATTAGGCTTAAATAATAAAAACACATATTTTTTTAAATATGCAAACTTTTAATACTTTTAATATTTTTTGTAAGTTCAGTATGATCAATTATGTAAATTAAAACGTCATTTTTATTGATATGACACAAATTTAATAAAAATTTAATATATATATATTGATATTTATACTAAAAAAAGTAGGTGTGCAAACTTTGAATGCACATTTGACCCCAAATAATTCGGGGTTAGCACATGTGCCTAGGCTCATTTTAACCGCAATAAACAGTAGATTAATGGTATGAAATAAAAATTTAAGAAAATAAAACATAGTTTTTGAGTTACAGTACGATTACGGTAGCTGTGCACACTTTTTTAATTTTTCGCACTGATGCGCAAGTGCTACAAAAATGTTGTTGTAAGATAAAATACGTATTTTTTCATGCTGATTAATATAGTGAAAACCGCGTAATTTTACAATGCCTAGTTCTCGAGATACAAAAATTCGACCGACATTACCGTAACCCCGAATACGGTAATTTTGGAAAAACTTGTTTAAGCAACTTTGTTTATCTTGCTACGAAGGGTAAATTTTGAAAATTTCAAGTAATTTGGGGACATCGATTTTTTTTATGTCGACTCAGGGTTCAAAAGCGCTCGATTATTAGGAAAAACGCGTTTTAACAGGCTTTAAAATTTTTTATTTAAGTCTTAAAACGCTTTGTAAAAAAGGTTTTAAAGCCTAGCACAATATTTATAGAGCTTTGAAGGCTTTAAACCTTTATATTAAGTCTTTTTAAAATTGTTGAGTTTAAGAAAAACGTTTTAACAAAAACATAATGCACGTCAATGCAAAAGAACATTTTGAACTCAGGACAAAAGCCTAATGTTATGTATTATTCAAAAACGGCCCAAAAATGTTTTGTTTGTTTATTTTTAAACGAAGCTCTTCAAGATTTTGTGTTGGGTTTGAGATTAGAAGTGCCATAAGTTAATATGCGTGTTTGTAAAAGCTAGTTTTTGGGTTGTAAAAATGGAAAAGATGGTGCATACGTGGGTAGAGTATCTTTAAAAAAGCAAGCTAGGGTTAGGTAGGGCATCTTTTTAAAAAAGGGTAGGGTCGGGTATGGCATCTTTTGCAAAAGGGTAGGGTATGGTTTGATATCTTTTGTAAAAAGGTATGGTTGGGTATGGAATTTTTTTAAAAAGTGTAGGGTTGGGTAGGGCATCTTTTGAAAAAGGGAGGGTAGGATATCTTGGTCACGGGGGTTAAAAATCTCCGCCCGCGAAGCACTCTAGTTGGGATTAACCTGCTACCATACCTTACTTTGCTCTGCCTTACCATACCTTACTTTGCTCTGCTTTACCATACCCTACTTTGCTTTGCCTTACCATACCTTCCTTTGCCGCCTTGTGTCTTACCTTAACCTACTCTGTCCTACTTTATAATCTACAGGGTGTCCAGAGAAAAGTGGAAGAAAGTCCAGGCTTCGTTCTCAAAAACTAGAAGTCCAAATTGGCTGATTCTTTTTTTGTTAAGCTTCTAATAGCATGCGGATTTGTTCTGTATGATTTTTTTGATCATTCGGCGGAGGCTCGGCGAAGACCGGCGGACGGTATTTTTAATGTTTTCATGGCTATTCCAACCTGTTTCGTATTGCTACTCATGTTTTGGCCATTTTTCAATTCAATTTTAAAATTTTATTAAAATTTGGTACAATCGGCGGAGAAACCCGGCGAACGCCATAACTCAGCCAAGTATTGATATTTTTTTTCCAAACAAAAACTAACATTTTCTATGTTTCTTTGCCATAAAAGTGGGCTAAATTTGGTAATTTTTTAAACTTGTGCACAAAAATCGGCGGAGAGCACGTTTGTCGGCGGAGGCCATAACTCTGTTCGAAGTCAATATTTTGACTTCAATCAAAAAACATTATGCTTGTATGAAAATCTTCTTTAAAATGATAGAGTTTGACAAAATTTAAACAAAAATTAAAGAATTGGCGGAGGGTAGATTTATCGGCGGAGGCCATAACTTCGTTCAAAGTCAATACTTGAACTTGAAGCAAAAACTATTACGTTCGTATACCAATTGTCTTGGTACATATTAGTTAAGTTAGTAAATTTTTACAAAAAATATCTTGTTGATACAAATAAGGTTGCGGTCTCTTGACGTTAAAAGCAAATGTGTAACAAAATTTCTTTATGTTAAAGAAGTATCACATACAAACACACTGTTTTTTGTTTGAAATAAAAATATTGACTTTCAACAAATTTATGGCCTTCGCCGATAAACATACTCTCCGCCGATTTCTCAGTTTTTATTTGAAGACAATCAAATTTTATTATTTTAGAGGATATTCACATACAAACATGATTATGTTTGTTTGAAGTCAAAATATTGACTTTGAACGAAGTTATGCCCTCCGCCGATAAACGGGGTCTCCGCCAATTCTTCCGTTTTTGTTTAAAATTTGTAAAAATTTTTTAATCTAAAGAAGATCTTCATAAAAACATAATGGTTTTTGTTTCAAGTCAAAATATGGACTTTGAACAATGTTATGGCCTCCGCCGATAAACAGAGTCTCCGCCGATTCTTTAATTTTTTGTTTAAATTTTGTCAAACTCTATCATTTTAAAGAAGATTTTCATACAAACATGATTATTTTTGTTTGAAGTCAAAATATTGACTTTGAACAGAGTTATGGCCTCCGCCGATAAACGTGCTCTCCGCCGATTTTTGTGCACAAGTTTAAAAATTACCAAATTTAATCCACTTTTATGGCAAAGAAACATAGAAAATGTTAGTTTTTGTTTGGAAAAAAAAATATCAATACTTGGCTGAGTTATGGCGTTCGCCGGGTTTCTCCGCCGATGGTACCAAATTTTAAGAAAATTTTAAAATTGAATTGAAAAATGGCCAAAACATGAGTAGCAATACGAAACAGGTTGGAATAGCCATGAAAACATTAAAAATACCGTCCACCGGTCTTCGCCGAACCTCCGCCGAATGATCAAAAAAATCATACAGAACAAATCCGCATGCTATTAGAAGCTTAACAAAAAAAGAATCAGCCAATTTGGACTTCTAGTTTTTGAGAACGAAGCCTGGACTTTCTTCCACTTTTCTCTGGACACCCTGTAAATGCTTTAGTTTAAATCACTTCTCTTGCTCTCTAATTTCAAAATTTTAAACCTTTAAACTACCTCAAACACCAGTTTTATGTTTTAAAATTTTTGCTTTCTGATTTTCTAAAAAGTGCTTATTAAATTTCGAAAAATGCAAATTTTTGTTGCAAAGCTCCCGCAAGGCTAATGCATTATAATGTTGTTTTTCATCTGCATTTCAAAATCCATTTCAAATGCTTGAATCTTTCCAAATATTAAAATAGGTATCTAAAGCGAATGCTTCAAATATTCAAATTCAAACCTAAAAAGAGCTAAAATATTCAAATTTGCATAAATGGAGCGCAACAATTTGTTTGCGAATTGTTTGTCATGACAACTCGAATTCGTTCAATTTTCTGGGTTTTTGGCTGAAAATTGTGAAAACGGAAGAAAAATAAGAAGAGGAGGGGGGAGAGGGTTCAAAGCAGGAAGTTACACCACATTTAAATAAGGGTTGTGAATGTCTGAAAGGGGAGTGAGGGTGGAGTGTATGTCTGTAGAAGCAGGGAAGGGGTTGTGTATGTCTGTAGAAGCAGGGACGGTGTTGTGTATGGCTGAAAGCGACAGGGACGGTGGGTGTTGTGCACGTCTGAAGGGGCAGGGCGGTTTGGTGTGTATGTCAAGAAGGGCAGAGAGGTTGGTACAGGAAATGGAGCTGTCTGGGCTTGTTTTTTGGGCATTGAAAATGAGATGAATCAAATGATTTTTGAGCAAAATAAGGAAGGAAAATATTTTTGAAAACTTGAGAATAGGAAATGAGTGTTTTTGAAAAAGCTTCAGCGAAGTTTGGTAGAATTAAAAAAGTTATATATCAGGTTGCTAAAATAATTCTGTGCTTTCTTACAAAGCAAATTTTCGGGGTTAGGGGCACAGAATTATTTTAAAAACTTAATACAATCTGTTTTTTTCAGTTTTAAGACCTGTCAAAGGCTTGACTTGCTACTGTGATTAGTTTTTGGCTCTCCTTGGCTTAATTTTGATTTGGTATGGCTTAATCAGGTCAAATGTAGTAAATCTATATAAGAAACCCTACCCCATAGAGTAGGGTAGGGTTTATCATAGTTAAAGCCAAAGTAGATCAGGATAAGAGAGATTAGGGTAGCGTAGGGCTATGGTATGGGCTTGGATAGAGTAGGGTAGGATAGAATAAGGTAGTTAAAGAGCAAGTCAAGGTAGAGGAAAGTAGGGAGGATAATAGGGTGGGATGGAGAAGAATAGTGAAGGATTGGGTAGGATGGATAAGGTACGGTAGGGTAGAGCAGGGTAGTAATACCTAAAACCTTATTATAATAACCGTTTATGAATCTTCTTGAAGACCCATTCAATAAGTCATGCGCCTGTTTAAAAAAACTACAACCTGTTCTATAAAAGTTTCTCTACTTTATCATATGAAAGACATGTCATGTCGTTGCAACAGTTATCAACGAAGACAGGAACCCAAATATTCCTGAGATTAAGTTGCAGATGACGTCCCGGGGGGTCTGGTTTTTAAGACCGTCTGCAAGGGACGCTACCATGAAGTTAGTGGAGAATATACTGATAATATTCTCGATCGTTCCCCATTTTAGCATTATATTCATACTTCTTAATGATTGTGTCAGCATTTCTACAATTAATATTATTAATTTTTTGATTACTTAAAACTAAAACCCTTATCACAATTATATACCTTAAATATTACCCAAAATTTTTAAAAATAGTTTTAAAAAAATCATAAAAATATTTTAAAATACGTTTTCGAGTATTTGACCCCTTAATTATGTAAAGTACGACGGTTTTAAAAAAAATCGACAACTTTTCTTTAAGTTTTTCGAAAACGTTTTGCTGAGAAAACAAATCCGAACTTCGAAATCATCTGTGGCAATTTAACTTGGTATTTATATATGACTATTTTAAATTGAAAATGGCTATTGAACCATCTTTTTCATGAAAAAAAGAAATGATAAATTTCACACTTGTGGCTTTATATACACAACTGTTGATTTGTCACGACTTCTCAGCCGCTTTTTAATATTAGAATATAAAAATAGGACGTTTTTATTATTCCGCAAGGTTTATATCCCGGAAGGAAACGGGATTTATATTGTTCTGTTTTGTTTCATTATGAATAATATTGATAATTACACTTATTGAGGTTAGAATAGGTATATCTTCGCTATAGCTAGTCATAGACGACGGACTGGGCAGGTTTGCCGTTCTTTTCTAGCTATAATATAGACTTACGTAATTTTTTAGGGTTTGTATCGCTAATGTATGGCATATAAATGGTTTTTTTAAAGGGAGGGGGTGTTGCATGGAGGTGAGGTTAAAAATTTTAAATTTGAAATTTTTTAATAATTTTGTCGATTTCCCTGTATGCTTTTCTAAATTTGACTTCCGGGACGAAGCTGTAACAAACAAAACGAACAACCTTTACGAAGAACATCTACCTTGTGATAACACAAGTTCGCAGACAGCTATATCAACTTGAACCAAACCCTTATTTAACATACGTAATCAGAGCTGCCGGAAGCATTTTTCGGAGCTTCTGTAACATCCTCAACGAGTCTTGGGATTCCTCAAAGGGCAATGTGGGTGTTGTGACAGGGTTTGTACAGCCGGTTGTAGGGCGTTTTGCTAATTTTTTTGTATCTTTCTAGAAAAAACTTGGATATCTTGTTATAAATATGAGTCTGGGGATGGAGTGGAATTCACTTTTAAAGTTTAACTATTAGTTTCTGGGGCTAGGGACTTAGAAATTTAGAAAAATCTTCAAAAACCAGGACGTTTTCACAAGTTTTGACGAACTTTTGATGGTTAAATTAATATTTTCAGTAGAATACAAACGAAAATCAAACTTTTTGTTTATTTTTTGTGCTGTGGGTGTTCTACTTTATCCACAAAACGTATTATGCCCATAATTTATGCTAATCTCTTCCGTGTACATAGCTTTGTAACGTCAACCAGCTTTGACGCACGATTTCCTTCAAAATTTATGGTTTTTTTTGCAGTTTTTTGATTTTTACTAAACCAACATAGATTAAAGTGTCTATAAAACTTTTTGTTTGTTACAATACACCGAATCGGCTAAAGTTACAGCCATTCTTCAAAATTTTACCGTGCTTTCAACGGTAGAGAGAAAGTTGACTCGCGTTATCTTTCACCTTGAATAATATGTTTTATGTTTTTTTGAGAAATAAACGATAATTTGTTTGAATTGGATTGACCTTTGCCTTTTTTTAGCCGTTGACACTGTCCGGAATTATATCTATTTTGTTTTGCTTTATTTAATTTGTTTTATTTGGGTTTCTGGATATTAACGTAGATGAAGGTCGGAAATGTCTTTGATCCGCTGCCATTTACTTATGTTATCTATGAAATTTGATGTCTTTAGCAAGATAAGAGATTAATCTTGCTGTTTTTATGTGTTTTAGAAAGAGGTTGTTATAATGTTTTAGTTATTTGTTTGATTTTTAAAATTTTGCGTTTCGATGTCATGAATAATATTTTTTGGACGCGTTCGAGCTGCTTTTTATTAAAATTGTTTAAATATAAAAATTTCTTGTTGAAGAATCTATGGATGACTAATTTTGTTACGTTTCAGAGGCATTGAAAAGGTTTCAGCAAGGCGAGCGGATAAACGCCGACTTGAACTTTGTTTCTACTGATCTAATCAGTTTGACAAAGCAGCAAGCTCTCAACTCGAAGGGTAGAGTTTTTCGTTTTTAAAACGACTCATTATTCTGCCTACCTTTGACTAACTACAACTTGGGTGTAACGAAAATATTTTAAAAAAGAAGGTCTTTCTACATTTGGATTATAGTGGCTACTATAACATCGCGATCGGCATTAATAATGAAAAACGTTATCATCTTTACAACAGTAAGTTGTTTCCTATTTTATTTTTAATTTTTAGATTAACTCTGGAGAAGTCTTTGTTGAAAGGGGCAGAGATATTTCAGTTTTAGTGTTGTGGTAGATTAAAATTTAATTATTTGAAGTAAAACTCCCTTTTTCAGCTAATAACCTTTTCAATTGCCCAATCAGACTCAGGGTTTGCTTTGCTGGATGTTGAAACACATGATCATCAACTGGTCGATCGAGGGATTTGCGTGAATTTTCAACAATACTTCAGGGAGTCGCTACCTACAACCGCTGATGAATCAAAAGAAAATAACAAGGTAAATTTTAATTTTCCTGTTTTTGATTTGTAGGTAAATATGAAGATACAAATCTCGGCTTTATTTTGCCTAAAAGGCATGTAATTTCGTCTATTTTAACAAATTTTACAGCTTGTTTTATCTAGTAACATATGATATTATTTTAGTTTTCGTTTGATCTAAATTGGTGGCGAGAAGAAGAAGACAACTTGGATGTTTGTAAGGGAAATGAAACTGATTATGGAGGAGAGATCATACCAGCCTTGTATGTGTCAGAGATGATACCGAAAATGACTCCATGCAAGGACAAGACCTTGTATTACATTGAAGGACAGGTAACTTAATATTCCGTTTTTTAACGAAATAGTTGTTTATTATATTGATGAAAGTTTGTTATCTGTTTGAGACTTTAAATTTTAATTTTACTGTTGTTTTTAATAGAAATGGCAGGAAAAATCATTTTATATTATCTTTAGAAGCTAAAATGTACTTTTTTAGATGAATCAAATTAAAAACTCAGGAGCCTCAGCAGCTCTCTTCATTGTCGACAAGGGTACCAAAAGTGACTTCCACAAGCAGAACTACCTGTTTTCGAGGTTTTACAACCCTAAAGTTAGAAATGACACGCCAACCTTCTACATGTACAGATACACATTTGACAACATCAAGAACTTGATCAATGTGGAGCGAAATGAAGGACCCATTTTGACGTTCTACAGGCCAGCTGATCCGTTTTTGGATGCTGGAGTGTTTGTGCTGCTTGCATTGGCTGTGGGATGCATTTCTCTTGGATGTTTATGGTGGGTTTTTAATTTGTTTTTTTTGAGTTTAGGTAACGAGAGCTTATTATAAAAGGCATTTTTGGGTAACGGCTTTGGTTTTTAGGTAACAAAAGTTTAAAAAAGGTATTTTAGGCAAAAAAAGTCTAAACCTTGTTTATTAGAGCCATTTTTCAGCAAAAATGTTGAATTTTAGGTAACAAAAACTCGAAAAATGACTTTAAGCTACCTTAATATAAAAATTTAATTCAACTTGCTTTCAGGTACGTTCATGACTTGAGGAAAAGAATTGAAAATGGTGTGTTAAAGTCAAGTCTAACCGAAACCAATAATGGAGTTGAAAGTGAAACCGGAATCCTAACAAGAACCTCGTCTCCAGATTCCCAACACGATGAAGAAGTAGTGCCACAGTCAGGGTGCTGTAAAGTCAATGGATTGTGTATTCACCTTTGCCAAGCCAGCGTTTCGCTGGCTGTTGTTGTTATTGTATTGTTGTTGAGCTTCTTCTACAGAAGTGTGGCTGGTGAGTTGAATTTAGTTTTTTGTTTAAGGGATGGTTTAAGAGTTTTTGAAATTTTATGAGCTGTTAAGAAAGTTTTGGCAATCCTATGAGCTGTAAAGAAATTTTGTAATTATAAGGTTTGGAAATAAATTTTTTTTCGTTTTAAGATTTGTAAAGATAGTTTTTGCCATTTTATATTCTGTAAAGAAAATTCTTGTCATTCTATGTTTTGGAAAGAAAGTTTTTGTTAATTTATGATATGTAAAGTAAACTTTTCAATTTCAGTTGAATTCTTCAACGTTTTCTTGGTAATCGGTGGCACTTTGGCCATCTGCAAATGCACTCTAGCCTTAACTCGCATTTTCTTTGACGATCCCGCCCTATCAGCCCCAATGGAGTTTGTCACATCGGACCTTGAGGAACAGAAATGGTATTTACCGTCCATATTGTACAAGCCCTTCCGCCCATTCGCATTTATGGTATTCCTTCTTTCATTGGCATTTGCTCTGACATGGTACTTTGCCAAGGACGACTCGAGCGCATTCCTAATGCTGGATATTATGAATGCCTGCATTTGCGTGTACAGTGTACGATGTAGTGAGGTCAGGAGTCTTAGGGTAAGGCATTTTGAATGCTTTTTTGGTTTTAAAGAGGGTTTTAGTTTGTTAGGGGTGTTTTTGATTTTATTTTTTATTGAAAGTTTGAAAAAGCCGATAATTTTTGTTACATTTCGTGACATTTTTGTCATTAAAGGTTATTTCACAAAATTTGGGTTGGAACCAGGGCTGGGCGAAACAAAAAAATTTTGTTTCACGAAACACGAAACGAAAGTAAATTATTTTCGCGCGAAACGAAACACGAAACGAAACAAAATTTACGAATTTATTAAAAAATCTTCATAAAAATCAAATTTTATGCCGTAAATGGGTATTAACCTTAAGGAATAACAAGTTCTGAAGCATCTCACTTGTCATGCTTCTTCGATAGTCAGTCAAAACAGTCCTTGCTGTCGAATTTTGATGTGCTTTATTACAAAAAGAATGTAACCTTTCCTATAAACCGAAATACTTGTTTCAAAAGACTTACATTATCCAGAATATTACGCTCTTTCTTTGCTGGTGCCCCGTCCGCTACAATTTCTTTCCATACGTCCGGGTGTTTCTGTATTAAATGGTGCCGGAAAGAGCTAGTTGAGGAATGATTTGTTGTGTTTCGCACTTTTGCCTTACATGTTATACAGACTCCTTCGTTAAAAAAGGGATTGTATTTCGGCATTTGTTTATGCCAAAATATGTTTAAAATTAAAATAAAAACAATTTCCAACAGTATAAAACAGAATGCCAAAAATTTTAAACATTTGTTGGTTTTCGGGTTGAGAAATATTTTTTTTTGTTTTGTTTCCGAAACAAAATTTGTTTCGCGAATCACGAAACGAAAGTGCCTCTTTCGCGCGAAACGAAACACGAAACGAAATTTTCGCCCAGCTCTGGTTGGAACTATGATTTTTGAAAGCATATGCCATATGAAAATGTATATTTTTAATTTTAAAATTAATTTTTTTAAAATTGATATTGTTTTAGTTTATCACATTCTTCTTGATCGCAATGTTTGTCTATGACATCGTGATGGTGTTTGGAACAAGGTTAATCACCGAAAATGGATGTTCAGTTATGGTCCAAGTCGTTACCGGAATGGATTGCCAAAAAACGAGGCCAATCGACTTTAGCAACGATTGGCCGATCGCACCAGTAGCCAAGGGATTCGACAGACCGAGAAAGGTAAGGTTTGAGGGGAAACGGGGCTTAGAGGGGTCTTTTTCACAAAAATCTACAAAAAATTTAGAATTCTAAAGATTTTAAATAATTTCTTTTTTTTCCAGATTCCAATCCTCTTCTACGTCCCCCTCCTCTCCAACCCAGTCAATCACTGCTTCGATCCGGCGGTCGAAGGCGAAGCCCAACACATGATGCTCGGCTTGGGAGATGTCATCGCCCCAGGTTATCTAATTGCCTTCGCCTTCTTCATGGACGTCTGGCACAAATCACGCTTCATGGAGTACGGATTGACCGCCCTATCCGGCTACACAATCGGCATGCTAGCCACTTTCGTATCACTGAAACTGATGGCAACAGCACAGCCAGCTCTAATCTACCTAGTTCCATTCACGTTAGTACCCTTGGTACTATTATGTTTGGCCAAAGGTACACTGAAAGAAGCGTGGAAAGGCGCCCCGGGTCATTAATTGAAAATTGAAATGATTTTTTGACAAAATCATACCTTTCAAATTACTGCAATCTCAAATGTCATGTTAGTATTGTAAGGTAAATGTTGTAATATATGAAGCCTAAATTGTGGTAATATTGTCTTATCTTTGATTTGGAATGTTTTTGTTGTCTAAAATGCCTTAAGTGGGGTTTGTCTAATAATTTGTTGATTATTGAAGTTTTAAACGAAATGTCAAAAATTTTATTGTATTTTTGTTTTTCATCAATACACTAAAGATATACCTTTTACAACCATTTAACAGTCTTTATAACATTTAAAATACATTTTAAGCTATTTTTGAAAATTAATATTTTTTGTGACATTTCGTTCTATCTTTCTATTTTTTAATCATATCAAACAAGGATTTCCGTCCTAATAACTTATATTCTTGTAAATTTATCTTAACTCGTATTGTTTTATGGTTTGTTAGGATGTGGTATTAATGTTAACTTGTATTTGATGTTAATATCAAAATAATAACTTTCATACAGTTCCAAACTGTATTGTACGAAGAATCTTTGTACCAAAAATTGTGAAAACGGGCATTCTCTTTTTTATAATACTACTTTTTGTATTATACTACTCTTTATATTCTTCATTGTACTGGTTTTTGTTGCATAAATGCGTTTGTGATAATAAATTTGATGAAAAATGGAGCTTTTGTTATTTTATTGAGCATAATAAGTTATACAGAATAATAAGATTGACAATTAAACATATTTAAAACGCAAATTACAAGGTTTGTGATGTTATACGGCACTTTGTAAAACATAAACAGTGAGATTTGGTCCCACCACGAAAGATTTCACTGTTTGGCCTTGTGTGGCATTTTGATGATTCTTGAAAAATATTATTTTTGAAAGCTTCTTGAACTTGTTCACGATGGAAACCATGGATAAAATTATTCCAACTACTCATACTTTGTAAGTTTTTGTTATTTATATTGTTCTTGATGTTTAGGTTGGAAGAATGGAAGAAAAACTAATGTATAAAGCAAGATAGAGGTTGTTTTATAACTAGTCTTTGAGAAAAGTCTTTTTTCTTATGTTCTTGACAGATTTTAAGTATTTTCGCTAGTTGGAAAATTTTTTTATAGCTGCAGAAATATATGTTTTAGTCAATATGCCCTTTCGGCTTTGGTAACATTGTTAACTTTTCAGAAACCCAACTGTTACTGGTACCACTGCTTTGGCTGTGGCTTATGATGGCGGAGTTGCTATTGTGACTGATCGTGTAGCATCTTACGGAAAGACCGCTCGTTACAAACAAATCCCACGTCAATACCGTGTGAACGAGAATGTTGTCGTAGCTTTTGGCGGAGACCACGCCGACTTCCAGTGGCTACAGAACGTGATTGAGAGAGTGGAGGAGGAACACAAGACTTATGACAGGAGCATTAAGGTGACGCCGAGAGGATTGTACAACTATTTGACTTCTTTGTTGTACTACAGAAGAACCAAGATGGATCCGCTGTGGAACACGTTGATTGTTGCTGGTAAGTTATTTATTGATGCTTTTTTGGTTAGGTAGTTGAATAAGACATTTATCAAGCTTTTTAAAACATATTTGAAGGCGTTGGATTAAAATTTAGAGAGGTGTACCTAATTTTATATTACACTACCTTTAGTTTGTATAGGTCGATTACTTTTAGCTATAAAACTGTTATATTGGTGCAATTTCTTGATGTTTATGGCTCAAAAGAAAGCTAGTTTAACGTAAAATTTTTTGAAATAAGCCGCGTTTTGTTTCAAAGTAAAGGTTTTTGGAAAATTAGGATTATATTAACCATGATGTCTTCAAACGTTTTTTATTAGAAAATTGAATTTTTGGCAAAAAACTGCAGTTAAACTTGCTATAGTTAGTAAAAACTATGTTTCATATTTTTAGGTATGAACCCAGAGCCCACATACGACGAACTGGCTCCATTCATTGGTGTCATTACTCAACGTGGTGTTGCCTACGAAGCCAAGAGTGTAGCCACCGGATTGGGACAAATGTTGTTAAACGAATCTATGGAACGAACAATTCGTGAAGAAGGAAAGCTGACCAAAGATGGTGCTCTGAACTTGCTTCGTGAGACGGTAAAGCTTGGCTACTACCACGATTGTTGTGCTGACAACGAGATTGACTTGAGTGTGGTTGATAAGGAAGGAACGCACCTGCTGAAGCCGGAGAGATTCATTGGCGACTGGTCGTTGGCCGAATACAACTGTCAATACGAATAATTATGTATTTTAAGTCTAATTAAATTTATTTCGATGTAACCTTGTTTTAGTGATGATTTTGTATTGGTTTATATTTATTCCAAAAACCCATGTTCTCGACAAAGTTAAATTAATAGCGTACAAAATGACAAGCCATCATTTGTTATACTAAACATACTACAATATATTTTTAAATTAAAAAAATAGCAACATACTTGAAGGATCTGATGGTTTAATCCATAACATGGAAAAGGCCATGACATACTTTCCCAAAAAAATATTGTGCAACTATGTTATGCGTTTAATCTTTTAGCGTTAGCATTAAGAATGTCATCTTATCTACGAAAAGTAAGTAGTTTTCAAATTACAGTAGTATTTACTGAACTGCAACTTCATTTCGAAGCAAGTTAATTAATGAAAGTTGGCACTCCTTGATTCTTCAACGCGAATGCAAGTCAATACACTTCTACATACCATAACTACCGTATCTCGCTAAAGCAAACAAATTTGGTTATCAATATGATAGAGTACACATTTTTCTACTGCACAGTAGATTCTACTAAACCGAGAATACATTATGAAGCAAGTTATGATTAATTAAAGTTGGAACACCTTGACTTATTCAACGATTACTCAGCACAATAGTTTGCAATATATCATAACTACCGCAGCTTACTATAATAAAAATTGTTTTACAGTATGATAGATTATTTTTCACTCTACATTTCAGTATTTTTAGGTAGCTGGAGCGCCCACTTTAAAGCAAGTTATGATTAAATAAAGTTGGCGTACCTTATTTTTCACTAATGACTAAAGTCAATATATTTTGACATACCATAACTGCCGTATATTGTTAAAGTAAATAAATTTGTCTTATAATACAATAGAGAATACGTTTCTCTACCATCTAGTATTTTTAGCTAGCTGGAGCTTACTATAATAAAAATTGTTTTACAGTATGATAGATTATTTTTCACTCTACATTTCAGTATTTTTAGGTAGCCGGAGCGCCCACTTTAAAGCAAGTTATGATTAAATAAAGTTTGCATACCATGATTTTTCAACAATAACACAAGTCAACAAATTTCAAATTACTATAACTGTCGTATCTTGTTAAAGTAAAAAAAATCTATTCACAGTATGATAGACTATATTCTTCTCTACCATCCAGTACTTTTAGCTAGCCAAAACACCCAATTTGAAGCAAGTTATGATTAATCAAAGCCAACGTACCTTGATTTTTCGCGATTTTTAGAGAAAACTCTCCTCATTTTACGTGATCTCTCGCCTTTGCCACCATTTTTTCAGACCACCCGCAGCGGCCACCCGAAATTCGGCTGAAATTCGGCAAGATCCTTTGGTTTCCGCTGTTGAAAATTGCCAGCCGCTGCGGGTGGTCCAAATAAATGGTGGCATTTGGTGATAGATTACGGAAAACCCAGAGACCATATATCTTTTGCAGACACTGATCGGAGTTATACCAAATTGTTGCAGAAAGAGCGCGCAAATCGAGAGACAAGTGATTCGGGGTTAGAGATAGGGAAGCGGTCATACAAAAGCGCCGCGGGAGAGCGGACGAAAAGAAGAGAGCGCAGAGAAAAGAATGGGCGAATGCGCTGATTGGCTGAAAAGAGTGTGCGTACGAAGAGACATTAGAAGAGCTAGAGAAATAATTAGAAAAACAGCAATAACCTTTGTTTGGCTCGATAAAATTTTGTGAAATTTTCAAGTTTGATCATATATTGCATTTGCTACAGTTTGTGCAAGTTAAAATTTAAAAACATTTTCAAAAAAGTTTTATATATTGAAAAGAAATAATAGTAGCGTAATAAGGTATGTTATAAGGTATGGTAAGATAAAGTTGAGTAAAATAAATTAGGCCAAAAGGCAGCGTAGATCAGATAGCATATGTAGAATAGGGTAAAGTAGAGAGCAAGACCAAAATTCAATTTTTCTCAAGTAAAAGTTGAAAATTTCAAAAAATATTGATTTATTGAAACGATTTAAGTATAATACAATTTTTAAAAGGTACAAAAATATATGAACATTGTTGGCTTCTCCAAACACCAATAATTTTGTAATTTTAATGATCAATTGAAATTCTTATCCAACGGCACATTTTCTTGGCGTATTGGATTCCTCGCTGGCGAATTATGTTGTGGTAGAATCGGTTCTTCTCCAGGTGGATTATGTTTTCGTAATTTGCTTTTGAGCCATGGACAACACTGGAAAAAAATATTATAAAATCACTATTTTTTGTAAAAATTTTACTCTACTCCACCTTACCGTACCCTACCCAATCTTACCCTACAGTACCTTATATACCCTATCGTATCTCTACCCAACCCTGCAATAACCCTACCCAACCCTGCAATAACCTACCCTACCTTACCCTATCCCGGCCTACACTACCCTACCCTACCCTCCCCTCCCCTACCCTAACCTACCTTACCCTACCCCGGCCTACACTACCCTACCCAACCCTGACCTACCCTACCCATACCTACCCTACCCCGCCCTACACTACCCTACCCCGGCCTACACTACCCTCCTGTATGTAAAATTGAAAACGATACCTTACCTATTCTCCTACGCCCCCACCCTCCCCCTCCTCTCTGTTTTTAACCTTCTCCCTCCCTGTCTTCTTTTCGTTTCGCCCCTTTCATCATCTATTAAATAACCGTAAATCTTACCATAGCCATCAATGAAGAGAAAACTTGGTAAGTGACACTGTATGTCACCATGAAAAGGACCAAATTTTTGGTATCCCACTTTACGATGTACTTGTCTTCTTGTATTGAGATGGTTTTGTCAAATACAGTGTGTACAAAAGGCCTTTGATTTGAGTCGGTGTAGGTAATGTTGACAATCAATCTAACTTGTTGGTCAATAAGAGTTTTGTCAGGATCAAAAGTGTAGGTTAACATGGCCATTACATTTGGCGGTACAGTTAGGTTCTGATGTTTGGCAGTCATCTGAAATTGTATTTATGAAAAAAAAACGTCGTTTTAAAAAAATTACCCTACCTTACCTTATCGTACGTTATCTTACCTTGCCTTACCTTATTTTACCTTATCATACCTTACCTTACCTTATCTTACCTTAACTTACCTTACCTTATCATACCTTACCTTATCATACCTTACCTTACCTTACCCTACCCATACATTACCTTATGCCCCACACATACCATAACCTTTACCATATTATGTTCAAAATATAAGATCAATAAGATAAACTTAAATTAGCCATAATAACAGAAAAGTTAGATGGATCTCTAAGTGATGGCTCAATACTATGAAGGATCATGTCATTTTGTCCTTTGTTTTCAAATCCAATTAGAAACTTTGACTCCTTTCCAGCCAACAGATCTAAAAATACGTAGTAGACAAAGAACTAAAATCGTGTCCTAATCTACCCTACCGTGAATTAACTCACCCTATCATACCTTGTCTTACCCTACCCTACTTTGCTCTGCCTTACTCTACCGTGCCTTACTCTCCCTACCCTATTCTCCCATACCGTATCTTAAACTGCCTCACTTTACCCTACCCTGCCATATCACACACTATCCTATCGTTCCTTGTTCTACCCTACCTACTCTGATTTATATATCTTGTCATTAGACATGAGAAACAAACCGAGCGTGAACTTAGGCCAGGCCTGATCGAAATTTTACTCCGGCCCGGCCAGTTTTTCGTGTCTAATGACAAGATACATACATTAGAGTAGGTACCTGCTTTACCCTATATTTGCCTCATATCATCATTAACAACTTACTTTCGCTATCAATAGGCTTGATTAAGTAGAACGTTGCTTCAACATCTTTGGATGGACTAACCGTTCTTTCCTCGTCTTTCAAAACAATCCCATTTCCATCAACTTTAGCTTCCGAGCAAACTATAAGAAAAAATATATTGTAGTAGGCATGAATCCTCAGATTAGTTGATATTTTATGTAAACTTTAAATAAAAATGATTACTCACTTACCTGAGATTAACAAAACGCTGAAGACACATAAAAACAGGTTCCTGATGGACAACATCTATTCGTAAAAAGTTGGGTCATTGACTAAAAATAATATTATTCAGTGGGACTGCCGTATAACAAACTGCTCTATGAAGAGCAGTCTGTATAACGAACAACTTTTAAAGCAAACATACAAAAAAGACAAAAACTGAGAGATCCCGAGCTTAATTGGCCGCCAGCCTTTTTAAAAAAAATACAAAACGTCTTTGCAAAACGTTGGCCTCAGACTTTTAATCATTTTTCTTTGATATAACAGTAAAGAATCTTTAAATGTACCTCAATTTTTAAAGTTACAATCTTAACCCATTAGAGACAGCAAAAAAGTGATTGCAACACAATGCCAAATTGCCGAGAACTTCATCTATATAAAAATAAGCATGGCGCAAAAGCAGGGCATTCACGATTTTTCGTGCCCTGCCCTACTTACAAGGAAAGTACCCAACCTGTCCCGCTCAGAATCAACTCAAAATTTTTATATGAATTCCTTGTACCATCAATAGTACCCATAAAAAATTTTAGCTGGTGCTCTTGAGTTTTAAATTTAAATTATTTGAGTTTCCCGCCAATTTGGAAAATTTGGCATTGTGTTTCAAGCACTTTTTCGGCTTTCCAGACAAGACACGCTTACAAATATAAAAATGTAGGTTTATTTAAAGGTGTTCTACTAGTATATCTAAGAAAAATAATTAAAAGTCAAAAAATGACAAAGTTACAAGCTTGAAACCATGCCAAATTTACGGGAAATTCAAAATGTCATTTTTTAATCTCGATTTTCTCGAGATTTCCTGGAAAGCGCGATTTAGTACTTTGCTGAACATCTTATATTTACATGATCTTCCAATATAAGAATTTTGAAGTCAATCAGAGCGGGGCAGGTCGGGCACTTTCCTTGTCAGTTCTATGCCCTGTCCTGTGTCCAAGCCTGCCCCCTAGATTTTTCAATAAATTTTTGTCAAAAAACCGTAGGTTTTTCAAGATTTACTCCGCCATGTGATAAACCAAAATATCGTTAATTAAAAATGAAGCAAAAAATAGGTATTTCTTCAAGAAAAAAAACTAAAAAAAAATACAATCAAGTAGCAAACTTGATCAAAAACCAGCCGCAGCTTATTATAATAGTTTATTCAACAAATCTCCAGTAAAAATATGTTTTCTACATGAATTTACAATAATAACATAAGATTTTGACTTTTGTTTTCGTTGCGAAACAAAAAACCCGCGTTACAGTAGTCGGTAAAAGTGAAAAGAAGGTGTGATATGAAAATGCCAGTTCGATATGCAAAGTGAGCGAAGTTCGGGGGGGGGGTGGTCAACTCGAAAGTTTTTCGGATAAAATTTTTTTTTACTTAAAATTTCAAATTTTAAACGCAAAAAATTGAAGAAAAACTAATATTTTAGGTAAAAATCTGTCTAAAACAGCCTGTTTTAGGTATTAACTGTCGTTTTTAATCGAAACAATCCATCTAAAATAAGGTTTTTGCATATAAATCACCAGTTATTACCAATTTAGTCCAAAAAACCTTCGAAATTGACCAAAAATAACATTAAAATTGAGCAAATTTAGATAAAAATAGTTAAAATAGGTATCTATTCTCCTTCTTCAAAGCCTAAAGACTTGGTTTAAGCCTAGAAACTTATTTTAAGCCTAAGACTTTAAATAGAAGCCAAAAACTTAGTTTAAACCTAAGGCGTTAAGCAAAGCCTAAAAACTTAACTTAAGGCTAAGACATTAAGCCAAGCCTAGAAACTTAACTTAAGACTAAGACTTCAATTTAAGCCCAAGACTTTAACTTAAGCCTATAAATTTAGTTCAAGCCTAAGGGCTTGAGACACGTGAAGTAGAAGGAGTATCGGTGGGGTTGGAAGCCGATTCAAGGTTGGCTTGGGCCGCTTCCAGCTCGTATACTGGGTTCGTGAAGGTCGTTGTAGTGGTACTAGTTGGTTCACTGATCTCACTTACTGAATAGTCGTCATCGTGCTCGATTTCACTCTGAAATTTCAAAATAATATAAAAATTTTGGTACGGTAAGATACTGTAGGATAGGGTAAGAATACATAAGTTAGGTAAAACAGAATAGGTAAGGTATGGTAGAGTATGATAGAGTAAGGTAAGATAGGGTAGTGTAGGGTAGAGTAAGATAGGGTAGGCTAGAGCAGGATAGGATAGAGTAGTATAGCAGAACGTAAGACAGAGTATGACAATATAACACCTACCTTATTATCCAAAACCGGATTGCCAAATGAAATCACGTTGCCACGGAACGACACCGTTCCATCAGCCAGCTCGTTCTTCTTGTTGAACAATGTCCTCTTCTTGTACATTGTCATAGCCAAAACAGTCACAACGCCAAGACAGATCAGCATGGCCAACATCAATAACATAGCCAGCATTCCACCCGATCCTAGTCGACCGATCAGCTGTCTTGATACGGTCGATCCTTTCTGGCAGAATTCGCCTTCAAATTCGCCACAATCACAGTTTCCATTCAACAGACAGCGCCCACCGTTCTCACATTTGCACTGCTTGGGGAGTGGGCGTGAGTCGAGTTTTAGACCGGCGCAGGAGCCGTCCTGAAAATAGAAAGATTTATTAGGGTAGTCAAGGTATGAGTAAATTAGTACTGTACATGCATACTTTAATAAAAACTTTTCAAAAAAAAATTTTTCGTCAAAAAATCCACAGGGAGGACCAATTTCAATATTTTTTCAAAAAAAGCAAGTGCAGGTAACCAGAATGTCACTTGGCATCTACTATACAATAAAAAATTTTAAAAAACTGTTTTTTAACAAGTTGGTATTACATTTTTGCAAATTCTTAGCTTTCAGAAAATAAATCCACAGTGGGGACCAAGTTCAATAATTTGACATTTTTAAATTACTTTTTCCAAAATTTTACTTTTTAAAACTTCTTTTTTTTTGAAAAAAAAACGAAATTTAAGAAGCAAAGCCTTTGCAATTTCTATAAAGATCTTATTTTTTTCATAAACCATTCTTTCTAAATCCAAAAATATAAAAAAAACTAAATTTAACCTTAAAAAGAAAAAAAACTTTCAAAAATCAAAAATTCTTACCGCCAATTCGGTGACATTCTGAGGACACAAGCATCTAAACGCATTGTTAGCCAAAGGTACACATAGATGAGTGCATTTGGCTTGTTCACAAGGGTCGTTCTGTTTCCTCACATCCTTGGCATATCTTTGTTGTACTCTAACTGAATGTACGTCTGGCAATGCTGAAGCCAGTACGTGGCTTCTGCCTCGGCCAAACTTGTCCTGAACGTACAGAGTCTGTGTGTCCTTTGAGACCCAGTACACGTGATTCTCGAAGACATCTAGAGCCCATGGAGCGTGCTCGGAGTGTACCACGAGATGACGTTTGTTGCCATTTGGCAGTACTGACTCGATATTCTTGAACTTGGGGTCGGACCAGAAGATGCGGTTGTTTTTGCCTTCGTCGACGGCTAGCGAGGTTGGAGTGAAGATAAGTTGATTCACAATGATGGTACGATGATTACCGTCCATGTCGGAGCATTCGATCTTGGCGACGAAGCCGGCATCTGAGTAGCAGATACGGCCCAGCGCTGGCAGGATGACGATGCTGGTGGGGACGTGTAGATGGCCTCCGATGAGTTTCTTCACGTAGCGACCGTCCGAGGTGGCTAGCCAGATGGAGCCGGTGTCTGGGATTCTGGGTTCAGATAAGCGTTTGTATCGTCGAGACTCGACCTCAGAATCCTCTTCCACCTTCTTCGTGTCCCGCTTCTCCACCAGAATCGAGTTGGTATCGCTTGACATGGCCGTAAAGTACACGTTACCGGTCAAATAGTCCACAGCCAAAGCAGTTGGAACAATGTTCAGTCCGTCAAAGTCAATGTCGAGAGCCTGACCTTCGTGACTTTGATTGCCTTTGGCTGTAGCCGATCGGAAGATCTTCTTCTGAGCACTATCGATCCAGTACATCAGCTCTCGTCTCGGGTCAAACTCAACCGACACAATGTCACTTTCGTCGTCCTGAGCATGAGCTGCTGCATTCCTGTTAACACCTTGAGCTCCGGCCAAAGAGATTTGGACCAGTTGGTCGTCTGAAGCTACAACAACTTCGGCGTAGTCGCCTTTGGCGCGACAATCCTTTCCGCTCATCGCTCCTACTACCACGTTGTTCTCGTAGTCGTCCAAGCAGCGACAGATGTAGGATCCCTTGGTGTTCATGCATTCTTGGGTACAGGTGTTGTTGCCTTGACATTCGTCTATATCGATACAGTCGAGTGGGTCCAATGGGTTGGGTTGGAAGCCGTCACGACAATGACAATAGTAGCCGCCTTCCACGTCCGTACACAAATGTCTACAGCCGCCGTTGTTCGCCGCACAGGTCTTTCCATTGTGTTTGTCTGAAATTGTAAAATTATTTTAAAGAACGACAGTTTGACGAAATGTCACAAAAACTATCGATTTTTTTTTAAATTGTAAAATTACAAAAAGTTTGTTGTTCTTGACTTTAAAATTACATTTCTGGATATTTCTAGCTATTTGAAATCGTATATTTTGACGAAATGCCACAAACATTATTGATTTTTGAGGTTTGTCAAAATTTTAACTTTTAGACATCAAAAATCAATACTTTAGCATTTCTAACTATCCCTTAATTTCCAAAACCGTTTCGTGACATTTCGCAACATCTTACAAAAATCCAATAATTTTGTGACATTTAGTAACATTTTTTCAAATTTATATAAAAATGTAAAAAAAGTTAAAATACGATAGTTTGCATTAGTTGTCAATTAAAAAATCAACTTACTGCATCCAATTTCATCCGAAGCATCACCACAATCGTCATTTCTGTCACAAGCCAATGTAGCATTGATACATTTTCCATTGGCACACTTGAACTCATCCGATGAGCAATCACCGTACTCGCTGAAAGACGAACACATACTCAAATGCTCGTCCGAATAGTCGTTCGGTCCACAATCATTGTAGCCGTTACAGAGTTGAAGAATATTGACACAAAGTCGAGAGTGGGCGCATCTGAAGCGGAGTGGAGGCTCGCACTGTGCGGTTCGGCATTGAGCGTTGGTTTCGTCCGAGTTGTCGCCACAATCGTTGTCGCCGTCGCACATGAACTTGCGTGGAATGCACACCGAGTTTCCACATTCGAACTCGTATGGTGAGCATTGGCGACGATTGGGCTGAAAAATATAAATTTAAAAAACGCTTAAAAATTAAAAACTCATAAATATTTTAAATTAATATAAGAAAATGGCAAAAAAAGCTATTGAAATAAGCTATTTGGTTGAAAAAGTTAAAAAAATCAAAAATTTTGCCAAAAATTTTAAAAAAATTTGATTTTTCTCTTAAACTCCTAAAATTTTTTCTTCTAAAATAAAAATGCATTTTAAAACTGAAAGAAAAAAAAAAATCAATAATTTTCAACTTCCGAAAGTTTTTTTTTAAATTTCAAAAATCAAACTTTTCATTTTCCCAAAAAATCAACTTACATGATCCTCACAATGTGTTTCATCCGACGCGTTCGCACAATCTCTTCTTCTGTCGCACCATTTATGTTCTGGGATGCATGTTCCATCGTCGCATTGTCTGAAGCCTTCGTTGCACTTCTTCAGATGGCAATTGCTTTCGTCCAGTCCGTCGGCACATTGGATGGTGCCATCGCAGACCTTGCTCTGTGGTATGCATCGTCCGTCGTTGCATCTGAATTCAGATTCGGAACATGGCCGTGACGTTCCTCCGCACTCTCCGTCGGTTTCGTCCGAGTTGTCGCCGCAATCATTCTCCGAGTCGCACATCCATCTTTTTGGGATGCATTTACCGGTGGTGGCGCATCTGAACTCGCCGATATCGTCGCAACTTGGGCACCTTGACAAGATTTCGTCCGACTCGTCACGGCAATCGTCTTGGCCGTTGCAGAAGGCCCAGTCGGGGATGCATCGGTAGGAGGAAGCACATCTTGACCAGCCCTTCGGGCATTCCATGGTGGCACATTCGGCTGGTTCGTCCGAGTTGTCGCCGCAATCGTCGTCGTTGTCGCACTTCCACGCTTTCGGGACGCACTTGTTGTTGTTGCATTTGAACTCTTCGGCGGTGCAGTTTTTGGCTGGGTTTTTGCAAATGGCATCGGCTTCATCTGATCTGTCGCCACAATCATCATCGCCGTCGCATGTGAATCGGGTGGGGATGCATTTGCCTGTGGCTTTGCACTTGAACATCCACGGGTCGCAGGGTTTGTCGCAGTCTTGTTCGTCGCTGCGGTCGCCGCAGTCGTCGATTCCGTCGCAGAGTTGGAAGGGGCGGGTGCAGTTGTGGTTTTTGCATTGGAATTCGCCCACGGGGCAGATTCGTTCGCCACAGACGTCCTTGCCGGGCTCGTCTGAGCCGTCGCGACAATCCTTTTCGCCGTCGCAGTACCACAACTTGCTGATACACTTGGCGTCTTCACCGCCGCAGGCAAATTGGCGTTCGGTACAGTGTGGTTCACAAGTTTTCTTGTCCGATAGCAATATGAATTGATCTGGGCAGGCACAGGTGTAGCCTTTGCCGCCTTCTGAGATCAAGCATAGGTGAGAGCATCCACCGTTGTCATTACCACATGGGTTGGGGTATAGTGGCTGCCTGAGGGGGTGTACTACTCTTAGATCATTGGGTAACTGAATGGTGGTTTCGAGTACTGTTTCGTTTTGTCCTGTCCATTTGTAGGCACTGATGACTTGTCTTAGGTTCCAATCGCTCCAGAATAAAGTGTCATCGAATACTGTAAGTGAAGAGATGTGACTGGTCCTCTTGGCTGGTATGTGGTGCCTGTTTTGGCCGTCCAAGTCCATCCAGCCGACTTCATTGAGATGAGCATCAGCCCAGAACAGTTTATCGCTGTAGTAATCGATGGCTAGAGCATTCGGCCAGCCTAGGTCGTTTTCGGCTAGCTTGAAGATTGGATCACCTGTACCATTACCTCCATCAAGTGCTACTCTTCCAATGTAGGGTTGTAGGGACCATTCAGAGAAGTATAGGTAACCCTTTTCAGGATGGACTACTAGAGCCTTCGGTTGTTGGATTCTGTCTCTTATCAGTGTTTTACAGTATCTACCGTCCAGTTCACATACTCTTAGCGATCGGTCTTGTCTGTTGAGCATGTACAACTTCTTGGCCACCCAATCGACCGCGATGCCTTCGGTACCAAACACATTATGTCTGACCACAGTCTCGTAGTCTCGGATTGGTGCTCCCAAGTTGTCTAGTCCAACTCGGTACAGTCTTAGCTTGCCCGCATCCATCATGTAGATCTTGTTGTCATGTACATCCACATCCATTGATACAACGTTCTCAAAGCCTCGAGCTACAAGTTCGTACACAGCACCATCCGCACTCAGCCTTCTGATGTAGTGCTTGTTGGCCAGGAGCAGGTAGGGTTGAGGTTCGGCATTGTCTCGTTTGCAAGTGATCTGATCGTTGGATAAGGTAAAGCCATCATGGCATTTACACTTGTAGGACCCAACCTTGTTCTCACAGATCTGGGAACACTTGGCCGTTCCATCAGCACATTCGTCCGCATCAATACACGACTTTTGGTCCTTGTCAAGTTGGTAGCCTTCGAAGCAGGCACATTTGTAGCCAATGATCTTGTCCACGCACTTTTGTTCACACAATGGGGTTTCGGCCAGTTCACATTCGTTTACGACTAAAAATTGAAAAATTTAGATAAAAATTTTTAATAAAATTTTTAATTTTTATCTAACTCTTTATAAAAAATTTTTAATTTTTATCTAACTTTTAAAAAAAAATTTTTTAATTTTTATCTAACTTTTAAAATTTTTAAAACCATTAAGATTCGAAATTTCATTTCCATTACCTCCCTAGTTTAAAAATGTCAGTTTAGAATCCAAAAAGCTTTAAAAAATTCAACAAATTGACAAAAATCCTATTTTTTTGCAAAAAAGTTATGTTTTTTAAGTTACAGTAACCTAACCAAAAAACTTACAACTACAAAGTTGTTTGCCATAGTAAAATCTGTATAATATGTCAATTTTGAACACATCCCAACAGCTAGTTTCAAGATAACATCGATTTTAAACTTTGATAGGTAAAACAATACTTTTTAAATTTAGCAAACTAAAATGACACTCTGCGGTAAAATATTCAAAAGTATCCTTTTTTCTACCTACATACGCCTTGCCATGTTATAGCAAAGAAAAAAATTACATTTCAAAAAACTTTTTCGTGTCCTGGCACGAAAACCTTCGGAAACAATTTTTTGTCAAAAAAGCATGTTTTTAAGTATTCATGATCTAAATTAATGCCTTAATGTACTATGCTTTACTTTACCCTGCCCTAACTTACGCTACCCTTCCCTACCTTACCTTTTACCCTAATACACTCTACCTTACCCTACTTAATATTACCTTATCCCAAAAAATTTAAAATAAGACTTACAACACTGTGGGCTTTCATCATCTCGATCCGGACAATCATAGATCCTATCACAGACTTTACTATTCTCGATACAATCTCCACTTTGACAAGCGAATTGACCAGCTGGACATAGAGCCTTATCAGTGCCAGTTGTAGCCGATTGTGCGTCACAACCTTTCTCATCTGATCCATCATCACAATCATCATTACCATCGCATTTCCAGGTGTTTGGAATGCACTTATGATTAGCACATTGCCAGAACTCAGGTTGGCACGCCGAGTATGTGCAGTTGGTGTGCTCGTCTGATCCATCTAGACAATCGTTATCACCATCGCACTCCCACGCCTGATTGATGCAGTGTTTGTTGGCACAGCGGAACTCCCCTTTGTTGCACTCCTTCTTCGACACGCCGCACAGTTCTTCGGCTTCGTCCTCGCCGTTTGCGCACGTCACATCGCCGTCACAAAGCCATGACTTGGGTATGCATTCGTACTTGGGCTGAGCCAGGTTCGCGTTGCTAGGACAGTGGAACTCGTCCGGTCCACAGGTTCGGTTGCCGCAGTTGTGGATGGTAGATTCGTCCGAACCGTCGCCACAATCGTCTTCACCATCGCAGATGAAGGCACGGCTGATACACTTGCCATTGTTACATTGTAGTAGATATTCGCCCACACAGACGCGTTTACCAGTCGTATCGGTACAATTGGCGTGAGTTTCGTCCCATGCTCCTTCACCACAGTCGTTGTCACCATCACATTGCCAGGTTTCGGGGATGCAACGGCCGTTAGGGCATTTTACACTAAAAAAGCGGGAGATTTATATTGTTTTAAGTACTTTTTCCTAAATTTTTGTAATTTTTAGAGTTTTTTGACATTTTAAATTGCACTAGGTTAATTTTTTATATTTTTCAAATAATTTAGAAAAGTTTTTATTAACTTTTACCTTGTTTTACATCGTTCTTCTTAAACTTTTACATTATTTTCAGTTTAAAGATGCATGTTTGATAAGACAAAGTAAATTATTGCCTTATGACATTTTTAAAAATTATTACCCTTTTTTATAGTTTTTTTTTGTTAAACTGTCAAAAGCCCAAAATGGCTTTTACATTAGCCAACTTTTTAGGTCCCACAACGAAATACCCTGGTTCTTGGCATTCTGTTTTTTCGCGGCTAAAAAGCTCGCCTGAGGCAACTTTGTTGATAGTTTTTTAATTTTTAGAATAAATAGTTGTTAAAATTAACAAGAAAAAATTTTTTCGAAATAAAAACGGCATTTTTAGCTAAAAAAACCTCATTTTTCGGCCTAAAACCGCATTTTTTAACTTTAAAATCCGATTTTTCAAAATCGTTGTACTTTTTTATATCTTCTTGTACTTCTAAAGATCATATTCAACTTAACATGATCGTTAACCCAGGTTTTAAGATCCTATTCTATTCAGGTCGTCCGAATATGGACGAACCATTCAAAGCGCCCGAATTTGAAAATTTTGGCTCATCCAGCTTCGGACAACCTAATGCCAAATATTATAATTGCCTCAAGTCAAACACTTACTAATGAGCAGCGCACTGTTGATTCATGCAGAACAACTTGTTCTCATCCGCCTTATCACCACAATCGTCATATCCATCACACAAATCGGCCGGTTGGATGCAAATATTCGTCGTTGGGCACTTGATTCGAACTCCACGACAATCGATGGGTAAGCCGGGACAAGTTTTAGAGTTCTCGTCAGAGACGGCTTCATCGTGACAATCGTTTCGGCCGTCACAGACCTTGGAATGAGGGATGCAATGGCCGTTGGCGCAGGCGAAAGTGCCATTTGGACAGGCTGTGATTGGGGAACAGTCCAGTTCGTCTGAGCCGTCACCACAATCGTCGATACTGTTGCATTGTTTGTTGTCTTGGATGCAACGACGGTTGGCACAGAGGAAGTACTTTTCGGGACAGAAGCGGGTGACTGAAATTTTTGAAATTAAAAAAATTTTTTTTTGAAATTTTAAAATTCCTGATTTGTTAAAATTTTTTTTTGCATACTGTTACTTCAACAAAGTTATATATTATCATTTTAAGCCCCACCAGAATTTGAATTAAAAAACTTCATTTTTTGACCTGAAAGATCATGAACAATACCCAAAAATAACCTTTTCAGACTAAAAACAATCACTATTTTAAATTTCAGAATATTCTATACTAACTCAGAAGTTATTCAACATTAAACTTTGGCATCTCATAAGAAAAAAAGCAAAAATAAATTTTTTTTGGGAAAAAATGTCCGTCTTTTGGCTTATTTTAGTCATAACTTTTTTTTAAATTAGATAAACCTTAAAGTTTTATGATAACGTAGCTTATTTGTATTGTCATCTAAATTGCCAAAAAATTTTTTTCAATTTGTATACTTTAAAAAGTTACAGTAATTCTACCGCACCCTAGTTTTTTTTTCAATTTTCAATAATATTGAAAAAAGTGACATCCAGTAAAACTACAGTAACTTTTTAAAATCTAAAACTTAAAAAATTTTTTTTGTGAATTATAATGACAAAATAAATAAGCTACATCCACTAACAATTATAGATTAATATCTTTATTTTTTAAAAAGTTATAGCAAAAAAAGCTGAACCCTTTTTCTTCGAATAAACCTTATTTTAGGGTGTTTTCTAGTGAGAAGCCAAATTTAAATGGTGGATAACAAAAGAATTTGAATACAAAAATTTTTAAAATTTAAAATATAGATAGCCTAAAGTTTAGAAAATTCATTTTTGTATATTATTTATGCTGTTTCATTTTGAAAAATCAATTTTTTGAGTGTTTTATTGCTTGTGGACCTACAATACAGGGCTGTCAAAGTAAAATGTTGCGAGTTATTTTTTCATATATTTTCATAAAAATTCTTTTGAAAAACTTTAAATTTCAATTTTTTTTTTAAATTTCAAATTTTTTAAAAATTTTTTTCAAAATTTAAAAAATAGCTTTTTTTTCAAATAAAACCCCCTCCAAAACCTACAACAATAGTTCGGATGTTCATCAGATCCATCCGAGCAGTCTGGCTTTCCATCACAAGTTACATCCAGTGCGATACATTTACCATCGCCTTCACATACAAAATTGTATGGTCCTTCACAACTCTCGTGCTGTGTTGTTCTCAGAATACATTGTGTAGCAATGTCTTTGCCTGGTTCTTGGACCAACTCGTAGGTATCGTTACACGCGCATTGTACTCGGCTTGCGGCCACACCAATCGTGTGTGGAACGACATGGCACAGTTGATCACAGCCGCCATTGTTCTTTTTGCAGAGATCTGAGGTGTGGGCGTTGCACCATTGGTTTCTGGTCTTCACGTCGGCTTCTGAAGCAAAGATCCGCACTGTGCCTGGGATTCGTCGGTCGGTGAGGACGGCTTCAAAGTTGTTACCGGTCGATTTGTCCATTCGGAAGACGCCGTTCGCCAGTGGGTCGGTTAGGTATAGCCAGTTGTGCCAGATGTCGAGGGACTTTGCGCGGTAGCCGACGCCGATTAGGACACGGTTGTTGCCTTCGTAGTCGCAGGATTCGATGCTCAACCGGTTGATATCGGCCCAGTAGACTTTTTGTTCGCGGAAATCGACCGTTAGGGCAGCTGGGAGACTGATGTCAGTAGCAACGATAACTTTTCTATCACCGCCTGCGGCATTTGCTCTTTCAATTCGAGGTTCATAAGCTCCACCTGATAGTTTGTAGCCGGAATCTGACCAGAAGACTAGGCCAGCACATGGGTCGATAGCCAAGGCATAAGTCCAGTCGCCTGTAGCTATTGTAGCCAGATGATTACGGTCGACATCAAGAGCGTATAATCGACCAGTTCGGCCTGTAGTCCAATACAACTTTCCAGTGAGCCAGTCCAGTCTTAGATCGCTGATGTGCCGTGAGTTAAGCTCAGTGTTGCGATTGCGGTCTGGGCTGAATATTAACCTGGGTGACTTGGGTTGATTCATGTGGAACCAGGAGATGTTGGCACCTTGCGGGCTTTCGGTGACGTAGAAGATCTTCCTCAGGTTCACGTCGACGTCGAACATCTGAAGGCCTGGGATTTGTGGGAAGGATTCTTTGCGCGGGGCAACGTTCTTGAGGCCTGGAACGATGGGTGCGTCCACAATGTTCTCACCGTCCGCGAACATCATGTAGGTGTCCGGTTCTTCACAGGTTCGGCCTTTTGGTACTCCACGGGCACAGTCGCAGATTGGAGTGGGGCTACCGTTCACGGCGAAGCACAGTTGAGGGCACGGGGCTTTTCTCAAGTTGTCTGTGACGTGGCACGGCGAAGAGGCTTTGGGCTGGGCTAGAGGGTCGAATGCGATCACATCACCCATGTCTTGAATGCCTGCGGCTATTGTGGTTGGGGAGAGGACCATTTGGGTGGTGTTTGGTTTGGAGGAGGCTGAGAATATCTTTTCCAGTCGTCTGTCAGTCCAGTACATCATCTGGCCTAGCAATGCAATACCGGTGGCTTCGGCAATGTCACCTCGTACTAGCTCTGGCTTGCCTCCATCTTGTCGTACACGGTAAATGCCGTCCATGCCGGCGTCGGTCCAGTAGATCATGTGGCTGTTGGGGTCTACTATAACATCGGTTGGTTCCTTGAGGTCTTCTGATACGATGACTTTTTTGTTTGATCCGTCCAGATTGGCACGTTGAATACTAGGTTTTTGGCCTTGGTCCGCCCAGTAGATATAGCGACTGATCGGGTCTACAGCTATACTTGTTGGGGTTTCGGTCTTCGTGCTGAGGAGAATCTTTCGGTTCTCGCCTGACAGCTGACATACCTCAATATGAGTCCGGTCCGAGTCGGCACTGATAAAGTATAGGTTGTAGTTGACCCAGTCTACCGCCAACGATCTGACCGTGAAGCCGCCAAAGTTGTTTTTCACGATCTCCTTGACTTCGGACTCGCCGATCGTCATCTTGTAGATGCCTTTGTTAGGGCCGCCCGCGTCCGCGATGAAAATCGACTTGGATTCGTAGTCAAAGTCGATGGAAGTAATGGCAGTGCCACCAATTGGCTCTAGTGCTATTCCTGTCGCCTTACTCTGGTCCACTGCTACACCGGCTACACGATTCTTGCTGGCCACGACCAGGAAGCTGTGATCGTAGACCTTGCACTGGTTTGAGCTATCCATTTGGTAGCCCGAGGCACAGATACAACTATATTGACTGTATTGTTTTGGGATGCACAGGTGGGGACAATTGCCATTGCTGATATGACATGGGTGAGAGGCTGAGGCGCCTCGGGGGTCGACTACACGAATGTTCACCAACTGGTCGATGTCCTTTTTGTAGTCGTGGAATTCTGGAGGTTGTCCGTCGCTGACAATGTCACCAACCATGATCTTGTCGAAAGCCGTGTCACCGTAGTAGAGTTTGCTTCCGAAAAAGGCTACACCGTTGGGTTGTTTGCCACCGTCGTTCAGGACGTAGTGCTTGTCTTGGCCGTCGTAGGCTACGGAGGTGATCTGGAATGAAAGTATGGTAATTTTTAAAGGTAATTAAACAATACACAAGTTTGAGCATCAATTCAGTATCCTATAAAACCAATTTCAACCCATCAAACCAAAAAAAAACCACCTACCCTTCCAGCCTTGGCTTCAGTGTAATATACTCTTTGACCGGTCGTATCCAGTGCAATATGATCCAGTTCAGACAGATCTGAACTCACAATAACCAATGGGTTCCCTCCGTCCAAATCGGCTCTAGCCACTTTTCGTGTCGCGGCTCCAGCGCCTTGGTCTAGCCAGAAAATGAGGCCACGGTCCGAATCCACCGCCAATGAAACTGGCTGGGCTACTGTGGTTGGGGATTGATCGTTGTGGAGGATTACTGCTCGGTACTAAAGTAAAATCAGTGATTTTGAACTTCACAGTAATTTTAAAAATCCAATAAAATTTTTTACATTTCGTCACACTTGAACAAATTTTCAATAAAATTTGTGACATTTCGTCAAAACTTTAAATTAACTAACAAAAATAAAAAAATATGTTTAAATTTCGCATTTTATAGCATATTGACAAAGTAAAAAAAATCCAATAAATTTTTGACACTTCGTCAAATTTTCCAATAAATTTTTCGACATTTCGTCAAACATAAAAATCCACCTAGAAAATCATGTTTTATCTTACCCTAGTGCCATGAGTCCTCACAACTTCGATCGTTTGTGACACTTTGTTACCAATGTACAGGTTTCGGCCGTTCCAATCGAACGCTACACAGTATGGGTCGTTTACAACTTGATTCGCACTGAACTGAGTCTTGTTACTGGTCGATAATTGTGTGCGGAAGATGCGCGAGTCCGATATCAATGTAGCGCCAATGATTCGTGCGGTTGTGGCGTGCTCCAAATGGAAGAGTTCACGATCTTGTGGATCATAGTCGGCGTCAAAAGCGTTGGTCAAGCCGGACAGTGGAGTCATACCGCCAAGCTCGGGAGTGCCGTTCAAGAACTTGTCCATGCTTAAGCCAATGATGTTGGTCTTTTGAATCATCATGAGGAAAGGCTTGTGGTCTTCTTGGCATTGATGGTCTGGGCCGGCTGTGGTACCCATGGGGCAGAGGCAGGAGAACGTTGTGGCGTTCACGCCGATGAGACAAACGTGCGAGCACGGATTCTGATGGCATGGGTTTTTGTCGATTTTAGGTTGAAGAACGGGGTGCACTGCTACCACGCCCAGGGCTTTGCTGAAGGTGTGGCTGGGGTAGTCGCGAGTGGTTCCGTTCGGGTATTTGGGGTATACCTATAAATTTTGAAATGATTTATCATTATGAATGTTTGTAAAACTTAATAAAATTTAAAAAAATGTCGGAAAAGCTTTAAAACAAGGTCCGCCCAAGAATCAGACATAGGCGATGAAAAATTTCAAACTATTTGAAAATTGCTCATTTTTTGATAAGAGGTAGCACTTGGGTATAGAAATGCAAAAATATAAAAAAATTTTAAAAATTCGGGTTACGGTAGGATTACGGTAGGTTTTAAGATTTTTTTGTAACTGTTGTACTAAATGTCAGAAAGGAATGGGACTTTTTTTAAATTGTTTGTCACTATAAGACAATCATTTTATTTGTTGACAACTTTTTTTTATTATGCCCGGAAGGCATTGAAAAAATTAAAGTTTCCAAAAAAACCATCAAAATTTTGAAAAATTTGAAATTTCTCGAAAAAAAGTCACTATGTAACAAACTTTTGACAACAGATAATGAAACTACATGCTCTTACAGTTCTAATGACACCGCGCATGGGTCATCTTAGCGGGGCCTGCGGTAGCTACGAATTTTCAAAGTTGACATCCTAAGGTCAATTAGCACAGAATTTGACTGTAATGTGGTTACAAATGGTTAAAAAAGGTGTTTGACACATTTTGAGCGTTTTATAAGTCTTTAAAACAATTTCCTTTCTATTGCCTCAGGGAATTTGTAATTTAAAAAAATTGATTTTTTTTTAAATTTAAATTTTAAAAAATTTTTAAAGCTCGGAAATTAAAATAATATGACTTGGCTTTTAATAAATGACCTATACAGAGACGTCGCTACGGATTTTCTCTAGGGAAGGGAAGGTTGAAAAAAATTTTTTCGTCCACAGGTCCCCCCCTGTGGCCCGATTTTCCAAAAAAATTTTTTTTTGTTTTTTTTGCGTAAAAATCTTGTATATGTCACTTACCAAAAGCCAAGGCATTTATTTTGATTTCCAATCTTTAAAAATTTTTTAAAATTTAAATTTAAAAAAAAATTTTTTTTTAAATTACAAATTCCCTGAGGCAATACACAAGAAATTGTTTGTAAACACTTATAAAACTTGCAATATGTGCCATGCATCTTTTTTAACCATTTGTAACCATATTACAGTCAAATTCTGTGCTAAATGACCTTAGGGTGTCAACTTTGAAAATTCGTAGCTACCGCAGGCCCCGCTAAGATGACCCATGCGTGGTGTCATTAGAACCGTAAGAGCATGTATTTTCATTATCTGTTGTCAAAAGTTTGTTACATAGTAAATTTTTTCCAAGAAATTTTAAATTTTTCAAAATTTTGATGGTTTTTTTGAAAATTTTAATTTTTTTCAATGCCTTCCGGGCATAATAAAAAAAAGTTGTCAACAGATAAAATGATTGCCTTATAATAAAAAACAATTTAAAAAAAGTCCCATTCCATTCTGACATTTAGTACAACAGTTACAAAAAAATCTTAAAACCTACCGTAATCCTACCGTAACCGGAATTTTTAAAATTTTTTTATATTTTTGCATTTCTATACCCAAGTGCTACCTCTTATCAAAAAAATGAGCGGTTTTAAAATAGTTTGAAATTTTTCATCGCCCCTGTCTGACCAATGTTCGATTCTTACGCGGACGTTGTTTTAAAAATGACAAGCATTTTATGAATAAAAATTGTGACATTTCGTTACAAAAAGTAAAATTTCCAATAAAATTTGTGGCATTTCGTCACAAAATAAAATTTTAATCAAATATCTTAAATTTTGAATTAAAGTAAAAAATCAGATGCAATTTATCGTTTTTCACAAAAATTAGATTTCCTATAAAATTTGTGGCATTTCGTCAAAGTCAAAACTCAGCTACAATATCAAAACATTTAATCTTACCTGCAATCTCTGCAGCCTTCTGTCACTGTAGTAGATCATGTCTTCGAAGATTGCCATAGCATGTGGATGTTGTACATACTTGGTGGCAGCCAATACTTGTACTCTGCCACTTCCATCATAGTTGACAAAGTCGATGTAATCCAGTTTACTGTCAGCAAAGTAGATTCTCTTCGTCGTGTAATCAATGGCGATGGTGTTTGGCCAGTAAATCTTTGTGTGTACGATGATTTTCCGATCAGTACCATCCATATTAGCACGTTCGATCCGTGGGTTTTGGCCCCAATCAGTCCAGAACATTAGGCCTTCTCGTGGGTCTAGGGCCAGTCCTCTTGGTTGATCGATGTTCTCATGAAGTAGTACTGCTCGTACGCCTTTCTTGTCTAGACATGCTACTTCGATCGTGTTTAAGCTGCTGTCTACCCAGTACAGGTTGCGGCCGACCCAGTCCACAGCGATTCCTTCTGTTATGTCTAGTCCTTGGCCGATGAAGACTTCCACGTCGGTGCCGTTGCGGCTAGCCGAGTAGATTTTCTTGTCTCGGATGTCAGACCAGAAGATACGATCTGATACTGAGTCCCATGCAATTGCTACCGCATTCTCGACTTGGGCGGCGAAGGTTCGCCAGTTTTCGAGTGATGGGTCCGACCAGTAGATGCGGTTGCGATTTGACACGTAGACTCTCATGTCAGTGCGGTTTTCGGCTACTTTGCAAGTTCTTTTGTCCGGTGATAGTACGTACTCCATGTCACATGAGCAGGTAAAGCCGTGCTTCTCATCGGTACAGCGTTGTGAGCACGACCTTGGGTCGAGACATTCATTCTCTGGCTCACAGTGAGTTTTGTTGGCCAAGGCTTCACCGAATGGGCATGTGCACATTGGACCGTCCGGAGTCATTTGGCATTTGTATTGGCAGCCGGCTCGGTCAGCACTACATAGATCACGGGCACATCGGCCGCCTTCGTCCGTTCCTCCGGGGCAATGATCCTTGCCATCGCAGAGCTGATGTGTAGGTATGCATTGTTCGGGTGAGTTGGGGCATGGTACCTCTTCGAATGGACATTTGGTGAGTTCGGCTTCTGGTCGACGACATCCATGTTCGGGAGACTCGTCCGTTAGATCTCCACAGTCATCTTCACCATCACAAAGCCAGGTTTTGAAGACACATCGGCCGTTATTGCACTTGATGTGATCCGATGGACATTGAGTTTGGCCACATAGTGACTTGGGTTCATCCGATCCATCGTCACAATCTTCTCGGCCGTCGCATTTCCACGCCTTCGGGATACAGATGCCGCTGGTTACGCACTTGAACTGGTCGTCTGTGCATGCTCCTTCGTTGATGACACATGAATCCTCGTCTGATGCATCGTCACAGTCATCTTGGCCGTCACAATGATTCTTCAGCGGGATACATTGGCGACCGTTGGCACAGCGGAATTGGTCGGAACGGCATTGTTGAGGTGGGCAGCGAGCTTTGTCTTCATCCGTGTTGTCGTAGCAGTCGTTATCACCGTCGCAGAGCCAGTAGACTGGGATACAGCGGCCGTTGCCGCAAGTAAACTAAAAAATTTAAGTTATTAGTAATTTATATGATTTATATTACAGTAGATTAGATTCCCATTACTGCAAAGCTAGTTTACCCTCCTTACATTACTATGCCCCACCCTACTTTACCTTAGCCTACGCTAACATACACTACCCTACCTTATCTTCATCTATCCTACCTTACCCTACCCTGTCCAGCCTCACCATATCCTTCCCTACCCCACCATACCTGATTAGCAGTACAAGTTGAATTCTTGCAAATCTCAAGTTTCTCATCCGATCCATCTCCACAATCGTTATCAGAATCGCACTTCCATTGCTCTGGAATACATCTGTGGTTGTCACATTGGAACTTCTTGGCGCCGCACATTGGGTGTTGGCCGTCCTTACAATACTTGGTGTCTTCATCCGAGTAATCTCCACAATCGTTATCACCATCACACGCATATTGCATTGGGATGCACTTCTTTGTGTTGTTACACTTGAGAGTTTGGTCTGGGCATGGCTTTTCCTTAAAGCATTTCTCACCGTTCTCATCCTTTTCGTCCGATCCATCTAGACAGTCATCTTCACCATCACATTTCCATTCTTGTGGAATGCATCGGCCGTTATTACATTGAAATTGAGTGCCATTCCTTGGGCACAGGCTTTCCACGACTTCTGTTGGGTCTGGTGTGCAGGTTCGTTGGTTTTCTGGGTTCAGTTTGAAGCCTTGTTTGCAGCCGCATCGTTTCGTGAGTGTAGCCGATTCGGAGTTCTTGGAATCGTTCGGAACGGCGAAGCACAGATGAGCACAGTCGTGTTCGTGACAAGGGTGTTCTTGATGGGTTTCTGGGATTGGTTGGTTTTCGAATGAACAGGCTTTGAGTGAGAAGACTGAACGTTCTTCCTTTGAAAAGTCACGGATCACGGCCGCTGTTCCTCCGAACTTCTTCGAGACCTTGCGGATCGAGTAGGGACGTTGGTGGATGAAGAAGAAATGGTCTAAAAGTGGAAATATTTTTCCGATAAAATTTGTGACATTTCGTTCAAAAACTTTTTTGCTACAATTTGAATAACCATGTTTATAAAAGTCATATTTGATCTATTTTTACCATTTTTTGTAAAAAATATTTTTCCAATAAAATTTTGACACTTCGTCGAAAACATTTTTTCATAAAATTTGTGTTCATAAATACATTAAACTCATTCTCATGCAATTTTTGACATTTTAAATTAAAAATATTTTTTTAATAAAATTTGTGACACTTCGTCTAAAAAAACCAATAAAACGTGTGACATTTCGTCAAAAACGTTTTATATTTATATTTTGATAGTTCGCTTGAAACCCCACCAAAATTTTGACATTTAGTCCAACCTACTCACCTTCCAGCAATGTCAACGCGACCGGAATGGCATTATCGACCGGTATGGTGGTCCAATCCGAGCCGTCAAAGTTCATACAACCGATGAATTTCAGAAGACTGTCACTTATGCACAACTTGTTGTCACTGTAGTCGATTACCATTCCTGATGGTCGGCCTAACGATTGGTTTCTGATCACTTCACAGCCTGTGGCATCGATATTACACTTGATGATCTTGGCTGGACGTGATGCTTCGGCGTAGAAGAGAAGACCTTTCCATGGATGAACCACGATGGCTACTGGATCGTTGAGGCCTTTCAGAAGCTGACGACGTACTAGTTGGTCTGGGTGGACCAGGCCCTAAAATCAATTGGTAAGATATAAAATTGGCTTAAATTTTTAAATTCAAAATTTTAGGTAACAAAAAAGCCCAAGACTTTTAAAATATAAAAGTTTAGGTAATAAAAATCCTTCAAAATTTAAAAAGTCAAATTTTAGGTAATAAAATCTATTTAAAAGAATTAAAAATGATATTTAGGTAACAAATACACAAAAAAATTATAAAAATTAAAATTTTAGGTAACAAAACACCTTGAAAACATAAAAAAGTTATTTTACAAGTAACAGAAAACATTATGAATTATCAAAAATTATATTTTAGGTAACAAACAAGGCTTAAAATGATTTAAAAAAAGAAGTTTAGGTAACATACTATCCTTTAAATGGTTAGAAATAGAAGTTTAGGCCCCAGCAAGCAATCTCAATTTAAAAAATAAAGATAACAACCCCAAAATCTACCCCAAGCTCTCAATTTAATTATTCACCCCAAACCCTCAATTTAACAACCCCAAACCCTTGCCTTCCCTTACCTGTTCAGCCACCTTCACCACCTCCAACGAGTTCCTGATATTATCCACATAATACAACTGCTTCGACAGCCAATCAAAGCTCATTGCAATTAGTCCATCATTGTGAGTGACTAAGATTGGAGCCGATCCTTCTCCATCTGGCTTTACTCTGTAGACAGTGTTGTCCATGATGTCGGCGTAGAAGAAGCTGCCACCGTGAACGTCACATTCGACCGAGAAGTACATGCCAATTCGTCGTTGTGAGATTGGGCTGATCGGCAGGATGGCTTCAGCTAGTGCTCCTTGTACCATGTTGGGGTAGATGCCTCGAACGACCTTGTTGCTGCTGAAGAGGAGATAGTCGATTGATGGAGCGCATCGTTTGCCGTCGACCAGCTTCTGACCGATGGGGCAGGCGCATCTGAAGCCCACGCCAAAGCCACTCGCGTCTTTGCCAATGATGCACATGCCTTGGCAGTCGGCGTTGGCGCAGGGATTCTGAATCTGTTGTTGGAAGCACTCGGAGTGTTCGGGACCAGGCTGCACCAGTGGATGATACGCAGCGATGCCCATAGGGAACACGTTGTTCTCCTTCTTGATCCAGACCTCTTGCGTTTCCGACCCGAACTTCTCCACCTTCATCACACCAAGCCTAGTCCAGTCAGTCCAGTACAGGTATTGGTCGAATAAAGTCAGACCAAATGGATGTGGTACATTGTTCATGCCTGTAGCCACAATGCGACGATCGTTACCGTCGTAGTCAATGGACTCGACTCGGTCGACTTTGGGATCGACCCAGTAGACTCGCTTGCCTGGGATGTCTACAACAACACCGCTGACTTGATGAGTATGAGTGTTGATGAGAGTACGGCGACGAGTACCATCCATGGAGCAAGCTTCCAGCTTGAACTGGTTGGAGAAGAACATGTCACTGAAATTAGGTAACATTAACCAATTTTAGACTTAAAACTTGCTTTTTTAAATCTAAAAATTATATTTTAGGCTTAAAATTATTAAATTTAAGCCTAAAAAGCCAAAAAATCAATTTTTATTTTAAAAATTTTTATAAACCTATCCTTACCCTCTCAACGGATCAAGTGCAATATCCAGCGGCAAAGTCAATCCATCAGCCAGCAGCACCGTCCTCTTGACTCCTTCATAATCACTGACATCAATCCTCCTTGATCCAGATTCCACAATATACAAGTTGTTGGCAATCCAATCAACAGCCAGATTCCTGGGATAAATCAAGCTCTTCAAGTCCAACTTCTTCAGATTCTCAATGTCACCATCCTCCTTCAGCTCGGCTCTAAAGGCTGAGTGGCCTAGTCTGTCAGTCCAGAAGATCTTACGATCCGAGTAGTCAAACGCTACACCGTAGATGAATTCACCGGTCGAAATTCGTTTTACATCGTCAGTTTTGGCCGGATTCAAAAGATATAGACCTTCACGTCGCGCCACGTAGAGCTTCATCTTCTCGGCTTCGTTCGAGACACAGTAGCCGCGGATACTGTTGTTGCCACTGTGCATCATCTCCAACGTATAACACGACCCCAAGCATTGACAAGTGAAGCCGGGTTTGTGATTCTGACAGTTCTGATCACAATATCCAAACTCAGAGCATTCGTTTATATCAGAGCAAGTTCTTTTAAACCTCGAGTCAAGTTTGTAGCCCTGAGGACAAGTACAGACCCCACCGGTTGGCGAGGCATGACAACCGGCTTGACACCCCAGACTAGGACAAAGATTGTGAGTACAGTTCTTCTCATCAGCTCCATCTTTGCAATCATCTTTTCCGTCGCAAAGCTTCTCCTCGTCAATGCAGTGCCCACTTGATGGACATGGCCACATTTTTGGCGGACAACGATATTCCCCACAGTTCTCTTCATCAGAATTGTCTCCACAATCATCGTAGTAGTCGCAATGGAACTTGCGAGGAATACAACGTTTGTTTTTGCATTGGAAATCTCCGCCAGAACAAGGCTTGAACTCTGGAATAGAATCATGGGTAATATTGAGGTATAAAGTGTGATTTGAAATGTTTTTTTGTAATAATAATTAAAATGTTATAATTATATCAACTTAAAATAAAAACATTATGTTTTGCTATTTTTAAAAAAAATGAAGAAATGCGTATTTTACAATGTTTAAATAGCAATAACCATTATATTTTCAAATGAATTTTTTTCAAGAATAGTATAAATCTAAAGTGATGTTACTGTTATTGCTCCAAAACATAATAAAACCATTTTGAACTGACATAAAACTATTGTATCTACAATTATAAAAGTTTATGCTTCTTATTTTATCCATTTCAATTAGTATTTTTCTCCAATTTAGTTTAAATTCATCAACGTTTTCAAAGGTAATATAACTTTGATGTGTTGTTCTTACTTTCCCTCAAATACCTCAGTTAATTCCATTTTTAACTATTCAAAACAAATTTCAAAAATTGCATAAGACTATATTCAAGCTTTCAAACCAGTTTTCCTTCTGTTAAAAACTTCTTTCGCAGTATTATGTTATCATAGACCGAATCTCTCATCAAAATTCGCCCTTTTCTCGCGCATTTTCGCTTTTTAATCCGTTCAATAGTTTTCGCTTCGAAATCTCACATCTAGACTTGAAGATTTGAATATCTAGATTCGAACAAAATCACAAAGACCTACCACAAGTCGGGGGTTCATCCGATTTGTCGGCACAATCCGGCGTTCCATCGCAAACCCACGACTTTTGAATGCACTGGGAATGGTCGGCGCATCTGAACTGATACTGGAAGCAAGCGGTGTGATTGGAGCCACAAAAGTCCTTTTCATCGCTCAAGTCTCGGCAATCGTATAGGCCGTCGCATTTCTTGTTCATTGGGAAACATTGTCGGCCGTCCGCGCATTGGAACACAGATCCATCTCCAACATCGCAGGAAACTGGGGCGGCGGCTGAAAAAGGTCATTAAATAATAAAATTTAAATTAAAAAAGGATAAATTAAACTTTAAAAGGCTTATCTTAATGTTTTACAGGTATTTACTATCCAAAAAACATATTTTACAATAAAATCGCGAAATATTGTTTTTGCAACCTGCGCCCAAAATGCGCAGCGTGCAGAACCCTCATTTTTGATTTTACAGTAAAAACGGACTTAAAATACAAAAATGTGTTAAAATATAAATAACTTACGACAATCCTTCTCATCTGACCCATCAGCACAATCAGTAATGTTATCACATCGTTGGTATTCAGCGATACATGATACTGAGTGCCATTCATACCTATCACACTGCCATTGGTCTGCTTTGCAGCCGGGATGGGCTGAAAATATATTTAAAATACGAATATGTTTTTCAACTTTCTTTATAAATTAAAATTTTAAAAAGTTTCAGGAAGTGGCTGAAAGCCGATATTATAGTAGATAAGCCAAACTTACGACAATCTTTTTCGTCCTCGCCGTTGGCACAGTCCCCAGAACCGTCGCATTTCCATTCCAGGCGAATACAATGCCCGTCATCACAGCGGAACTCGTTTTCCGCGCAGACGGTTTGGCCGTGCCGATTCGTCGTTCCAGAGACTAACGGCCGCGTTCCTGGTGGACTGGATCGGAATGGGGCTGATACTGTAACAGAAAATAATTTTTGACATTAAAAATGAATTTAAAACAGTATTTTTAATTATTTTCAAAGAAAAGTTTTTAAATTTTGGAGAGATTTGAAAAACCGCAAGAACTTTCTTTACAGCGCCATAAGGATTTAAACGGAAAATTGGGATTATGTTACTAATGCCATAGTTAACCCTCAAGAAAAATTTCAGCTTGAAATATAAAGTTTTGAAGAAAACCGCAAGAATTTTCTTTACAGTCAAAAAAACCCTAAAAATTGCAAAAATTTTAAAAATATACCATTTTAAAGTTAAAACAACTAAAAAACAAACAAAAAATTAACTTTTTCCAAAATCCGCAAGAACTTTCTTTCCAAAAACTCACATTGCACTGTAGATGCGTCCGAATGTACGGACTTGCTGAACAGTACGAAGCTGAGTATCCAGACTCGCCATCGCACAAAATTGTGTAAATTCATGCTATTTTGTTCGCAATCAAAACATCGAATATTTACGCGGAAATTTGCATAAAACAATAACAAATAACAGAATACCCTTTGGCGTTAAAAATCTGAAAATTCAAAAAATTTTAAATTTATTTTTTATTTTTAAAAAAAAATCACGGTAAAATACGCAATTTACTGTAAACATCAAAAGTTTAAAAAAAATATTTAAAAAATAATAAATTTATTAATTATAATATTGACTGCACGGTGCAGTCGAAATCACTGCACGGTGCAATCATTTAAAACCCTGTTTAAAATTGATAAAAGTTTTAAAATGTATGTAAAAAAGATTCAAAATGGCATAAGCTTTCTTTAGAAATCACAAAAATCAAAAAAACTTTTTTTTACAAATTAAAAAATGGCAGTAAATTTCATAAAAATTTGCCTTGCACGGTGCAACTACAGATAATGCACAGTGCAAGTAAAAAATTATAAACTTGTACTAAAACTAGCAAAAACTTTCTTTACAGATTATGGTATGTCAAAAATTTTCTTTACAAAAAAAATGACAAAAACTTTCTTTACAGACCACAAAATTGCAAAAACTTTCGTTACAGGTCATAAAATAGCAAGAACTTTCTTTACAAATCTAAAAATGACAAGAACTTTCTTTACAAACCTTAAAACGACAAGAACTTTTTTTAAAATCTATAAAAAGCGCAAAAACTTCCTTTACAACCAAAAAAGTACAAAATTATTTTAAAAATTGCGTCCATTTTTCAAAATTGCCGCCACTTCTGTTATGAAAAACAGTAAAGTAAAGTATAATGTGCGATGGAAAAATGACAAAAATTACAAATTCGATCCATCTTAACATTATTATTATGCTATGAAGACGAACCAGTAATGAGATGCGTCATGTTTGTTATGTAATGGCTACTGAGTAAAAGTTGGAGAGATATTGTTTGTTATGAAGAGATGGTAGAGGGATATTAGGAAAATAACACTTGTAAAGAGGAGACGTGAGAGAAAAGAAGAAAGAGCCAGAAGGCACAATGTAAAATAAAGTAAAAGTTGAATTTCATCATGTTTTATCGTCGTATTTCAGGTTTTTACTTCAATAATAAGTGGCTTATGATAAGTTTTTTTTAATTGAAATAACTTTCTTGCCCAATCACGAAATAGCAAAAACCTTGTTTACAAAACATAAAATAGCAAGAACTTTTTTTACAAATTATAAAATGGCAAGAACTTTCTTTACAAAACATAAAATGACAAGAACTTTCTTTACAAACCTCAAAATAGCAAGAACTTTCTTTACAAAACACAACCCTCAGTCAAACAGTGACAATCCCCTTTTTCAACCGAAAATAACAAGAAAAGTGGAGTTAAAGACCAAGAACTGCTCCCAAAAAACCGATTTTCCTAAATGAAAACACACTTTTTTACCGTGGTAAACTTTGCTCGGCCCTTGTTTTGTCAGACATATCACATAATTGAGTGCAGTAAGAGAATGTTGTAAATCAACCGCCCAAAGGCAATTCCATCAATCGAGAGTTTTCGAAATTTGCAGTTTTTTAAATGAAAAAAAATTGTAATAAATGCTTTTTGGTGGATTGAAAGTTATTTTTAGAAAGTGGAAAGAAATTTCTTGCCATCTTATGTTTTTTTCAAGAAAGTTCTTGCCGTTTTATGTTCTGTAAAGAAAGTTCTTGCCATTTCAATTGGTGTAAAGAAAGTTCTTGCCATTTTTTGCTTTTTAAAGAAAGTTCTTGTCATTTTTTGTTTTGTAAAGGAAGTCCTCGCCATTTTAAGTTCTGTAAAGAAAGTTCTTGCTGTTTTATGGTCTGTAAAGAAAGTTCTTGCTACTTTAAATTTTGTAAAGGAAGTTCTTGCTATTTTAAGTTTTGTAAAGAAAGTTCTCGCAATTTTAAGAACTGTAAAGAAAGTTCTTGCAAAATCTATTCAAACTAAGAAATTCTGGAATTTTTGCAGCCTGAGGGTGACAAGTTATACAATAAAATGCTATTTTTGGCTTTTTAAGCAAAGTTTTTTTTATAATCAAGGCTCTGTAAATAAAGTTCTTTCCATAACCAAGGGTCTGTAAACAAAGTTCTTCCGATTACAAAGCATCTTTACTGGAAATGTTTTAAAAAATTAAAAAATTTTATGTCTACAATAATATAGCCTTATATCTTCGAAAACAAAGCCGTATGTCTTCAAAAATAAAACTTATGTCTACAATAATATAATTGATGAATTGGTGTGAAAAATTTGGGCGAATCCTTTCAATTTTCCGCAATAAAACTTTTTATTTTGTGCCGTTGGCGATTTTACAACAGTCGATTCCACGACGACCTTCTGAATCTCGCAACTGACTTTTCCGAGTGAGAGAGTGAGGAGAGGCGAAAGATTGACAGAGAGTTTGGGAAAAAATACAAATTTTTCGATTTTTTTAATTCGATCTCAACGAAATGCCATCAGATAAGGCTACCTTTCGATTTCTATCATCGTAAAAAGGTGGAGACGGTAGGGTGGGGCAAAAGATTTATTACTGGGAAAGAGGTGGAAACAAAGTTTTTGCGTTTTTAAGTTTAAAAAGTAAAAAAACTTCTAGGTTACACAAGATTTCAAAAACATACTGATAAAACCCCCCAAAATCACAAAAAAATCCCAAAAAACGCGTATAACTTGTCACCCGCAGACTGCAATATACAAAATCTAGTAATTTTACAAATAATTAGTAAAAACTTTGTCTACAGAACAAAAAATGACTGAAAATTTTAGAACAGATCATAAAATGACAATAGCTTTCTTTCCAAATCAAAAATAACAAAAAATTGTTTAGAAAAAGCCAAAATGGCTTTCATCGTATAACTTGTCACCGGCAGGCTGCACTGCAAAAAATATGTTTCATCTGAAATGATTTTGAAAGAACTTTCTTTACAAAATGTAAAATGGCAAAAACTTTTTTTTAAAAGACGTACGATGGCAAGAATTTTCCTTACAAACATAAAATTGAAAGAACTTTCTTTACAACACGTAAAGTCGCAAGAACGTTCTTCACAAACTTCAATAGCAAAAACTTTTACAAATCTCAACATGGCAAGAAGTTTCATTACAAGCTAAAAAGCGGCAAGAACTTTCATCAAAAACCACAAAATAGCAAGAACTTTCTTTACAAAACGTAAAATAGCAAAAACTTTCTTTCCCAGCAAAATATCTTTAAAATCTATTAAGAAACGCCGTTAAAATTTGCAAAAACTTTCTTTCCACACGCTTTTTTCCGAAACCAACAAAACTGTAAGCATCGGAAGCCACCTGTCAATATTACCCATGGTAAAAACCGCGAAAATCATAAAACTAGACTGCGCGCTAACCTGACCCCCCTCCGGGCACTGATCTTTTCTCTCCGCTTTTTTGACCACTAACAGCACAGAGGGGGTTTCGTTGCCCCCGTTCCGGGCCGTTCCGTGCGCGAAACAAACGAACACGCCCAAATCAGCAAGTAGTACAACATTGGGTGGGGGTTTCTTGGATTAATGATAGGGGTAGACGTGTAGTAGTATTAGGACACAACAGTGAATAAGAATGGTACAACAGTAGCTTTTTATCGTTTAGGCTTCGTAAGGAAAGTCCTTACCATTTTAAGATTTGTAAAGAAAGTTCTTGCTATTTTATGACTTGTAAAGAAAAGTTTTGCCATTTCATGTTTTGTAAAGAAAGTTCTTGCAAATTATATTCAAAATAAGTTGCATTTTGCGCAGTACAGCCTGCAGGTAACAATTTATATGATAAATGTCAGTTTAGCTGTTCTAAAGAAAGTTCTTGCCATTTTATAGCTTGTAAAGAAAGTTCTTGCCATTTCATAGCTTGTAAAGAAAGTTCTTTCCCTTTTATATCTTGTAAAGAAATTTTAGTAAAAAACATTTTTTTTGTGAACGAGTCCTCGCTCACTTCAAAAACGAAAACCACGTACTACAACTCGTACAACAATATTACTTAAATCGGAGCCATATATTAAACATCAGTAAAATAAAAAAAAACTAAAAGTAAACTCATAAAATTGAGCTGCGCTACCAGCTCGTCATGGCTATCAAGCCGTAGTGTAACAACGCCGGTTAACATGCATACACGTATAAATATAGCTATAAGAAAAAGGTCAGTCGACGTCATAAATAAATTTGATCACATACAAGAACTTTCTTTACGATGCACAAAAATCAAGAACCTTCTTTACAGACCATAAAATGGCAGAAACTTTCTTTCCAAAACATAAAATAGCAAGAACTTTGTTTACAAAGCTTGAAATAGCAAGAACCTTTTTTACAAAACATAAAATGAAAAAATCTGTGTGAGATTCAACATAGGTTTCGTATAACTTGGCATCCGCAGGCTGCAAAACATAAAAATTTGTTTTTTTAAAACCAAATAAGCAAAAACTTTGTTTACAAAACATTAAATATCAAAAACCTTCTTGACAGGCACTAAAAGGCAATAACTTTTTTTACAGGTTATGAAGATGAACTTCAGTTAAAAATAAAAAATAGCAAAAACTTTCTTTACAAACCGAAAAAATAACAAAAACTTTCTTTCCTATGCCTAAAATGGCAAGAACTGTCTTTATAACAACCAACATGGCACTCACCGAACAACTTGTGACTCGCAGGGTGCACATCACAAAATGTTTAAAATAGCATAAACTTTCTTTACAGAAATTAAAATAGCAAGAACTTTCTTTACAAAACATAAAATGACAAGAACTTTCTTTACAAGACATAAAATGGCAAAATCTTTCTTTAAAAAACATAAAATAGCAAGAACTTTCTTTACAAAACATAAAATGACAGGAACTTTCTTTACAAATCATAAAATGGCAAGAACTTTCTTTACAAAACATAAAATGACAGGAACTTTCTTTACAAAACATAAAATAGCAAGAACTTTCTTTACAAAACATAAAATAGCAAGAACTTTCTTTACAAAACGAAGAACGGCAAAATTTTCTTTATAAAACATAAAAAGGCAAGAAC